AATGTGCTTCCTGGGAGAAGGTGAGGGAAGTGAGAGAGCAAAGAGGATGCTTTCCTGTAAAGACTGTGGAAAGAAGTACCACAAGAATTGTTTAAAGTCTTGGGCCCAACATAGAGGTACTTACATACATTCAATGTTGCTGTCCTTTTCCTGGCTTGCTAAGTCTTTGTTTTCTTTTTTTTCTCTTTTCTAGTCTAATTGATGTAAGTTGCAGATTTATTTCATTGGAGTTCATGGAGTTGTCCCTCCTGCCGGGTTTGTGAGGTAGTTTGTTTCTCATTTTCTTGTTCGTGACATCTGTTGCATCTGAGCAGTACCACTTGCTCGCGAAGTGATTGATTAAACATATGTTTCTTTTTCATTTAATGAGTTCAGTTGTCTTAAGTAACAAACATATTAAAAGTGTTAGCCTAACTGCTATATAGAGAGTGTCCTTAGATCTTTGAACCTGCCTCACTGACTCGTTTCCCTCCTTAGGTCTGCCGGAGAACAGGAGATCCTAACAAGTTCATGTTCTGCAAAAGGTGTGATGCTGCGTACCATTGTTATTGCCAACATCCTCCACACAAGGTGCCTGATAGATAGCTTCTTTATGTGACTATCTTTTTCAACTAAAGTAAATTGGCTTAATTATTTTATCATGACCTCACAGAATGTAAGTTCTGGGCCATATCTCTGCCCAAAGCATACAAGATGTCACAGCTGTGATTCTACTGTCCCTGGAAATGGCCTAAGTGTCAGGTATACATCCTTAGTCTTTGCGGGGTAAATTAGTCTTACAAGTGAGAAGAACATCTTACTTTGTTTTGTCAGTTAATGATTTGCAGATGGATTTCCCTGTTAAAACTATGTTGATCAGTTTTGTTCTCTTGTGTTTTCTAATGTAACAGGTGGTTTTTAGCATATACTTGCTGTGATGCTTGTGGCAGATTGTTTTTGAAGGGTAATTATTGCCCTGTATGCTTGAAGGTATTTATTTCATTCTTTTTAATGCGCAATTCCTATAGCAGAACATAATGCCTCTTCAGTGTTGCATTAATCAGGTTTCTTATCATGTATAGGTATATAGGGATTCCGAATCAACCCCAATGGTATGCTGCGATATTTGTCAACGCTGGGTGCATTGCCATTGCGATGGAATAAGGTTCTTCCTCATTATATTGTTGCAAACATAGTTATCTCTGTTGCCATATGATATACCACCTGTTAGATTAACTCATATGTTAGATATGCATTGTAAAGTGTGGGCCATACTAAATCTGGAATTGTTTGCCTCTGGAAACTGTTATGCAGTGAAGAGAAATATCTGCAGTTTCAAGTTGATGGAAAACTACAATATAAATGTGCCACTTGCCGTGGGGAGTGTTATCAGGTATGACTGTTCTTGTTATTAGTACCCTTGCTTCTTAGTCACTCCGATCATTCTTCTTGGTTCTTGTTATCATATATGTATTTCTCGTAGAGCTGGGAGACTTCCTTTGGAATGGGAAGAGGATTCAGTAGTGCAATTTGTTAGTGTGTTGATCATATAAGTTTTCTTGGTTTTCAAATTCGATATTTGGCTTCTCAGGTGAAGGATATTCCGGATGCAATTCAAGAACTTTGGAAGAAAAAAGATGTGGTGGACAAAGAGTTGATTGCTAGTTTAAGGGCTGCTACTGGTTTGCCAACGGAGGAGGAAATATTTTCGATATTTCCATTTTCAGATGATGAAGAAAATGGACCCGTATCTGGGCGCTCACTGAAGTTTTCTATCAAAGGTCTGGGGGAAAAGTCTCCAAAGAAAAGCAAGGAGTACGGGAAGAACACTTCAAGTAAAAAGCATGCTAGTAAAAAAGGTAGTCTCACTAAGTTAGAGTCTGAATTTCCTCAGGAGATTGGATCTGAGAGACGCCGATTAGGTGGTGTTAGAATAGATAATGTGGGGTTTCGGATAAACGAACAATCGGACGTGAATTCTTCTGTAGCTGGAATTTGCTCAACACATGAACCTAAGATTGTAAAACACAAGAGGGTTGATGATGTTATGGTGACGGATGAAGAAAAGCCGTCAAGGATAGTTAGAATAAAGTGTAGCAAGCCTCATGATTCTGATAGCGAGGATACAATTCAAATTGCAAGGGAGGAGAGATCTGTAAAGGCAAAGAAGTTAGTTATTAATCTGGGAGCTAGAAAAATAAATGTCAGTGGTTCTTCGAAGGCCAATGTTGTTTCCCATTTATCAAGGGACAAAGATCAGTCCACTTTGGGAGGTATGTTGCGATCTTTTTAATTAAACACAACCACACATATACTTAAGACTTTTCTACATATGCATTAACTGGACAACTTTTTTTTTTTGGAACACAACTGGACAACTAATACTTGAACATTTACAAGTCTATAATTTCTCTAACTTTCTGCTAATGATGTATATCTGCAGGGGATAAAGTTGATCAGACTGGCGAAGTAAGAACCCTGAAGATCTCTGGAAGGTTTGGGAAAACTCAATCTGAAGGAAGTAAAGCTACATTTGGGTCGATCACACAGTTCCCTGCATCAACAAGTGAAGGGAATCATGTGGATGATAAAACATCCATCTCACCATCGTTACAGAAAGAAGCTAGACCTCTGCTGAAATTTAAACTCAGGAAACCTAATTCAGGAGATCAGGCATCTTCGGTTACAACCCAGTCTGAAGATGAAAAATTGAGTCCTGCAAAAGGCCAAAGATCAAAGAGAAAGAGACCTTCAAGCTTAGTGGACATGGCTTCAATGAAAGAAGATAATGAAGTTACAACACATTCTCATCAGGATCATTCAAGGAACGACGAGATGATGGATGCTAATTGGATTTTAAAGAAATTGGGTAAAGATTCAATAGGAAAGAGAGTCGAAGTCCATGGATCTCAGAACTCATGGTAAGTTTGATCGTCTTGATTAGTTAAGCTGTTGTGATTGACCTGCTTATTGTATCCAAATCTAGATGTCTAATATGAATAATACATTTACTGTTATAGGCATAAGGGAACAGTGACGGACGTTTCTGGAGACGCATCCACATTGTCGGTTTCTCTAGATGATGGAAGCATCAAGACATTTGAACTTGGAAAGCACAGCGTCCGCTTCATACCGCAAAAACAAAAGAGGTCTAGGAGCTGATTGGACCACCAAGCAGCGTTTTAGTCACTAACTTTCTGAGTGGTAGCCATGAAGACGATTTGATTGTTGGAGGATTTCCTGCGCTTTAGCTCTGAATGGTGGTAATTATCAGTAAAACTAAAAGTGCCAAACTGTGTAGATATTACTTGTGATATTGAAGGTAGCTATGGGTCTTGTTAAGGTTTGATTGGTAGTTCCCTGTAACTCACTCACTTGCTAGGTCTATAGTTTTTGCAGACTCGTGTAACAATTTGTCCAAATTGAAGTATGTGAGAAATCTCTGTTACTAAATGGCAAAATATGGTATTAACATTTATCAAAAGGGAAATTAAACAGGGGGTGGTGGCAAATCAATAAGAAGCCAAAAGCCAACACAGTCATCAGAATCTAAGTCATCTTGAATTGCAAGAAAATGCAAACCACCACTCGCTTTCTTTGCAGATTCCCAAGCTTCAGCTTCATCAGTAGTAACAGGTGTCTTCTTGTAGGTCGCATAGACATACCTTGTTGAGATCCCAACAGATAGAATCAAACATCCTTTTGAACTGTCTGCTTCAATCGAACATACTTCAAGCCCGTTCATCCAAGCTATAACGATCAAGCATAGAACTCAGAATTAAAAACCGCATTCCAACGACAAACAAACTTGTTCCAAAGATGGCAACCACACACTTACCTGCAAGAGGTTTGGCTCGTGAAGTAGCAACAGAGAGACCTGGAATCAGTGTATTTTCATCCACTTCGATGCCAAGCAAATCCAAGTCTAGGGTAGCACCAAACACAAACTTCTCCTCAAAGTCGGCGATCTCCTCTCTAACAGCTGAGTAAGGTAATTGAACAAAGGCCCATCTCTCCCCAAACAAGTTCTCAGGAAGATTCATTGGAAATGGATTGTCTAGAGACAGAAGAGGCAATGATCCCTTCTGGAAACCGGGGTGACGCGTGTACACAGTGTCATAACGTTCTTGCAACCACAGAAACAGAGACAGACACTGTAATGCAGAAATTTAGTTTTGTTTATCAACTTGTTCTAAGTTGTAACATAGAAAATCACGTCTACACAAAAACTGTTTACTCACCCGTTTACTAGGCACTGCTTTAATGGCAAGCTCTTTGCAAGCTTTTGTGATAATGGTTTGCATCTGTGACCTGCAAAACCAACTTCAACCATTAGATTACGTTTTAAATAGAAAAAACATTTTTGAAGTTGTGTGTTTGCACCTGAAGAAGCGAATCCTCTCAGGAAGAGGAACACCCAAGTCTTGAGTGATGGTAACAATGGCGTCTTTGAGGGTAATACTATTAATGACATTATTGGGAAAATATTTAGTGACTTGAAGGGAGAGGGAAGCATCACAAACCACAAGTTCCCAAATCTTTTTTCCTCTGGAATCAAGAATTGGCCTCGAGCAAAAATCCAATTCCCACTCTTTGATGCTCTCCGCATCGGACTCCGGATCCAGATAACTCAGCTCGGACGTTGGATCATCTTCCAGTACTTCATTTGCTACCTCTTGTTCTTTTGTAATCGACAGTGAGCTCTCAGGTAACGATCTAGAGACGAAACGGCAGCGTTTCAACAGGGTTTCGGAGGAGAAGAGATGATGGGTTTTGATGGGTTTAGTAAAACAAGACGATTTAGGGATTCTGGGAAGTGACGGTGTCTGGATACGAGTGGTGTTAAAGCCTAACGTCGCCATTGAAAAGGAGGAAGCTTTAGGAAGAATCGAAGAAGAAGAAGAAATGATTTATCCTTTTCGGTTACTCCTTCCTCATCCACAGAGATATTTTCAATAAAAATATATTTCAATTTTGTTTAGTTTTTATTCAGAAAAATAAATATTTTTATTTTATTTTTTTTGTTTGGCTCCTTTTTTTGTATAAATTAAAAACACTTACAAATCAAAGCTTCGTTTGAAAGATGAAAGTTTTAAAAATTGATCATGATGAGGAATGGTATTGAGCTACTGGTGAGACGAGTTTCAGCGATACATCAACACTCAATTTCTTCTAGCTTCCAAGTTCTTCCTCAATTTTGCACATCTTCTTCTTCTTCTTCTGCATCGCCAAGTTCCAAGCTTTTCATCGGAGGTTCGGTTGAGTTAGTTAGTATTATAACAAAGTAGCCACATTTACATATTTATTTATAATGATAATATGATGATCTTGATACCCGTATCGTATGTATGCAGGATTGTCCTGGTCTGTAGATGAGCAATCTCTCAAAGACGCTTTCTCTTCCTTTGGTGAGGTCGCAGAAGGTAATTCTCATCTATAAACTCTTCCAGGTGTTCGATGAAATGTCTGAATGAGTCTTTGGTTATGAATTTTGGGTATTTATGGATGTACCTGGTTGTTTGTAATATGTGTTGGTTTAGCAATGAGTTTATAGGATTTAGCTTGGAGAGCTCTTTACACTCTTACCCGAGTTCCAGTTATGTGACTGTGAAGAGCTTGAATTGTAAACCTATATGGAATCTTTAATGTGTCAAATGTAATTGTGTTCTCAGTTAGGATTGCGTATGACAAAGGAAGTGGGAGGTCAAGAGGATTCGGTTTTGTTGATTTTGCAGAGGAAGACGATGCTCTATCTGCTAAAGACGCCATGGATGGAAAGGTAAAAAAGCAAACAAACAAAAGGTTTATGTCGCTATTACTACTGCAGATGGTGCTTTAAGTGATTCTCTCTGTTACAGGGATTATTGGGTCGGCCATTGAGGATAAGTTTTGCACTTGAAAGAGTGCGTGGTGGCCCTGTGGTTGTTTCACGTATTGGGAAATCAAAGAGAGACAGAGAAAGAGTCTTTAAGTGATGGAAGCATCTTGTGGAGATCTTTCAAAGACTCCTAACCGAATGATAAAAGTCAGCATTGTTGTATAAGCTTGTGCTTGAGTCTTTTCTTTAGTTGTGAAATCAAAGTCTATAAACTATCATATAGTATTATTATGATTTATAGTGTGAAAAACTTTGATTGCATCTTGCAATACTGGAGAAAAGATAGAAAAACTGTTTGAGACAAGATTTTACAAAAAAAAAAAGAAGAAGAATAGCTTATTACTTGTACTTAACAGCTAATCAGTCGTGTGTTGAATTTTGATTCACCAAGGATTGTCGAAGACAGTGGATGAAGAAACACTTGGTTTATTGATGATGAAGAAGAAAGAATAGTAATTTGGGGAAGAGGTCCCGTAAGGTTTGATCTCAGCTCATAGGCATTGGTTTGTTCTCTAGAAAGGATTTGAAAAGAATAAAGGCTTGACGGGGACGGTGTAGAGGCACTTCATGACCAGCTCCTGCTACTGTTACTAATGTAAGCCCTTTGTACACTTGACTCCACCCACCTACCTACAAAAGTACAATCCAAGGCCCCTCATATCAGTTTCTGAATCTTATGCAGTGATATTAACATGAGAATGCTCCAATTTTTCACCTTGCCATGATCGTACCAAGGGTACCAGTTTGTGATGGTTGCTAGCTTCAGTGCATCTACAGAGTATCGGGTAGCGGTAACAGGAACAACAGCATCTGTATCCCCACTGCATATTGTGTAGGGAGAGGGAGATTGATCAAGCAATCTTTATTTGTAATCAAGACTTTACTACATCTACACTTCTCTTAAATGTAATCAGTCATTTCGTACAAGGGAACATCACAAAGTTTAATACAACAGTGATACCTGAAAACCCATATTTTGAGACCTGCAGTAATCAATTCTCTGTATATAGGAAGCATAGACATAGGAGAATCTGTCCAATAACTTCCCACAATGTCACTGCAGGAGAGACAAAAACTCAATATTTCAGTCAAGTTTATGTCTTTAAATACAAGAACTAAAACTCTGTTTTCAACAGACCTGCATGCTTTCCAAGGGTAACGCAAGCGAGTGACATTTGCGTGGAGGGCCTTCTGAACTTCAACGCGATTAAAGTACACATTCGAATATCTCTCTGTACAAGGATCATAAGCTCTTGACATCCATGGCTGAGTTATATACAAAGTTGTAGCATATTAGCCAATATAAACAAACATAACTAATCCAAAAATGGTTTATGATGTGTAAAACTTACGTAGCGACCCTTTAAGAAGGTCTTAAGTGCTACAGTATTGTTGCAAGGTTTGGTGAAAATGCTATATGGATCGATATTTCCTTGCTCCAGTTCAGCATTTCTCAGAGCTTCCATACACTGCAGTGAAGGATGCTGAGATGATACTGAGTAGCAAGCAGTCTTTAGCTGGTGATACGTGGAATCGGATATGAGACCGTGATTCCACCAATATTCAAATGTTCCTATATAATCATGATAGTCATCTGTAACAGCATTTCCCACCTGAATAAGCAGACCTTTAAATATCCCAAAGTTTACAATCTTGTAAAAAGTCTTGAGTTTTGTATAATCTTTACCATAAAACCTTTAAGGTTTATAGCCGGGTTCTTGAAACCCTTGTTTCTTTCATGGACAAGCTTAGACAATTGAGGAACAAAATGACCTGTCCAAGAGAGAGAGAGAGAGAGTCAAGACTTAGCATCAGCCTATTATCTGTAAGTGATGAGAGAGCTTGAAGGAGAATTGTGAAACCTGCATAGCTTTCTCCAACTATATAAAAGTCTCTATGTTTGTATTGAGGAAACCTCTCAAACCAGTTGACAAGAAATCTATACGAGTCTTCGGCTACAGATTCATCAAGACGAGAAATCAATGAAAGTTCAAGAAACCCTGGAGGTTCAGTTAATAAAATTCAGAGAAAGCACAAATAGATGCAAAGAGCAGAACCAGTTCTCTGATCACCGGTTGTGTAAAGATCTGAGGTTGTGTTTGAATATGAGAAACCAACTCCAGCTGGGGACTCCAAGAATAGCAGGTTTGCCACTGAGAGATAGAGAGAACAAATCTGAATCAGGAATGGTGAAGAGAAGAACAACTAATGGTGAGAGATTCAGAAAAGGATCTTACATTTATTCCAAGCATAAAGTTTTGGATGAAGGGTTTTGCCATCAGACCCAACACGAAAAGGACCAATTTCTTCAGCAGCACCATAAGCAACAGAAGAACAACCTGGGCCACCATTGAGCCACAGAACCAAAGGTCTAGACTTTGGGCTACGGGTCAACGGAGACTCGACCAACCAATAGAACAAAGCCCTTCCACGTTTCTCGTTCACTGTGACATAGCCTGAGTACTGTCTAAAATCTACATTACTAGGTTGTCCAGGCAACTCACTGATTCTGTCTCTCAGCTGTTCTTCCACATAAGAAGAAGAAGCACAACATGAAGTTGAAGAAGAGATTGTGAGTAAGAGAATGATTAGAAGAAAAGAGCAATCCATGACCATGGATCAGATCTAAGAGAGTTAGATCTGGTGGAACTCTGGATTCCTCACGTTTAGGAGGTTTTGGAGAGAGTCAGTGTAAGAAACATTTAATTGTTTCTCCAAGTCAAACTTACAGTTACTTAACAGAACAGCTAGCGTACTACTTCTGTCTTCAGACAATGGACAGTGAACTCCCTCGTCAAATTAAATTTAAGCTAATAAAGACAGATGATAAAATTCTGTCTGTAATTTACTTTACTCGTACTTTAATCATGTTAATCCTAATTACTTTTTAATCATGTTTGTGAGAGAAAAAATAACTTTTTTTTTTTTTGGTAAAATGAAAAGAGGAACCACCAATCCTATTGACTTATAGTCTTTAATATTTAACCACCAATCCTAAGTTATATGTTCTAACCACTCTTAGGATAGGCTTTTTTTTTCTTATGCACCCGACATTATATATAGGCCTGATTTTTTCTTGAGGCTCGAATTTATTTGTCTTTATTGTGTTTTTCTAAAAAAAAATAGCAATTTTTGGGACAGATTATCCAAAATTTTGACTGTTTTTTTCTTAATTATCACTATCGATGTAAATGGTGTAAATTGCTGAGTGTTGGACTGTTGTCATATGTGTATATTATCACTTTGTTTCCCACTCAAAACTTATGCAGTTATGCTACATATATAGAAAAATCATATCACTACTACTACTTTATAAAGTTTATATTATAAATAGTTAAAAACCACTAAATATCGTTGTTGTTGATGTATCTTAAATAAAATTATAAAATATTGTAACTAAAGATAGATATACCAATCTTTAATCTATGTATCCATATATTTTGTAATTCTATAAATGAAAATATAGCTTTTTTTGTTTTTAAAACACGTTGATAATATTTTTTTTTTTAAAATTTTCACATGTACATGTAACTTATAATTATTTGTGGTGAAGATAAATTTCTATTAAACTACAATTTTCATTGGTCGTAAACATCTGCTTATCCAAAATAAAATCCGATTATCCTAATTCCGCCAATCAAAATTGATTATTCTAATTTCTGTCAATTAAAATAAATAAGTAGATTTAAATCTAAATTGTTGATAAGACCGTACTTAATACTTTTCACATAAGTTTTCTATATAACTAACAAAAATTACTATCAGATAAAAAAAACATCAAAATTATAGTCGAATCCACCAACAAACCTGCAATTATTCGCCTAAGCTATTGAACAATCAACAAGCGCATCTGAGAAAAAATCAACTCAATTCCAAGCATACTTAATACTTTCACATAAGTTTTCTATATAATTAACAAAAATTACTATCAGATAAAAAAAACATCAAAATTACAGTCGAATCCTTTTTATCTGATAAGACTGTACTTAATACTTTCACATAAATTTTCTATATAATTAACAAAAATTACTATCAGATAAAAAAACATCAAAATTACAGTCGAATCCACCAACAAACCTGCAATTATTCGCCTAAGCTATTGAACAATCAACAAGCGCATCTGAAAAAAAATCAACTTAATTCCAAGCATCAAAGCTTTTCCCTTTTCAAAGTGTTTAAGGGAAGAGGTAGAATATGATTTCCTCTTTCATCATCAATACGGGTGTGTTTTATTTTCCTCTAATCAACAACTGTTAAAAGACTATTAAGAGTTTTTTTATTTATAAAGGGGTGAAATCGAAAAGGAAGAAAAAGGTAAGGACGCAAAAATAAAAAAGGATAGTTCTGGCCTGGCGCCTGAGGAATCGACAAAAGTATCTCTCCTGTAATACACAGTTCGTCGATTTACAAAACTTGATTTGTTTAATGTTAATTTTGTATCACAATTTGTCAACTGTATTAGTGCTGGCAAATTTGATCTTCCAAACCCATCACGAATCCTTCGAATTTTTCTCAAAATTAAAAAAAAAAACCCTAAATTCTTAATTTTTTGTTGTTGTTGAACTTTCCCTCGTAAAACAACAACAAAAAATGGATCAAATTTCTTGAGTAGCAATTTTGTTTGGTGCATTCTCAGATGGCGCGACAGATGACGTCATCACAGTTCCACAAATCAAAGACTCTCGACAACAAATATGTGAGCTTTTCTTCTAACACAATTCTGGGTTTAGAAAATAAAATAAAAACTTTTATGGCTCACCTTACTAGTTACTATTTAGCTTATGCTCTAGCAATTTGAAATTGGAATGCTTCAATCTTAGTGGAGTTTGTTTACTTTGATTGTAGTCACTCAAAGGTTTGTTCTTTTTTACTTTTTGATGGCAGATGCTGGGAGATGAAATTGGTAAAGGCGCTTATGGTCGAGTTTATATAGGATTGGACTTGGAGAATGGAGACTTTGTAGCCATTAAACAAGTCTCTTTGGAAAATATTGTTCAAGAGGATCTTAACACCATTATGGTTTGCTACTCTTTTTTCTCTTTCTAATCCATATTGGTTTTACTTGTGGACTAAATGTGATCTCGTATCTGCTTACCACTGACTGAATCCTTGTATTGTTGTTGGGGAAATTTCATCAGCAAGAGATCGATCTCCTAAAGGTAGATTCTTTCTTCCCGACATTATTCCATTTTAGACATTCTTTAGCTTCTTAAACATTGACTGGGACCAATATGCATATGTGAATTCTCCTATTCCATATAGACCTTGACCTTGTTTCTGAATTGTTTACATGATTTTTTTACGAAACTGGGATCCTGATGGTAAACATTCATGAACTTACGTCGTATCTTCTGAACTTTGGTTTCATCTCTCATTAATGGTTATGCTGCTTGAGATGCAGTCGTCCTTTATTCCTTCTAAGATGATGATGTGTCAATGCAGAACTTGAACCATAAAAACATTGTCAAGTATCTTGGATCTTTGAAGACAAAGACCCACCTTCACATTATTCTGGAGTAAGAAATACCTTTGTGTGTTTATTTGGTCCTCGTTGGACTACGGTCTGGAAATTCAAGTCCAATTATGTGATTGCAGATACGTCGAAAATGGCTCTCTCGCAAACATTATTAAACCAAATAAGTTTGGACCTTTCCCAGAGTCGTTGGTGACTGTTTACATTGCACAGGTCCGTATATATGTTTTCTAGTTGAGTTAAGCTTCTTGAAACATTTGTGGACTAACGAGTGAATACAGGTCTTGGAAGGTTTAGTATATCTGCATGAGCAGGGTGTCATACATCGTGATATCAAGGGTGCAAATATTTTGACAACAAAGGAGGTATGTTTTTCGTTTCAAGATCTCTTGTATTCTGGGATGGACAAGATTCTTCTTTGCTGTTCTTCCTTAGATACTTGACTATCTCATATTTCAGGGTCTTGTTAAGCTTGCTGACTTTGGTGTTGCCACTAAACTAAATGAGGCTGATTTTAACACTCACTCAGTGGTCGGAACTCCTTACTGGATGGCTCCTGAGGTACATCTTTGTTAACATATATATCTTCCACCATCATAATCTGTATATGTCAAATATGGTATGTAATCTCTAAAATATTGGACTTTGTTCTTATTCTGACAAAAGGATGTTGTTTTCTCCTCTAAACAAATTTTAACTGATTATGTGTGGACTGACGGATATCCAAATCTTGTTTTAGGTTATTGAATTGTCAGGAGTTTGTGCTGCTTCTGACATTTGGAGTGTTGGATGCACTATTATTGAACTTTTGACATGTGTACCTCCTTACTATGATCTGCAACCCATGCCAGCTCTCTATCGCATTGTTCAGGTTTTTCCATCTTTTGACGAGTTTGCTTTAAGTCAATAAGATTTAGGTCTCTCTTCCTTCCCTCAATTCTTATTCTTCCTTGTTGTCGTAAATCACTTCTCTCCTGCAATAATGCAATATCTGTTAGCAGTAACTTTAAGCTATTGCCTTTTCTGGTTTTGTTTCAGGATGATACCCCTCCTATTCCGGATAGTCTTTCTCCTGACATTACAGACTTCCTACGACTGTGCTTCAAGAAGGTATAGTTTGTTGCAATAGTATTTAATAACTCTAGCTACCTCTGCACCGGAACCTAGGCATTTTGATTTACTTAATATGCAGTATGTACATCTGATTTGTATCTTGCATATTACAGGATTCCAGGCAGAGGCCTGACGCAAAGACACTTCTCTCTCACCCTTGGATACGTAACTCCAGACGAGCGTTGCGGTCATCCCTTCGGCATAGTGGAACCATCAGGCGAGAACCTGTGTCCTTTATGTTAACTTGTGGAAAAATATTTCCAAAATTTTTATTATCTACCGTGTAGTGTTTTGTTGCAAGTGTTCCTTGCTTCCATTAACCTGTATTGATGTCTTTGTGCACTTCATCCTTTGCAGATATATGAAGGAACCCTGTTCAAGCTCAGAGAAGGATGATGAAGGTAGTCAAGAAGCAGCTGAAAGCCTTTCAGCAGAAAAAATGGAGATGACTAAAACTGTGAGATTCATTAGCTCTTTAATTATGAAATAATCTGTTAGAGATGTCCAGAGATTAGCAGTATAATGCATTAAAACCAGAGATAAACTTTGCTAAAGCTACTGATCCAGTTGTTTTTTTTGTCCAGAACTCGAGAAGCAAATTACCGGTGGTAGGTGTGGCTAGTTTTAGGTCTGAGAAGGATCAAACTTCACCTGATCTTGATGAAGAAGGAACGGATTCCGAAGGTGCTCTTTCTCATATTTCTTCAGATGCAAACGGGACATCTCAAGATGTATTAGAGAATCATGAGAAATCCGAACGTGATGAAATACCGGGAAATCTAGAAAGTGAAGTTTCTGAAGGTAGAAGAAATACTTTAGGAACAAAGCAGATTAGAAAAGAATGTCCTATCCAGTTGGAGCAGTTATCGCATAGCCAAAAAGGTGAAGATGGGCGTCGAAAGGTTAGTTGTGTTTTGTTAGTTATTCTTTCCCTAGCACTTATTTAGATTATATACAAGAGAGGATGTTGAGTGAATTGATTAGTTCCCTTTTCTTTTCTAGCAAAAACAAAACACTTTTCTGTGTTTGTAGTTGTACTGTAATTGATAACCTCTTTTTTCTAATCTCAATGCTTCTATAGTGAGATATTGTTGTTTGTTGTTGGAATTTGGTCTTGTACACTTCAAGATCTAATCTCAATACTTACCCTTACTTTGTAGTAAATGCTTTATTTTATGAAAAAATTGTTTTTACCTCTTGGGAAGTAGGTTGCTGATGGCTGCAGTATACTGAGTTGAAGGCGTGCAAACTGACTAGTTCTGTTATGCTTGTTATTTCTATCTTAAAGGCTGTGAAGACATCATCTAGTTTTGGTGGGAATGAACTGATTAGATTTAGTGATCCTCCTGGGGATGCTTCTTTGCATGATTTGTTTCATCCACTGGATAAAGTTCCTGAGGGAAAACCAAATGAAGCCTCAACATCAATGCCTACGACAAATGTGAATCAGGGTGATTCTCCTGTTGCAGATGGTGGAAAGAATGATCTGGCGACAAAATTGAGGGCTAGAATTGCTCAGAAGCAAATGGAGGGTGAAACGGGGCATTCACAAGATGGTGGTGATCTTTTCCGCTTAATGATGGGTGTTTTGAAAGATGATGTTATTGACATTGATGGCTTGGTATGCTCTGTCTGAAGTACGCATTTTGATAATTCAAGTAGTATACTGTTAACATATTTTAATATTATGCTTCTCAGGTATTTGATGAAAAAGTCCCCGCGGAAAATCTTTTTCCTCTGCAGGTATTCTGCAAATTTATATCCTGAGATTTTATAGCAATCTTTTATTGTAATTAAATATTATGATACTGCTAAGTGCTACTTGACCGACCCACACCGTACTATGAGAATGATAATTAGATGTTGATAAAGCGAATTGTGGGTTCTCACTCATTTTTAGTAGTTTCTGTTTTAATGCGAATTTGGATCTTAGTAATTAATATGTTAAGTTTTTGTAGGCAGTCGAGTTCAGCAGATTGGTGAGCTCCTTAAGGCCAAATGAATCAGAAGATGCAATTGTATCTTCCTGTCAGAAACTTGTTGCCATGTTTCGTCAAAGACCTGGGCAGAAAGCAGTATTCGTGACACAGCATGGTTTCCTCCCTCTAATGGATCTACTTGATATTCCAAAATCTCGAGTACGATAATTGTAAATTGTAATTTAGCTGGGTTTTTGGTTGTCCATCATCATCAGTAGTTGGCTTTATGCTTGTGAATCTTTTTTTGGTGTTTTTAGGTAATACATGCCATGCTGCAGTTGATAAATGAAATCATAAAAGATAACACCGACTTCCTGGAAAATGCTTGTCTCGTTGGTCTCGTAAGTCATACTCTCCATTTGGTAGCTGCCATGATGAATCACCGGTAGTTCTTTGGTATAGTTTGGTGGATCGACAAATGCTTTATCAAAGGCTCATGTCTACATGTCTATCTTAAATGTTGAACATCCATCTCAACAGCTAATACCTTTATGGGAAAATTCGTAGATATTTAATCCATGGTGTTCTTATATTAAGTCTTCATGATGTTCTCAATGGGCTAAAAAAAATCTCAAGAAACTTGATTTTCCTTGTGAAATGGCAGATTCCTGTGGTAATGAGTTTTGCTGGTTCTGAGAGGGATCGTTCTCGAGAAATTCGTAAGGAAGCAGCGTACTTCTTGCAGCAGCTTTGTCAGTCAAGGTTGCGAGTCATCAAATTTGCTTCACCCTTTTTTCCTTTTCTGTACATCATAGACTTGATTTGGTAATTTTCTTACAGCTCCTTGACGTTGCAAATGTTCATAGCTTGCCGTGGAATACCTGTTTTGGTGGGATTTCTTGAAGCAGATTATGCCAAACACAGGTGGGTACAGCTTACTATCTTCTGACAGTGTCTGGACTACTTTCAATTTATATAAAGTGCTGAACTTATTATGAATATATCCAGTATTTCATTACAAGCATTTGGAATTTATCCCATGCGGTGATTCCTAGCTTATTACCAGTCACAGTAGCATCTGTGATTTTTTATCTGAACATGTCTTCCTGCTTATATGATATGTGTTTCTTCTTTTGAAAACGACTGATGCATTTCTCAGTAGTTGACCATTTTCTTGGTTTAGCTCTTCTCTCTATAATCAGTTCTGTTTCTTTTCGCTCTTCATGCGCTGCTAAATTTACTGATTTGAGCTTTTCCTTTCCAGGGAGATGGTACACTTGGCTATTGATGGGATGTGGCAGGTATTTAAACTCAAAAGATCCACCCCGAGAAATGATTTCTGTCGTATGGCTGCAAAGAATGGAATTCTTCTTAGGCTAGTCAACACTCTTTATAGCTTGAGTGAGGCAACTCAACTGGCTTCTATGTCAGGGGACTCATTGATTGTGGATGGTCAAACACCACGAGCACGCTCTGGTCAACTCGACCCTAACAATTCTATTTTTAGTCAGCGTGAAACTTCACTCAGTGTGATTGATATTATGGATGAGTTGAAAACTAGGCATGGAGGTGGTGAAGAGCCTTCCCATGCTATAACTTCAAATTCTCGAAGATCAGATGTCCATCAACCAGATGCCTTGCACGCAGATGGTGATAGACCTAGACTAAGCAGTGTTGCCCCAGATGCCATAGAAGATGTTATAAAACAACATAGGATATCTCTCTCTACCAATAGAATATCAACAGATAAGCTTCAGAAACTGGCGGAGGGTGCATCTAATGGTTTTCCTGTTACTCAGCCAGATCAAGTTCGACCTTTGCTTAGCTTGTTGGAGAAAGAACCCCCTTCAAGAAATTTTTCTGGTCAACTGGATTACGCAAAGCATATCACTGGGATAGAGAGACATGAAAGTAGACTTCCTCTTTTGCATGGATCAAACGAAAAGAAAACCAATGGAGACTTAGATTTTTTAATGGCTGAATTCGCAGGTAATTTTAAAGTTTTATAGTTAGGAAGATTGTTCATATTGTAAGCACATTATTTGATTTTTCCGCTTGTGCGGTATCATTACATTGTTTCTTCAGAAGTCTCTGGACGTGGGAAGGAAAACGGAAATCTTGATATGATGCCTAGATATGCCAGTAACGCAATGACTAAGAAGGTTATGGCTATTGAAAGAGTCGCTTCTACGGGTGAGATTGCATCTCAGACAGCATCTGGTGTACTGTCAGGTTCGGGTGTTCTAAATGCTAGACCTGGAAGTACCACATCTTCTGGTTTACTTGCCCATATGGTTTCTACACTGAGTGCAGATGTTGCAAGGGCATACTTGGAGAAAGTGGCTGATCTGCTTCTTGAATTTGCTCGAGCTGATACGACAGTAAAATCATACATGTGCAGCCAAAGCTTACTCAGTCGTCTGTTCCAGATGTTCCACCGTGTAGAACCTCCTATTCTGTTAAAGGTACTTCAAAATATTATGTTGTTTCTATTTTTTTCCCCGACAGCGCTTTCATATAATGTTTCTGTTTTCTCTTTGGCCAAGCTTGTATGTGTGGTTTAGAGGATCTTCAGGTTGCATGCTTATAACGCCTTTTATATGTCCAGATACTGGAGTGCACGAATCACTTATCCACGGATCCAAATTGCTTGGAGAATCTTCAGCGTGCAGATGCAATTAAGCACTTGATCCCCAACCTTAACCTTAAGGATGGGCCTCTTGTTAATCAGATTCATCACGAGGTTACCTTCTTGACTTGTATGGAGATAGCCTCCGTCTGTTGGTTACCAATTGTTGTCCAGTATGCTGTTTGAAAAATTGAAGTGTGGACTCTTGTCCGTTGTTGCTTTTAGTCAATTTAACTCAAACCAACGTTTGTAAAATTGTGATGTTATGTAGGTACTTAGTGCACTATTCAACCTCTGCAAGATAAACAAGAGGAGGCAGGAACAAGCGGCTGAAAATGGAATCATTCCTCACCTGATGTTTTTCATCATGTCGGATTGTCCTCTGAAACAATATGCATTGCCACTACTATGTGATATGGCTCATGCATCTAGGAATTCTAGAGAGCAGCTAAGGGCCCATGGCGGTCTGGATGTATACCTGAGTTTGCTCGATGATGAATATTGGTCAGTGATAGCCTTGGATTCAATTGCTGTATGCTTGGCGCAAGACATTGACCACAAGGTGGAGCAAGCGTTTCTAAAGAAAGATGCAATTCAGAAATTAGTTAACTTCTTCCAGAACTGCCCAGAGAGACATTTTGTGCACATACTGGAGCCATTCTTGAAGATTATCACGTATTCATCTCTTTTATCTTCAAATAGATTATTTATCTTTCCAAAATTAGTTAGAACTATGAATGAATCGCTGCTTGTTTAGTCCTCTGTTATATCTCCTCGTAGTATGGACTAATCCTTGTCTTTGTTGAATACAGGAAATCACCGTCTATCAATAAGACATTAGCATTAAATGGATTGACCCCATTACTTATTTCAAGACTAGACCACCAAGATGCGATTGCTCGACTAAACCTCCTGAAACTCATTAAGGTAACGGGTCGTTTGATTATACAAGTTCTCGCTTGTCTTGTTCCGGGTGTTAAGTGTTGTTTGGTTTTGGCGATCACTTGGAAAGCAGGCTGTTTACGAGAAGCATCCAAAGCCAAAGCAGCTGATCGTAGAGAACGATCTTCCACAGAAACTGCAGAATCTGATAGAAGAACGACGTGATGGACAAAGTTCAGGAGGGCAAGTTCTGGTGAAGCAAATGGCAACATCTCTCCTCAAAGCACTTCACATCAACACCGTCTTGTGAGTGTATTACATTATACTCCCATTTTTGCAGGAAGAAATTTCACCCAGCAAAGTGTATTATCATTTTCCCTAATTTACAACAACAAGAGATTTGTAATTGTTGGGGTTGTGTGTCTCTCTTGTGTTGTTTTTTTTTTTACTTCTCGAGAGATGCCAACACTTAGTGGTTTTTGTAATATATTCCTCAAAATATAACTTTTTTGAGGAATGCTTTTTTTTTCTTGGAGATATTTGATCCCGATATTTGATCCCTTTTTTTTGTGTTGTGGACGGACAGTGGACATGATCTGTTGTGATCTGATTTAATCATACAATGAATAAAAGAAGAAAAAAAGTTAGTTTGGTTGCAATTAACTTTAAAAAATTATTATTGTTGAATAATCTGTATTATAATTTACACACAGCTTAATTTTCTTTTATAATAGGGGATAAAGTCGAATACAAGTCTAGAAGTAGAATCGGCGTTTAAAACGGTTTCAGTTCGCCTCAGTCGAGGTTCCGTTATGCCAATTCAGGAAGCAAAAGTGTTCATTGCCGAAGTCTCTTTATTATCAAGTGAAGACAAGAAGACTTGAGAATCAGATATGAAATTGATAGTTTCTTGGCGATTATATTTTTCAAGTCTTTGGAAAGCAACTGTAAGTGAAGATTGTAAGAAATCTAGATATTCCATAATCGTAGGCTTAAGTTTGTTTCCTTATCCCGAATCATGTTATCGGGCTGATGTATCCCTGGTTCTTGGGGCTAAGTTTGTATGTTGTATGATATCAATAAAATTTCTTATGAGAAGAAAAAAAAAAAAAGTAGAATCGGCGTCAAATGTTTCAGAAAATCAATCACATTTGTTTCACTTCTACAAACCAGGAACGAACAAGCTAGTACCCTAATTATAACACTTACAGTCCCACTTGATCAATTAATCTTCATAAAAACCTACTTAATTCAAACATGGACTATATCGATACTCTATATATAATATATATATATACAAAAACTAAGACCAAACTACGAATACATATAGCAATAGACGGACGTCGATCGATCGGGTGGGATACTATGTTTTGTTAATGGGGATCAAGTGCAAAGAGGAGAAACATTTCCTCGGGTGTTCAACCTCACGTTGGAGCAAGAAGCTTTGGAAACATCTTGCTGAGTTTGGTCGACCAGTTCAACGTCTTGCATTGAGATTCCTCGACATGGGATGCTCTTGCTGCACTGAAACTTCACAGCAACGGGCGTTGAGCTCGTCCCTTGTATGTTTTTGTACAACACGTTGCTCACTTGTACCGCCGATTTCTGTCACGTACGTGTCCCAATCTCAGTTTTACTTTAATAATTGTATTTGTTGTATTATTTATTGTGTTGTGCATCGTATAAAGCTGAATCATAGATACCTGTTCGGGGCATGATTCAACACGATCGCAGTAGTCCTGGTTGATGAGTATAGGGTTTGTAACGTTTTTCATTAAAATGTCTTGGAATATGATGTTCTTTGCCATTCCACGTCCTCCCTGATATATATATACAGTATAATTACATGGCCATATATATATTTTTCTCTTTTCTTTTCTCATAGTAATAATTATTATTTTATATAGTATTTGATAATTTACCTGCCAAGTCTTGATTCTCACACCATTAGTGGTTCCTATAAGGGTTGCTTTGTTGATTACCACATTTGAAACATATGCTTCTGAGTTACCGGCTCCCAAACTCCCAATACTATTTACATGTCCAGAAAATACCAATAGTTAATTATATATATGTAGTCAGCAAATGTTTTTTTTTTCCTTAAAAATCTTTTGTTCTAAAAATGTCGGAAGTCTATTCATACCAAATAAAAATGCTTGTGCTAGAACGCCTAACACCATTTTAAAAACATTGCATTTTAATCGTTTTAGTTAATATATTAATAATCTCTCCATCAACAAATGGTTTTGAGCATGCATGCATCATATATCCTTTTCTCATTAAAAAAAATATACTCTGGTTGATAAAGATTAGTTGATATAGTTTTCCAACAAATGAAAGATAGAGAATGTGTTGTACATAGTATGATGCTTAAAGAAAGAATAAAAACAAAAACTTTAGGTGAAAATAGGGAGAGAGATGGTTAGACCTGATTCCATGACCAGGCCCGCATGTAATGCCTGTCGCTCTCACATTCTCCGACCCACTCACTATCGATATACAATCATCACCTTCATCACCAAATCCAAACCCAACACTCTTTACTATCCACTTATTTTAATTTTTATTCACTAAAATTTATATGAAGATGGGTTCATGAAATACTTACCAGTACCAACGACAGAGTCTTGAATTAAGATATTGCGACTTCCGCTAACGTGAATGCCATCGGTGTTAGGACTATCACCCGGAGATGTGACCCTAAGACGCAAAGCCTTCACGTTTTGGCAGTTTTGAAACGTCAAATGCATTTGCTGTGCGTTTTCCAACCTAATGTTACTTACTCTCAAGTTGTTACACTCCATAAACATAACCGCCTGCCCATTTATTGTTTTTTTAATTACATTATTAATTAGAACTGAAATTAATTAATTAAGATGGGAAACAAGTTAGAGGCGTTTGAGGTTCTCACCGTTGGAGCACCCAGGCAAGGCTGTTTAACAAAATAAACAAATTTTGTTAATTATGTACTTTTTAAGAGGAGGGTTTTATATATAAAGACGACATTGTATTGATCCAAATAGATAGAGAGAAGACGAACTTACAAGTTTAGGGTTGATTTTGCAAGATTTTGACCACCAAATATGTCCATTACCGTCGATGCGGCCACCTCCTTCAACACGAAGGTTAGTGACGTTTTCAAACACAATCCAGCGCCTTCGTACCTTGTAGTCTGATGGATTTTCCCATGCCTCAATCATTCCGTAGATCTAAAATTCACAACATTACAAATTTAGTTATAAGATTTTACACAATAACAATTCAGGCCTATACATACGTACATTGTTTTTTTTTTTTTTTTTGTGTGTAAATCATACCTTAAAAACAATCATGGATGATTTACATGGACCGGAGAACGTAACCGGTTTAATCGTGTATTTTCTATTTTTCGGAACCACGACGTAAACTATTCCAGTTGACGAACAAGCTGATTGCCAAGCTTTCATGAACGCCTACGGCTCAAAATGTATATTTCAGTCACGTTAATTGTTATATAAATCAATATATATAATTATATGGATGAAAAGGATATTTAGTAAATACCTGAGAATCGTCGTTTCCGTTGGCTTTAGCACCAAAAGAGTTGACGTTAAAAGCTTGAGGAGAAGATCTAGGAGCATAACCATGGTGGCTTTTCGTATGACTGTTGCGTGTAATGTGACCATGTAGATGACTGGTTTCGTAATAAACATCGGAAGCCTTGAAAGGATCATCTCTATGATCAAATGGGTAGCTGCTGAGACAACAAGGGAGAAACATTAAGAGAAATGCTGACAAGTTTATGAACTTTTCATACATTTTTTCTTTTTGAGTGACTTCTCTAAAAGTTAGATTAGATTTGGGTTTGACGTATAAAAGAATGTTTGAGGGAAAGAGAAAAGAGTGAATGATGTATATCATGGAGAATGCAAAAGTGTCTATATTTATAGACATGGGAGAGAGACTGGAATATATAAGAGCATTTCCATTTGTTAGATATCCTATCAAATGGTGCACACAAAAAAAAAAAAAAAAAAGATATCCTAATAAATAAATAAAAAGATATCCTATCCAATAACAAAATTATCCTATTGGATTATTGTTATTTAATTATAATATTCTTTAATATGAAATTTCATTATTATTATTATTATTATTATTATTATTATTTTCATTCATTATTTTCTAAATATATCAAATTACATCTAAAATATATTCATTGGATTGATTTGTATTAAACATATCAAATTACAACTAGAACAATATCTTTTCTTTTTTTTTGAAACAAAAACAAATAAAATAATATTAGTTTAATATTTTGTATTTATCTTAAGTAAAAATAATACTAATATATAACTTAAACTTATGGATAATGACGCTTAACATTTAGATAAAAATGAATTGTGTCAAATGTTTAGAGGAGAGAGAGGGTTTCTCATGGATATCTCGAATGAAAAATTCCATAAGATTCTCACAATTTTAAAATAAAATAAGATTAATGTTTTCAAAAAAAAAAATTCTTTAATTTTTATGGGGTATGTTGGTTAAAATTACTTGAAAGGAGATCTCGGATGTTCATATCTTTATTCGGTATAAAATCAGAAGGAAATGTTCGTTATAATTCCTCATTTTCCATTACCTAAATCGCTTCCAAACCACCATTTGCAGTACAATGAAGTTTTTTTTTTATTCGATTGAAGTACATTAATAAACAGCCACGTTAAAGACATTTACTTTGACGAATAATAAATATATAAAATGAAGGGGTTAATATTTTACATATTAAAGTCATTCGTTTTTTTTTTTAATTGAAGCTTCACAAAAAGTTGTACATAGAAGAACGTTTTACGTTTTACAAAAACCAACAATAACAATAGAAATACATATTTAAACAAAACCTTCTATTTTTCCATTTTTTTTTGTCTTAAAGACAAGTTAGTTAGTAAGTATAATAGATGGGAGTTTATGGCATAGTGGTACATAATTCTTCGTGTAGTTCCCACCTTGATTGGTTCGACTTCGAACCCTCTCGTCGTGGGAGGAAAGAAGTGGCTATATGACAATTACCAAACGTCTTATTTTCTTACTTTATTTATTATTACTGCGTCAAATTATAGAGTCAGTGGATTTGATTTCTTTTTCTTTTTTTTGTTAATTTAATTAATTGTTAGTATAACCTAATGGTTTGACATAAACCGGAACAAAGTACACCAGTCTAACCCGTAATAATACACTTCTAGCATATGTTTGGTAAAAAAACCCTTCAAAATTCTTATTGTGATGGGAAAAGACTGGCTAACAATTTGAAAAATTTTGGTCATATCCCAACATTCATGGGTAAGAGGAAAAAAGACATGTAAAGAGCTTTCTATTAAAACAATTAAATCTGAAAATGGAAGAGCTAATCTCGGCCTAGATGAAGAAGTAAGTATTGACTTTGGCTTTGAAATTAATTAGGTTATCTGCAAATAACTGAATAGAAGTCTCAAGTAAAAGCAGTTTTGTTGGTTAAAGGTTTCACTTCAACTTTGTTAGATATATGTCTTCAACCCAACCTTTTAACCATTTTCATACTTATGTAATTATTTTCTTAGATTTTTTATATAACTCGAAACCCCACAGGCCACAACTCGTGGCCAATTAGAAAAAGAGTTCAAACCCATTTACTTTGAACCTGTCTCTCTTCAATAGTGCTGTACGTACTCATGTGGTCAAATTAGTACTAATGTGTTTCGGTAAGAAACCAAATTCTCGTTTATATATTGCGGAGGAAAAATATTGTCCGAGCTAGCACTAAAATATATAGCAAACAAATATGAGGAGAAATAGAAAAAAGAATTATATTGATCGAAACCATCAAATTAAATCTGTATGACACTATCCTGTTTTAACTTTTAATGACCAAAATTGTACATGTTTTAATGTTAGCATGTTTTCGAAAGAAATAAAAAAAAAAAGAAAGAAAGAAATAACATGCATGACGTTAATTTGGTACATAGTAAGAATCAAGATATTAGTGAAAATTAGGCAGAGCTAACAGAAAAGGATGTGTAAGATGGATAATTGGTAAATGATGTCAAAGGTTAAGTTAGAGAGAAGGTATAGATTGGCATGGAATAGGGTCTTGCGTGTTTAACTTTTTTTTTTTTTTTTTTTTTTGAACTCTCATACTCTTTCTTGCGTTAGGTACGTACGTGATAGTATAACTATAACCTTCCACATTTAGGATAAAGGGTTTGGGTCAATTAATGATACAGACCGAAATGGACAAACCCTAAAATGGAAACCTGGCAGTTTATATAACCTAGCTACAAGAGGAGCAATCATAGGCATGCGAGAAGGCATAATGTCAATTAAATCAGGCGGTAAACACTTATAAAGTCTCGTACTTGTAGCCAAAACGCATATGCAGGATCCCTAGACACATGATGTCTCCAACTACCAGTTTCGATGATCCTGTCTCAAATTAGTTTCTAGACGTTCGTGTGACTGTTCCCAATTACTTTTTGGGAGCAGTATCTTTTAGAAGAAACTCATTTAGCTTAGCTTTTCTAGACATCTCTTTCACACACACAAAAAAACGTTCTGCAACGTATTCTAGATTCCTGATTAGCAATATCCCTAATCAATGCAAAGTCTAGGGTTAATTTTTATAATTTGGTAAAATTAGAGTCAGAACATTATTGTATAATCAGCTATAGATTTTAGCCCTCTTATTATACTCTCTGTTTTTAAGGATGCTCTCTCTTGTCTCCTTACTACTGATTTATAAGCCAAGTCTAAAAACAAAAACAAAAATGATAAGTCTATACAATCCAAAAATAAAACTATTCAAATCTTATGTAAACTCAATATTCTAAAAATTATGAGCATTGACTTTGAGCTTGTCATGTAGAGAAGCACCAGAAACCTCACATCATTACTAATACAGTAATACCTAATCAACCTATACAAGTCAACTTATTCCAACGTAATAAAAAAAAATCAGTTTGAAAAAGAGAAAAAGAAACAAAGAAACTACATGCTCTGTTGTATAATGGTTAATCAATTCTAAAGAGTAACAAATATAAAAGTTTGGAAGAAAGGTAATGAATAAGAAAATACAAGTCAACCATCTGTACAATGTACATATACTTCCTTTCACGTTTGAAGAAACGCAATACAAAAGAACAACAACAACAGCAACAAAAATTGAACTTTAGTTAATTACAAAAGAATCAATTATTTTCTCTACTTATAAGAATTGGTTGAATATAGTAACATAATAAATTTACAAATATATCTATAGAGAAGTAAAAGAAAAAATATATTCTAACAAAAAGAAAAACCTCAACTTTGTTGGGCCTTGGCTTGCAAGTTAGATGATTCCTTCTCTCAAGTGTCTTCAACGAAGACCCTGAAGATGAAATCCCTGAAACGTCGAGAGTATTGCTTTGGATCAACCGCAGATATCGACGTAGGATCATACTGCATTGATTTGTAGGCATGTTCAAGCTTCTTGCTTATGTCGTAGTCTTGGAGAATGTCTATAACACCAAAGTAGAGGATCACATCGTAAAATTCACCAGTTGGTTCCCCAACAAGCTGATTCTCACAGTCACTTCTTCTCACTGTCCTTTCAACTCTTGCAGACATGTTTATACCCAATTTTATTGATGCTAGCCTGGCAAAAAAAATCATTTAAGAAGAACCACACTTGTGTTATAAACAAATCACCCTCTTACGGTTTTGGGATATAAACGTTGAGTTTTTTGTTCTTTACTTGCTGGCATCAAGAAGAAACCGGTCCATTTCTGCTCGCGAGATACGAGGGTTTCCACTATCTGGATTTCCTGCATAAAGATGATGAAGCTGCTTTAATCGAGCTTTCAAGATTTGAAAATTGGGTTAAAGATTTGACAAGAGTTTACCTGTCGGGGTTCGAGCACCCGAAGTAGGAGTGGCAGAGTCCCTGAAAGCAGCTTCTCGAAAGTGAAGACCAACCAAGAGACTATAATCCATGATTCTCTCTTGTTCAAGGAATTCACAGTCTCTGTCCACTTGCCTGGTAAACACACAAACACTTGAATTTCGGTTTACTAATAAAAAAAAAAAGTGAAAAGAGGTATAAGTAAGGAATCAATCACCTGCAGAATTCTTGGAACCAGTTCTTTTGCAATCGGAACGCAAAATTTAGATCAAGATCTTTAAGCGTCGTGTTTGGATCGATTTCAGACTCTGGTTTAGTAGTAAGACGGCCATGAGAGGACCCTTTGAGGTCAAACCGCCTATGGATGGAGTGACCAGTACAGAATAAGTTACCCATTATAACAAATCGAACCTGCAGGCGCAAGTATTCTCTCATCAGTACATCCAAACTGAAAATGCTAATAACAACAATGCAGAGACATGAATACAAAAAGGGTATGGACCTTTTTCTGTGCAGTGCCAGTCAATTTCACGCAATGAAGACCGAAGAACTTGGTAACTAAAGTGTTTTCACAAGCCCTGACATGATTGTAGTAAGCCGGGAGCATCCTAATAAGAACCTGTCAAGGGCAAAACAAACAGATGAGTGAATCTTAATAAACAGAACATTGAGGTTAAAATTCAGGCCTTACTTTGGTTTCTGCCTTCTTCATAGTCTTGATCATGTAGCGGTCATCGTTGGTCAAGTAGAAAAAGCTTCCACTTTTCCCTGGAGATGATAGCTCCCTAAGAGCATCATTCCCACAAATCGATAACATATAATCTGCTGCGTCCACACTAAATAGTTTCCGCAGAGTCCTACATGAAACACAACATTTTCATCTGTTTTCATAATACTACAAGAGAAGAAATAAAAAGTAAGAGAGGTTCTAACCTGAAAACCACAGGACAATAATCCTTCCATTTAAACTCACAAGACTGGTGTGGAGGAGTGTATTTTGAACCTTCAGATGGGAATTTCGTCCAAAGTTTTTCCTTGGGATCAAACGCGGAAGCCTTCAAATCAAGAGAAGTAGCTGGTGCTGGTCTTCCAACAGAATGTCTTCCCAAGAAAAACAACACTCAACATCAAACAAAGCAGATACAAAGCGAAAAACATACAAATAGTTTCGGTTACCTAATTCCGAGCTGCAAGTTAAGCATGAGTTCATAATTCTTGTGACCTTTGGAGATAGTTTGTCCTTGTTTCTTAGCAGGCTGTATTCTCAAAGGCCCTAATGATGATCTATTACTCTCTGGATTATCATCTAACTGAAGATAACCAGAACCATTATTCCTCAAATCCATTTCACCATTACTTACTCTTCCATCAACGGATCTCCTCCTCGGCCTCTCACTGTTCTTGGTCCTGTTCCCACTACTACTCTGCTCCGAACCGTACCAAACAGGCATCTTCTGAGACGGCAAAACCGGGATTCGCTGACAAGTAGAAACAACACATTCACTCAAATCAGCATAGAAGACTTGTTGTGGCTGCCAATCAAAATTCCCAGAAGACGTGGAAGGGTAATAAGTGCCGTTCTGTTCTTTAGGATCTTTGCTCCAAACTCCGACGTAGAAACTCCCATCGGACCATCGGAAAGTTCCATTGCCTTTAGGAGCTCCGTCTTCCCAAGACCCATCGTAACGGTTCCCGTTGCTCCAAATCATGGTGCCGTTACCATTCATCAGCCCATTCTTCCATTGTCCAATGTAATGATTCTCGTTCTTCCATTGGTACCTACCATGTCCATCTTGTAGACCTCTCCTCCATTCTCCGTCGAAGCAATCTCCGTTGACGTAACTTTTCGTTCCTTGCCCGTGTCTCAGATTCATAACCCATGATCCTCTATATAAGTCTCCAGACGAATCGATATAAGTACCTTTGGCAACACAAAAAAATAAAAAAATAAAAAAAACTTTGGCAAACGGGATTCAGATGATCAAACGATACAGAGACAATCGTTGTGGTTGTGAGTATAAGTAGAGATACCTTTGCCGTCCATGTAACCGTTTTTGAAATCGCCTTCGTAGGTGGCACCACTAGGCCAACTGAAACGACCTTTGCCCATGGTTTTGCCTCTGGACCAATCTCCGACATACATACAACCATCGGTCCAAAGGTATTTGCCATGGCCGTGAGGGAGATTATCTCGCCATTGGCCAGTGTAGAAATCTCCGCTCGGTAAAGCCTTTTCGGCGTGGTAAGTCTCTCCAGCTGGTCTGCTGTAATCGTCGGCGTCATCTGCGTGTGCTACCGACATGTCTCTGTTCTTCGTCTTCTTCTTCCTTCCAAATTTCACTTTTTTCACAAAGATATCTATTTTGTTTTTTTTGTTTTTTTTTTCAAATATTGGATTCTACGTCTCTCTCATTCGTTCCTCCATAGCTTAGATCGCGAAGCCGCATTTGCTGTGTTGGAATTCGTCGGTCTTTCAGAAACTATCGGATTTCAATGGAGGAAAATGTAGTATAACGCCCAAGGACGACGAGAGCATTGTAAGAGAGAGGGAGATAAAGGAGATGTCTTTCTTTTCTTTTTTTTTTTTTGTGGGAATGGCGTGGAAACGAAAGAGCAACAGAAATGAAGAGAAGAGAAGAGAAGAGACGAGGAAAAAAAGAAGAAAAGGAAGATGGAGAAATGTTGTTGTTGGTGGTGTGTGATGAAATCTCTCGATAGAGGAGAAATTGAAGAGTTTGGTAATGGCCATTGTTATTGGAGCTCCGCGTTTGATTCCTAAAGCGACTACCAAACCAGACATCTGGAGGGACTCGCATAGATGCGACGTGGTTACCTTGTCAATGCTGACGTCATTTCCTTTTTCCCTTTCTTTTTCGCATTAAAATATAAACTAATAATAATGATAATGAACTTCCCACGGAAACTAAAATTAAATTAGTCAATTACACATACAGGTATTATTGTCTTTTTTTTTGTTGTTTTAAAGTTATCCTAGTCAATGGAGTCCCGTCTCTTATGGTCCATCTGACTCATCTCTTGGATTTTTAAAACTTCTTTCTTCATATTTCAATTTTATTGATTTTATTTCTCTAGTAACATTGGAAATTTTTACTTTTCAACCATCCAAATAAACAACACAACTTCTATATGATTTTTGTGACAGCTAGGTTTTATATGTCTATAGTTTAGTTTGAATAGAAAAGGCCTAACTGAGAGTTTAGATGGGATTATTCGTTTTCCTTAAAGAGAGAAAAAGTGTTTATGATTTGGTTTTCATTCTACAAACAAACATTTTTGTCTGTCTTACTTTCTTAAGAGTCATCGATTGGTACTGTTTGACACCAAACAAAGAAAACATCTTTGGTGAAGTTAAACATGTATAAATTTCTATTATCTCGTCCAATGAAATCGTTTCTAACTGGTTTACCCCAAGGAAATTTACTATTTTTTTTTTAGAGCTGTCTTAACAATTTACGGAGAAGCTGACTTTTTTTTCCTTTGGTATAATGATGACCAAACCTCATAAAGTAAGAAAAAGCTGTCCACCTGAAACAAGCAAGAGAAATCCACACACCTTCTTCAAAACGCTTCTTGCCATCTCCACTTATACGCTATCCAAAGCATCACTCTGCAATTCATCTTTGTTTCTTGCAGGAGCCAATCTTTCTGTTCCTAGTCTCTCCTCTAGAGCTCTTGCCCCTCTTTCTCTGCAAATAACATCTTTTTGTTATGACAAGTTTTTGCCTTTTCCAGAACCTGATATACAACTTTCTCACAATTTGGTTCGGTATAAACCATTCATAAGTCTAACTCCTACATTTTGCTAAAACAAAAACTGATGACGAGCCACTACTATTTTTTCTTAGAATCGAGTGAATGTAATCATTTGTTATCTCAGTTTGCATCAACTAGATCCTATAGTATGTCAAGCCAAATAAGGGTGTACATATTTGAAGACGTGATCTGCACTAACCCCCAACGAGCTAAGGATTTAGTAAGATCGTTGCATCTAAAGTCATAAACTGCCATTGAACTAGAACAGGAAATAGGGGAAAAGAAAAGGAAAAAAAAATTACCTTCTCCTGGATGCTTCAACAGAATCAGAACCTGGCAATGGCGCACCGCTGGTAGCATAACCATGGTCTTCACTGGTGACATTTGATCGTCCACAAAGCATTCGGTGAAAGATTAATGCTATGGGGTCAATTACGGGCCTGCGTTTCATTTCGGAAAAATAAAACAAAATTACCAACAACATAGGAGGCAAGAATTGATATGCGGGCAAAGTCGAAAGTATAGTTAAAAGTGTAGAAATAATTTTCACCTGAGAAATTCAGGAAAGAAAGAGGAGAATGCAAAGTCATCACTTGGATCTCCTCTGAGCTTTGTTTCTGGTCTCCTCTGTAGGTACCTGAGGTATAACCACCCCATATATGTACCAAATATCAAAGTGGGAAGATATGCTGCTGAATCTAGTGTGAAGAAGCTTGAGGCTATTGACAAAACTAGCACAATTGAGGGCAACCACTGCACACAAAAACCAGACGTAGAATAGGATGTGAGAACTTCTTCAACCAGCCAAAGTTGAAATAAGAAAATGACATAGTTATATTCATATCTTACAACAAAGTAAGAGATTACCTTTGCTTTTATCTTTATCAGATATACCTCCTGGTCAGGTATTATCTGCTTTATACCGACAAGAAGGCCTGCCAAGACACCATTAAAACCTGCAAAGGGCATATATCTAGCAAGGAGAAAACAGAGAACACATTATGATACTGTGGAAAAAATGAAGTTAACTAAGAATAAAGGATTCATCATATACAGTGGTGAAGATTGAACTTAATCGAGCAGAGAAGCAAACGAGTTACAATGTACACAGCTTGAAGAATTTCAAACTCTATTTTCATAATGGAGTCACCTTCATGTATAAGTAAGAGAACAGAATAAAAAAGCAGACACTAAGTGTGTATGTATAGGAAGGTGGAGTACTTACAGGTAGATTTCCAGCCTCGTTATGTAGTACAAGGCAATGGCTGTAACGAAGACACAGAGATACGTAAGGAAGTTCACCACAAATATGAACTTAAGGAACTCCTTGGAACCCCAGACGGGTTCCAGGAACTTTCCCATAAAGAGGAGAGAAACGGTGCTGAAGACAACCTGCCACATTGCAAACAGTCACTCGTCTATTCAATTATTGTAGATTAGAAATCTAGACTGGCTAGGAACAAGTTGAACATACCCCATATACTGATAGTTCAAAATAGCCGCTTGTAATAAGGTTCCAGGCAAAAGGAATAGTCCTATAATAGAGAAGATTTAACAAATATAACAAGTCAGAACCTACCATGGTAATAATACTTCAATCCCAAACTAGAGAATGACATATGCTGATTATCTGAGAAGCCATTCAGTCATTCTTAATACTGGATTTCACAATGTGCAAGGAGCATCACATTGGAATGATATGGTAATATTACCATGCGAGCATCAAATTCGCATCCTAAGTAATACACTTACTAGCTGATTTAAAATATATGGAACCCTAATCCTATCAAAACAGTGAACCAACAATTAGTTAAAGCATAAACAACAATCACGCAAAATCAAGCAGTAGAACAAAATGCATTCAGTAGCAAAATCGTAACCCTAGAATTGACAAGAGGGAGAGAAGACGAAGCAGTACCTCGCCGGAATGAGAGCAAGGTATGGGACGGTAGCAGGAATGAACTGAACAACGAGGTGTCCCACCACAAGCACCAGAGCAAGTCCTTTGCAGAGCTTAGTGAAATTGGTGAACATACTGGTTCCCTGAATCACAATGTAAGAAGACGAAGAAGAAGATCAGAGAAGACGGTTTATCAAAACAACGAAAACGCAAGAGATCGCAGGCGGATTTGGTAGATCTGATATAATATTCCGTACCGGAGAACTCATGTCGCCGGACTTGAGCGAAGAGTGTAACAATAAATCTGAGATGCCTGACGAGTGACGATAGATCTCGTCGACGCAGCTCTAACCGGAGATTATTTTCTCCTCCTCTACTTCTTCTCCCACAATTGGAAATATATTACTTATATATATATAAAATTAATTTTATTACTTAACCGTGTTACCGGACTAATTAATTATATATTCTTTATCATATTACATCTCCATATCGGTAGCTTGTAACCTCAAACATACATGATTTTTCGAAATATAATTGGGTCTCTCCCTGTAGAAACTAGTATTTGGTTCTCTGAAGAATCATCAAAATCATATTATGGTTTAATTTTTACATAGGTTTTGAGGTGGATCAAGAAGAAAGTAGCATCATCATCTCTTCACTATTGATAAAAAAAAAAAAGTAAAACTTTAATGAAAATGAGGGATCAAGAAGAAAGTAGAAGCATCATTGAGTGAGAGGAAGACATTCAAGCTGGATCTCAAGTACACCTCTCTCGACATTTTGGAGCCTAAGTGATATGTCTTGTTTCACTTTCCCTTCTTCCAGCGAGATTATGCCATCTCTCACCAATGTGTTTTCTTTGCTCGCCACCCAACTCCCCAGCTGCATCGGTTCCTTTATGCTTGATGTCTCGTAAGCTTTTGCTGCGCTCACCAATGGTTGTATGTCTATCTCTGCCTCTCCCATGAAATCATCTGTCGAGAATGTATCTTTGTCGTACACTAGCTGGAAAGTTTACATATCAGTTAAGAGTTTGGTTAAGTCAATGAGCTCAAACTAAAGCTCTCTGTTAAAAAATATTCATGATTTTTCTGTGCTTACCACTTTGAGAGGAGGCATGGGCTCGGGTATGGAAAGCATTAGCGTCTCATTCCATACAGGATTCAAGTTGTTCTTTATCACCCGTGTTTTTACCGACTACAACAAACAAACAATGAGAATAACCGAGTTTGTTCTTCATGCAAGAGGTTAATTTAAAATCATATACAAGCTGTCTAGAGAGATTTGGCAGAGAGCTCACTTGTTGGCCAAGAGCAAGGATAACATAAGGATCACTGGTCATGACGTCTCGAACCGCAAGATTGGTTCCTTTTACCACATTAACCTTAATTAATCCCACAAACTCAATCATACCTGCCTATAAAACACCCACAAGATTAACGTTAGCAACAGTTATTAGCCAATCATGTAATGTATGTATGTATGTTTTAGTGGTTGTTACCATGGAATTGCTCTTCTTTGGTCCTTTGGGATCAGATTCTCTTCTTCCCCAGCTATTCCTAAATGCATGACCAATACGGTTTTTTGTAGAACGGTGGTTTGCGGAACATAAAGACGGTGGTGAAGTATTTACTTTGCTAGGTTGCTGATAAGGGCACAAAGCACCATCCTTTGGATCCATAAACTGGTGCATTTCATATTTTTTTCTGCAGATATCAAAGATATAAGTATATAACGATAAGATGATTAACAAACATACCATTATAACAAACTGTAAGTAAAACGTCACCTGATGAAATCATTGCGTTCCTCATTAGTGGAATCTGGTTTGGGTTTCTTTGACTGGTCGATGTTGCAAGCTTCGAATCTCTGGTTCACTACAGTGTTTCCACCATACCCTACAAGCATGTCAACTTGATCATCTGTCCAGTCGTCTAGCTTTACTGACAGAACCTGTGATGATCGGTCAATCAAATTAATCGATATAATCCTATAAACACACCCAAAAAAAAAAAAAACAGAGCAAAATCAAGATTGTTTATGAAAAGAAAGTACCTTAGATATATGAACTCCAAGACTCCTGTGTACACCAGAACACTTAATGCAGATGAATACACCGAGACTCAACGATCTAAAACGAACGAGATGAATCAGTACAATCCATCAATAGAAATGAGCAAACCACACACAAGTATTAAGGGCAACTTACACCCATTTTGGTTCAGGAGAGCCACAGTCAGCACAATATTTATTCCCAGGTTGCTTAAGCAACTTCTCCAACCGATCTCGGGGATCTGAAAACAAAAAAAAACCAAACAGGAGATGAGATCGTCTCCAACTGACACTAACATATCTTAAGAATGTTAATCTCCGACAAAAATTAATCACCAGAAGAAGATGTTTGCAAATCCTTTAGAGGAGTCCATTTGGGTGTCTCTGAACATAAAAGTTCATATAAGCAAGCGTGCGTCCCTATAATTAAAAAAAAAAAAAAAAAGCCAAAAATTTGAAACCTTTTACAGGTTTGAAAACTTGAGGGTGAATAATTGAAGAAAAGATTGTGTTGGATTTACCTGGAACTTCAACAGGATCGACATTTTCTTGGCCGAGAGACATTTCGAACCAGAGCCGAGACAATGATAAAGAACACACGAATGTTCAGAAAAGCCGTGACCATTCAAACAAGATTCTCCCAAAATCAAGACAACATCCCCCGAAGAGCCATTGCATTTTTTATACAACGAGAATCTGAATCAACACGAACAAAATATAAAGAGATGCAATAACTCGATTGCACCACAGAAAGCAAAAGTTTTTCAGGGATTTACCTTAAACAAAGGGAGAATATGAAATTCCAAATCCATCGAAGCCCTCACTCCAAAAATTCAATTTCTTGGAAGAACCTAAAAACTCTAAAGATCAGTTGAAAGTCTTTTTTTTTTTTTTTGAGAAGAACTAATGTTTTGGATATAACGTCCACGGAGGGTAAAAAACCTATAAACGATGAAAAATAAAACAGAATTACGAAAGGATTTCGGAAGAAAATTGTCTGAAAAATTGCATCATCCTGCAGACAAGAGAGATGGAGAAGCCTATGATTAGTTGTGTTTTTGTTTTTTTATTTGTCGGCCAGAGAGAGAGAGAGAGAGATAAACCAAAAAAAAAAAAAAAAGAAGAGGAATTTCGATTTTTTGTGATTTTCAATTTTGTAGTTGACACGTCATAAAACAATTATCACAACATTTAATTACTTCCTTCTTCAAATTTTTTTCCCTGACAACAAAACAACCTAATGAAAATATCTTAATTTAGGAACACAGGTTATAATAAAGGAAAAAAAAAAGAAAGAAGACACAGATTAAAATTTTGTGATTGCCTGTGCAAACAAGACAATAAAAGGCAATAAGTTGTGTTTGGTTTACCAATAGATAGATACTGAACTAATTGTAATGAGTTGATAGTTTTGGATTTGGCTCATAGCAGTAGTTGCCTCATCATTGTCATTCTTTTGAATTATTATATCGTGACTTGGTGCCCAATCTACCAAAGAGCAAACTTAATTTTGAATATAATAACAACTGAGAAAGTCGCATACCTTTTCACCCTCAACTAACTCATGCCCCCATCTTCGACAATATTAAAACACACAAAAGAACCCACAGATGATACCCAAAACACATTGCAATTTTAAATAAACAAACTAGATGTATATAAAATAATATTTCATTTACAGCTTTTAAACATTGGTGACATTGACAAGAAAAGACAGAACAAAGATAACTAGCAATATTAGCACAATATGTACTTGTACCTTCCCACTCATAGTTTATACCGGATCCTGAGGAATTCCCAGTAATAGTTTAGCATATGGTCACTAGGCTTCACGCGATCCCAGTTCCCGTTACAGAATATCGCATACGCATCCGCTGCATACTTTCCAATGCCATGCAGTTGAGTGACATGAGTCCAGCTCTCATTAAGATACTCGAGAGAAAACCGTTGAATCATTTTGGCTCTCTTCTTTTGTAGTCCGAGAGGTTTTATTAGACTCTCTATCTCCTTTTCTTCAACTTCTGTTGCAGTCTTTGCATCAGGACACAATGTGAACAAGTCTGATATCACTCCCCGCGTCTGCAATCACATTTTAAAAGTATATCCACTGACCAACCACAAAGCCTTTTCTTCTACCGAATTCAACAAAACCAAGCAATTCAATTCATAAATGCAACTACTTCTTCTACAACAGTTAAATATGTAAATTGAAAGCTTTAAGCCCACAGAGGTCTAACTTCTTACTTTCTAACAAATTTTGGAATTCTCTCAAGAAGGACTTACATGTGCTGATTGCTATCAAAGATTGAGAAAGGTATGAAACAATAAATGACAACACTAAACACACCCACTCAAACTTATTTGGTCTTAAATTTGGTCTTAAAATGCTAATTATATTCAAGTTCAGCAAAGATAAGGAGAGAGGAATGAGGCCAAACCTGTGCACCAGATGTTTTGTTGAGAAGCATACATATAACTAGCACCCGCCATGGATCATGCCAATGATCTTCTTGAAGTAAATTACACGGAGAGCGTGGAGGCACCCATGTGTTATCTGGCGTTTTGCGCAGGTATGCCTCATCCGTCTTCTGAGAAGGCGATAGTGAAGGGCTCACAACGGGAGTTTTCCTCACCCTCCTAGATTTCTCCTTTTGTGAATCAGCAACTTGAATTCCATCCGCAGACACATCATGGAAATATCTTGAAACTTTCACAACTTTAAAATACTTGCGCAAATCCCTTGGCGGGTTTGGCTGTTCTGAATCAGCTGACGCCTGGAAATAACGGGAAACTCTTCTGACCTTAGCTTGATGTTTGCTGCTATCTCTCCTATAACTTCCTCCACTTTGAGAAGAAACAATGTCAGAATCACACTGTGAAATAGCAGATGCCTGGAAGTATGGAGAAACTCTAGGGACTTTAGCTTGAACTCTGCTGCATCTTTTCCTACAATTTCTTCCACTTTGAGAGGAAACACTATGAGAATCACACCCTTCTTTGGACTGTTGTGACACAGTAGACCCCTGGAAGTATGGAGAAACTCTTCTTACACCAGCATGAGATTCAGAAACAACATCATCAACATCAATTTGAGGAGAAACAAGATTACTCTTTGTTTCACTTCCAAATGCATCTCTTTTCCTAGTCCTCACACCCTTATAAGAGCACCCAGATAAAAAATCATCCAAATTTCTTCTACTAGATGAAACAAAGCTATCGCTCTTCTCCTTGTCGAGGCAACAAACATCATCATGACATTGAAGAAGCAAATTACTTGAACCATGTCGAGTTTCAGTCTCAGCAATGCAACCCAAAACTCGAATTCGATCATCATAGTCCTCCCCATCCTCAAATAAACTAATCGAGCGATTCTCATCACATACCTCAATAATATCGGAGTCGGGTCTCCGAGGAGTCATCATCACTGAACTATCATCGTCGCTCCCAAGTCTCCGACTTCTCCTTCGCGCATACGTATAAATTACAGGAGGAACCATCTCAATTTACAAGTGGGAGAACCTCCTCAATCTCACTTAAACAGAGCACCCAATCCCTCCTCTTCGCCGATACTTTCGTCTGTAAATTACCATTTTCTGCCATCAGTATATATTACGCCGTAAATACTTAATTACGAAATAATTACATAAATTGGGAATTATTTTTTTAATTATTATATACAGAAAGCTTTTTTGACAAATAAAAAATTAGGGTTGAAAAAAAGAGAACAAAAAGCTCCGCAGCCTCTCCCGAATTATTTTCCTCGGTAAGAGTAGACAATCCCTCATGCGGTTTCGTTACCAAAGGTAAATCCTTTTTGAAGATTCTGACTTCTGAGTTAGTTTTTAGTAAGTATCAGCCTAGACTTTAGTCTTAATTACTCGGAAATAGAAATTACTACTAGTCATGTTTTAGGTACAACACTCCCTGATAAAAGCTCCTCCTTTGGTATATTTGGTTAAACAAGTGATTACTGACTGAATACTATTATTGATCAAGATATATCTCTATCCAGTTTTTGTGTTTGCTATTCTGAAATCTATGTATCTATATCTTTCATATGAAGGCATATTGGGTTTTGTTTTGGCAGTGTGGATCAAGACGATGGACCCGGTGTCTCTCCCTGAACAAAACCTACGTTGTTCCCAGGACGACTAGATATATTGGTAGCGAGCTGATATATCGAGAGACTAGTCTCTTTGTTTCGAAGAGAAATATGTTTTTTTCACGAACTAGCAATTTTCTTTTACACCAATGACATTAATTTAATTCAGTAGATGACTTTATTAAACGAAAATGACTCTCTTTATTTTTAAATGTAAATTTGTAACCATTCACCCAAAGTTTTTAGCAATATTCGTTTATTCGCTCATCTGACTTTACTGATACATACTATAGAGAATGATCTAGTACAATTCACTTCCACATTTTGTTTGATCTTTTTTACAGCACATTGGGAAAAAAAAAAAAAAAAAAAGGTGTTTTGGAATTTTTTAAAATTTGGTTATTTCCATATTAATTTTTAGTTTGGTAAATTTTTAATTTTTAGTTTGGTAAATTTTCAATAAAATGTTAGTTTGGTAAATTTTTAATTTTTTTAACCAATAAATGCCGGCTTCGGTAAGAACGATCCGCTGGAGCCGGTTTGGGTGAAGGTGTATAAAGAAACTAATGACGCCTTCGACAAATTTGGTTCGAATCGGTTAAGCCGGTTTAGGAACAGGTCGGTGTTGCGGCGGGTCTTGTTCTTGTAGGGAAAGGCAAAATCGATCCCACTGTGCAAGCAAAAGAAAATTGAAAGTCAGAAAACCTTATAAAGCGGCGAGGGCAACCGCAATATTATTTTTCCGACAGAGAAGAGAGAAACACAGCTGACCGAATTGTCTAAAAAAAAAAGATGGCGAATAATAATAGCTGTTTGGCTAGAATCACTGCCGGAGTTGCCATTGGCGGCGCAGTTGGTGGCGCTGTAGGTACGCTTCTTTTTTTTTCCTGGGGAAAAAACCCTAAACCCTAAATTACAATCTTAATTGCCTTTAAATGTTATTCGATTTTTGGAATTTGTACAAGAATTTTGGTATGGAGATGATATTCAACTTGTTTTGTGGTTGTGTTCAGGTGCTGTCTATGGAACTTACGAGGCGATTAGATTCAAGGTAAGCCTTGTTAAATTCGGGTTTTTTTATGAAAGTGAAACTCTTTTTCACTCTTGGATATAGCTCCTTCAATTGTAAACACACTGCAACAGCTCCGTCTTATCGCTTCAGTTATGATTGGTCTTGTTGTCTTTATTTGTGAGTTATAAAGAGGATGATCAATCTCAAGTTTTAGCTCTTTAAGTTAGATAAGAAAGATGTCTAAAGTTAGAGATTGCTCTTGTTTGTCACTATGCTTACACGGTTGTGAACACAATCTCAATAGATACTTATGCCAAACGTTAACTGTGTGAGGTTCATATCACATTACTACTGCTTCATGATCACTGATTCCTTTTTCTCTTTCTGCAGGTTCCGGGACTTATGAAGATTAGATACATTGGCCAAACTACCGTTGGCAGTGCGGCAATTTTCGGGCTTTTTCTAGGTGCCGGCAGTTTGATACATTGTGGAAAAGGCTACTGATTCCCTTACATTTCTTTAGCTCTAGAAGCTTTTAAGTTTGTCTCTCTGGTCAAAGATTGGATTCTTTTCTGAAAGATATTGAGTTTTTTTTTTTTTTTTTTTGAATAAGTATTGGATGAATAAACTTATATGTTTCTGCTGCTATTTGTGAACTTTCATCTCTGTTCGTTTGATGAGCTTCTTACTCTTTTGGCCTAAGATCACCTGGTTGTTGATGAAAAGATCATGTTACAAGGGTTTAGGATCTAGATAAAGCTTGGAAAGTGGAGTAAAAAGATTATATTATACTTATATTAATGATAATCTTTGTTTTTTTAACCATATGTGCCAAAAAAAGAAGCTTTAAATTATCGTAGAGGTGACTTGATTGCTCATACACTCAGGAACAGGATACTTTGTTACATCTCTTCCAGCTTTGCTAATCCTTAGTTCTGGCTGTCCTAGAGATTGTCTGTGTAATTTCTTTATCATCTTCTCAAACTCTGTTTTACTCATTGATGTGTTCGCAAAGTATGGAAGCATGTGCCTTTTGTTTGGTGTTATAATTTTCTTGTGTCCTTCATAAGCCCTGTGCCCCTGAGAGATTAATTCAACCCTTGAGAGTGGGTAAAGTTGCCACATTAGAAATCTGACTTTTGAAACAACCGAGACCTAAGAATGTGTACCTGAATTGCATGGCCCATGTTCCCTCCATGAGATGCCATAAACACATCACTCTCCTTACACACTATATAGTCGATTGCTGCCATTATCGAAGCTCGTTTTGCAAAAGGTTTGAGTTCAAGAGGCAATGCAATATCGTACTTGTTGTAGAGATGTGGGAATTCACTTGTTAACGGTTTCAAAGCTTCTTTTCCGCCAAGCGGTTCCCCTCCCGCCCAATAGATCCTTGCATCTCTTGGTGCTCCAAGAGCTCTAAGCAGTCTAATTTCAAAAGGTAGAACTGAGAGCCAATCTCTCTCACAACACAGAAAACCTTGTAAGAAAAATAGTAGCTCACTCATTTACCTTGTTACTTCCTTGGCATTTAATGGACAGAGACCTGCGAGTTTCCTCTCGTTAGATGTCATACTAGATTTGGCTGTTAGGAGCTCAGGCCGCTTAATCCTTTCCATGTTTACAATCTCATCATACTTTGAGCTCAAACCAGAGAGGCAGCCTGTTCTCACCCATACATCTTTCTCCATTCGAAGATGCAACGCAATGTAAGGCCCTTTGCTCCTCATCCTCTCTGCAAGCTTCTTCCCCATCTCCATCACCCGTGGCGAAAACTTTAGTGCTTCAAAGGCTACCTGCAACATATAATTTTGTTCAAATAATAAGGACAAAAACAACTCGTTTAGCTTCCGAGTTAGAAACATACCTTACAACGAAGCTTCTGGAGATCAGAGGGTAAGTCTTTAGACAACCTTGAATCTAATCTCCTTAAAAGCAGAACTCCTTCCTTGTTGAACTGCAGATATAAAAGAACAACAAAGACCATTGAACATTACTTCTCACTTGTTAATCACTAATTGATTCCAAGGGATGTTGTATGATCTTACACGCTTTAGATAGTGCGAACGGATCCATTGAGGGGAGGCGTTAAAGGGCATACCACCTTCTTCTGATGGTCTAGTCATTAGCTTACTTGCGGGAAGCAACGAAACTATCTTCACATCATTTGCTAAAACACTCTTGAATTGCTCTAAATCAAATATATCTGAAAACTCACTGCAAACAAACATTCATACAATGACGGATGAACACAAAAATGAACATTCTTATGTCTTATGATCCATAATGAAATAGCTATTTACCTTTCGTCACCCCAAATGAGATTGATTTGCAATATTGGTACAACAAGAACAGCACCTAGAATCCTCGCAATCACAACTGCGTCAACAATCTGAATCTTCTGCTGATTCAACCCACCAGAGACAACCACCATCAGATACCTTCTCCTCTCTGTAGCAATCTTCTTACTCTCTCTTCTGTATCCAATGCTGAAATCTAAGCATGGCTTGTAACCTAATCCATCAGGCTGTTTCCAGAACTCATAAATATCACCTTGTCCATTTCCATTAGAGGTGATCAAATGTGATTGAACACCACCAAAGGTCTCATTTTTCTCCACACCTGTATCCAAAGATCGATCCTTGGCGTTGGAAATCTCAACTTGAGTAGTGTTTGATCGTCTAAACGCAATACTCAGATGGGATTTAGGAGGTACATTAGAATCTGAGCTCTGAAGTTGACTTTTGTGATCGCCGAAACCAAAAGGAGAAAGACAAAGACCGAGTCTTAACGATATGCCCAAAATAGTAAGTAAGAAGAGAAGTAAAGCCCAGAGCTTTGGGTTTACGAGATTGAAGAATTTGTTTGTGTTCTTCTTTGAAGATCTGTTATGGAGAAAAGAGTGCAAAGACGACGAGGAAACTGATTTTATGATCAGAGCTGGGACTGAAATGTAGCAAACTTTCTTCTTATTACTACTGCTTCTCGTCTTCCATGTTCCCATCACAGCTCAAAACAGAGGTTATGAGAGCTTTCTGTGGAAATCAGTTACGGCGGGAACATAGAAGATTGCTACAAAACAGAGGACTGTGTTGTGTATTGTGTAGTATTCTCTTGGGGCAGTTTCGTTTCCAAAGAAGATTCTCTCATATGTTATTTTTAAATTTTTGGTGGTGATAATTAAATAATCGAAAATTAGTTGGAGAATATCTGTATTTTTTGGGTTTTTTTTTTTATTGGTCAATATTAAAAAAATGCACCCAACAAGGCAACAACACACACGCAACAACTTTTTTAATAATATCAAACTACTAAATAATAGACCAAAATGTTTAGATAGAGACATATTATTCTATTTAGTATTAGCTTATCAATTGAGACGACCTTATCATAGTGTATTATCTTTTAGACTATTAAAAATTTGTTTTGCTTACGTCGTAGGTAAAAATATAATTATATACTTAAAATTGTGTTATGTAGACTATTGAAATACATCATATATGATATTTATGTTTCATGCAGCCATAATCATTTTTTTTTCTTTTTTTTGTATGTATCGGACGTTAAATAAATGCTGATTAGCAGATAATTTATGAATGCCTTTAAAAAAAATCGTAGTATGTGTTAAATATTAGAGAATAAAATTTTATAAATTCTTAACGAAAATGAATGTTATATTTGTAGTTTTGTTTCTTTTCTAAAACGAATTTTGGTGATATATCTCGTTCTGCTGAAGTAGTAGACTAGATGAAACGAATGAGCTGGGCCAATATAAGAGATGTCACAGGCCCAAGATTGAGCTCATTCTGATTTGTGATCACATTGCTAGTTGTGGTGAGGTAGTCTTGCATCTTACTGGCGAAACTTAATTCATCCCACCTATGTCTCTGTATTTTTTTTTTATTCATTGCGTGCGTAGTAATGAGCAGAGCTAGCTTCGTTTTACTATCGGTCCCGTTGGTGGGGATGCATTTTTCAAAGTTTCTCATAAACTAACGAACAATGATCGTAGAAACGCAAGTTAAGAAGGTTAGTGGAGTCGTGGGCTCACGTATCTTTGAAGCAAAATCTGATTAATCAAATCAAATTATGGGATACCATATTGTTCTCAGATTACAATTTTATCGTAGAAAAAGTTTACGTGTCTTTATCATATGAGAACATCAACTATATTTAAAAAAAAAAAAATGAACATAGGCTATATATAGCACTTCAGCACGTTTTCGCCTTCTTTAGTTTTAAGCTTTTTCAAAACATGGCACAATTCTTGATTAAAATCTAGATTTGGAATCATATTTTACACCTAACCCAAAAAACAAAAACTAAAGGAATCATAATTTTCATTTATTACTAGCGAACTGTGAATTAGAAATTTTAAAACTTTTTTTGAAAGATCCAGTGTTAAATAGTCTTACACATGTCTCTCTCTCTATCTTGCAATTTAAAATTTTAAAATTATAATGATGATAGAAACAGCTAGAAAATGATCCATTTAACACATCATCATATGCAAATTACATATTTGTCATCAGAAAAGAACACAGCCAAAAGCCGATATACGAACAAAGTTAAGGGGCATAATAGTCAATTACCAAAAATAGGAGAAAATATCATAAATCAGAGGCTAAATGGGGACATAAACAAAATGATTCAAAAAAGTTAAACCTGCGTCATTAGTATTAGTACTAGTAGTAATCCAAGCCAGTTCTCTAAATAACGTTTCAAAATCATAATAATCTTTCATTAAATTATAAAATAACCCCCAAAAGAAAAGTACAAGGCTCACGATTCAACCTCTCAGCTCAGCTCTATCTAAAAAAGTTCACATATCTTCTTCTTCCTTTCACCTAGCGATTGAATCTCTCTCTCTCTCTCTCTGCTTCTTGTTCGACAGCGAGAGACGCGGGGATTCAATTCAACGCTCCTCTGGATCTTTTTGTTGTCAGTTAAAATAATTTTCCTTTTTTTTTCCTTTCTCCTAATCTATTTATATTAGAGTTGTTTTATTTCTCTGCTTTTTCCATTTTTAGTGTCCTTTGTTCTCACGAGCTAGCGAGAGAGAGAGAGAGAGAATCATAAATAAATAATAAATAAAAAAAAGAAATCATCTGTTCTTGCCTTGTTCTTCTTCTTTTTGTTTCTGGAAATTATATATATATTTTTCTTAACAAAAAAAAGCTGTAATCTTTTTTTGACTGTGTGTGTGGGCGTCGTAGAGGAGAAGATTAGGTGTTCAAAGAGAGGTGATAACGTTTGCAGAACGTGACTACAATTATAATATTCAGAGGTACCAATCAGATTTCTATAACTCTCTCTCTCTCTCTTTTGGATTAATTCAATATATATATCAAACACCAACTTCGTTTTGTTAATTTTTTAATTTTTTTCTCTCCGTAGCAGCAGCCTAGAAACTTTGTATTGACGGTGTCCATGTTTCCGTGTTCGTCCTTGGTCTGAAATTGACGAAACTTGGGAATTCAGACGATAGAAAATAAAATAAAAAAGGCTTTGAATTTGGAGGATGTTTGGGATCCAGAGCAGGCGTGATTTGACAATGGAACTCCAATCTCAGATTCCGATTCTCCGTCCCAGCATCCACGCCAGACGAGCCAACATCGTCGTCAAGTTCCAGGATTTGTACGGCTTCACCGTCGAAGGAAATGTCGACGACGTTAATGTCTTGAACGAGGTCAGAGAGAAAGTGAGGAATCAAGGACGGGTTTGGTGGGCTCTTGAAGCTAGCAAAGGTGCTAATTGGTACCTTCAGCCGGAGATTCTCTTGATCGGCGACGGCATCGCTTTGAAAACGTCTCTCAAGATCTCCACTTTGACCAATGCGATTACTTTGAAGAGGTTGATTAGGAAAGGGATCCCTCCTGTCCTTAGGCCTAAGGTTTGGTTTTCTCTTTCCGGTGCTGCTAAGAAGAAGTCCACCGTCCCCGATAGTTATTACAGTGATTTGACTAAGGCCGTCGATGGCAAGGTCACCCCTGCCACCAGACAGATTGATCATGTGAGTTTGAGTACATCCAAAGTTTCAGTTTTTGCCTTTTTGATCCATCCATTTGAGGTTTGATTGGATTTATTCTTTTTCTTCTCAGAGCTTAGTATTTTTTTTTAAAGAAATTTTAGGATTGAATTTGAGTGAACCTTTGTGTTAGGATTGGTGTAGATCTGTAGTCGATTCTTGTGCTTTGTTGGCAACTATAAGAGCCTACTTTTAAAAGCCTATCTCTTTTACTACTGTTGTATGATGGTCATAGGAGGCTGCTTCATATGTTGTGTCCTATGAATAGTTCTTTCATCCCCTAGATCTTCATTGTGCCTCTCAATTAGTATTTTGAGTAATTTAATGATCGATGTTAGCTGCAGGAAACCAACAAAGCTTGGTTTCATTTCCAAATATTTTAATTGATCCTTTGTTCTAGATTGTTCTAGATCCGTTGTTCATCCTCGTGTTCAGGCAATTTCTTGTAGAGCCTTCCTTCTGTGTTGATTGATGGTCATTTGAGGCTATATGCTATGAACTGTTGATTTTCTTATCTTATACTGCAACCGCCTCGGATTTTCTTGTTATTTTCCTTTGACTGACATTGTGTCTCTACTCTTGCAGGATCTGCCACGGACTTTCCCAGGCCATCCATGGTTGGATACTCCAGAGGGTCATGCTGCTCTACGACGCGTGCTGGTTGGGTATTCTTTTCGAGATTCTGATGTTGGCTATTGTCAGGTACACGCTTGTCCTTTCCCATCTCCATTTCCGTTATATTGAAAAAATATTTTCTTAATCAACTCCATTATTGTTCCAGGGCCTAAACTATGTTGCAGCATTACTATTACTTGTCATGAAGACTGAAGAAGACGCATTCTGGATGCTAGCAGTCCTTTTAGAAAACGTATTAGTCCGTGACTGCTACACAACAAACTTGTCAGGATGCCATGTTGAGCAGCGGGTTTTCAAAGATTTGCTTGCCCAAAAATGTCCTCGGTAAGTCTCTTCTTACTTTCTTGGTTCTTGGTCGCTGAACTTCACCAGCTTATCAATTTCTTACGTTATCTTGTTGTCTTTGCAGAATAGCTACACATCTTGAAGATATGGGCTTTGATGTTTCCCTCGTAGCCACGGAATGGTTTCTATGCCTCTTCTCTAAAAGCCTTCCTTCAGAGGTTCTTAAAAACAAAACCTTTCGTCAAATTATGTATCTTTTAAGATTATTTTTTTGATACAGAGAACTTTGTTCTGGTTTGCAGACAACTCTAAGGGTGTGGGATGTACTTTTCTATGAAGGAGCAAAGGTTCTATTCCATGCAGCTCTAGCAATATTCAAGGTTCTTAATTCTCTTCCTCTGATCATCCTTTTCTGTAAATACTAATCCTGCACAGATGAATATCATCTCACGGATCTCTCTTCATTCGCAGATGAAAGAGAACGAGCTGCTTATGACCCACCAGGTCGGGGATGTGATCAACATATTACAGACAACTTCACATCAGCTTTTTGACCCAGATGAATTATTAACGGTAAGCCAAGCCTACCACCCTAATCCAAGGTCGAGTTTCTATATATATATTCAAGATTCATAATACATAATATAAATAAACAAATATTCAGGTGGCATTTGAGAAAATCGGATCAATGACTACCAACACCATATCAAAGCAGAGGAAGAAGCAGGAACCAGCAGTGCAGGCAGAACTTGACCAGAGACTTCGGAGGCTCAACTCTCTTAAAGAAAGTGGTAAGAGCACATAACCAAAACAACTGTTGGGAGAAAATGAGCCAAAAGGTGTAAAAGAAGGACGAGGGAGCCAAGTCCAACAATGGTTTATTTACCCATCTTGATTGTTTTTTTCTTTTCTTTTCTAAGTATATATAAATAGGATTTTGTTAATTTTATTTTGAGAGCAAAACATAACCAAGATCCATTTCTGAGATGGTAAATGTCAAGTTTCTTCACATTCCAAGAGGTCTTACCTGCCCTCTTGCTTTTCTTTACCTGTCTTTGACATAATCAATTGTGATCTCTATGTTTTAATTTGATCCATGTTTGGTCTGCAGTATGAATTGGCAACTGTTCTTCTGAATACTCTTTTTAGAAACAGCAAGTCGTAAAGCAAATGGATGATATGAGCATAAGAACTTGGCCTCAATATATGAGTAAGAAATTAGAAATATATGTATGAATTCCAAAGTCTAATGTTAAATAATCAAAGCCCAATAAAAAACAAACAGACGCACACAACAGAACCATGTGAGAGGGACGTTGTATCAGAGGATTTCTATTGGTGGTCATGTTTTAACGAGGCGATTCAAACAAAATTTGCGGTTTATAAAAGCGTTAATAAATGGTTATAGAAGTAGCAAAAAGAAGGTGATGGTGTGGTGAGGAAGCGTTCAAAAATAGCTTGCTTATCTTTAAAGGCATAAATAATCTATAAATAGAGAAGATGCATTTTCTGTGAAGCAAAACCTTCTTTTGTTTTTTGAACTTTCATCTTTTCAGCTTTTGACTGAGAACCATTATACATCTCAGCCTCTCAGGATCTAACACAATCATATCATCAAACACATGTTAAGTGGAAGGAGAAACAAAGTTGAGAACAAACACAGACATCACTGGACACACAAAAAAAAAATCAAGATCAAAGATGAAGTAAATGTCGTTCTTGTTCTACGATGATCAGAAAAACGATTCACAATTATATGTTCAACGAAAAAAACGGAGATAGGGAGTGAAACAACCACAACTTTCTTCTACTGACAACACATCTCAGGAGACAACTCGCGTTCACAAATTTCAAACCGCAGGCCATTCTTTACGAATGTCGAAGCTGTAGTTGATCTCCAAGTAGCACTTATTATCATCATCGAGAAACTGAAACAAGATTTCCAAGTAACTCTAAAAATCAACACCAAAGAAGAGAATATTAGCTGACCAGGGTCTAAAACCAACCGTACCTTAGTTCTTGCAGAATATGATCCTCGAGCAAACATGCCAGAGGGAGTAGTCTCTTCTGGCATCACGTGGTCGTATGGCTCCAACTGAGGACTAAAGGTTCCAAGCATTTCCTTTGTTCTGTCCACTGTAACAACAATTTTTAAGAAAGGAATTGGATCACATTGTCTCTAAACCATTGAGAATCGATTAAAAACAAACTTGTAGTCGTATAGTTTTTACCTTTAACACCGGTCTTCCAAACTGTATTGGTGTACCTAAGACCAGAGACAATGTTGTTATTAACTTGAAATGTGAACTTCAAGTTGTACTTGCTCCCTTCTTTCAAAGTAAACCACATGCCCTTAGGATTTCCATTCTCCGGAACCAACAGAACAATATCAGGCCTCCCGGGAGATAAGATGGCGAGGCTAAGAATCCTCACTTCCGGATCAAGAGTCTCTGCGTATCGAGAGAGACACAAGAGACAAATTCATCAATGCAACACACATTTGTCCAATCTGAACTTGATGTATATACAGAATGAAAAAAAATACAGGCATAATCATCAAGCAAGGACATAAACATAGATGATGAGAACTAAAATCCACACCAGTTTATGTGCAGGAAGATTGTATCCATTCAAGGGTAAACAAAGACCAAACAGATCCAAATCAATCACATGAATCACAGAGAGGTATCAACCAATATGATCTAACAAGGGTGTATCATCAAATGTAGCCAAATGAATTAAAAAGATCATAAATTTAACTTGTTCTTTCCGAAACTGAAACAATTAAAAAATCTCTGAAAAAAAAGGAAGAGCAAACCCACCTCCAATGTTGGTGACATCAACACTTCCAAGAAGCTGTTCCTTCCATTTCCTCAGACTCTCATCATCCTACACGAGCCCAGGTTTAACGGCAATAAAGCATTAGAATTTTCACAATTTGAGACCAAAATAAAATGATAAAAAGGAGGAAGAAGGAAATAAAAAAAAAGATGAAACCTTATCCTTCTCGAGATGTTCTTTGATAGTGTACTGAGGACCCAATTGCAATTTGGAATCGTCGTCTTCCTCCTCCTCGGTAGCACAAAGAGAAGCTTCGCTCATCTGTCTACCCAAAGATCCAACAGCCTCGTCGTCGGTTCTGGAGGAGTTTTCATCATCTCCTCCTGATTCCTTGTTCTTGTTGTCGTCGAAGCCCATGTCCCTGGCTCCAGATACCAAAGACATCAATCAGCTCGCCACCCCCCAGGCCTCAAAAAAGAATTGAGCTTTGGCACACACACACACACACAGAAAGAAAGGTCTCGTCTTTAGGACCTAGGAAGGGGGAAATGAAAAAGAAAGTTTTTTTAGGGATTTTGGTTAATGGTAACGGCAAAGAAGAGATGGAGTCATGTGGTGATCCGAGTTATATGAGAGAGAATGAGAATGAGAATGAGAGAATTTGCCTAAAAGAATGAATGAGATCGTGAGGGTCACTAAGACTAAACCAATCATACATACAACAATTGCATAATTGCTATTTCTTCCACGCGCAGCAGAGACGACGAGAGGAGAGACGAGAGAGAGTGCCTCGAGCCACGACAAAGACAAAACACACACACTAATGTTTATGTTTTGTTTTTTCTCACTCTCTCTCTCTCTCTCTCTCTCTCTCTCTCTCTCTCTCTCTCTCTCTCTCTCTCTCTCTCTCTCTCTCTAATTAAATTACTATAATCGCATGTAGAAAATCATTTGTTACTGATTAATCATTGAATTAGTCCTCTAATCTTGTGGATAATTTGCATAATTGTGCTCTGATGGTTTGATATTAATAGTGAGGTCCCTGTGGCGGTCCTACGTGAGACAAAACAATGGCACTTCTTTACCAAATTTTTGTGTTTCAAATTTCTTTCTTTTCTTTTTCTAAAAGTAAAAGATGAATTTATTGCCTCAAATCTACTCTTTAATCAATCTCATTTAATTGGACCCTGTTTGAATCATTCAGTTTTGCTTATTATCATGTGGTTTAGACATGAGGACAACATACACTGATCTTAAGCCTTACATTACATGTTCGACATTGTAATATACAGAGTCTTTGTTTTTTTTTGTGCTAAGAGTGTAAATAATATATAGAGTCTTGTTCATTCATATATTCGGAAGTCATGTACGCGATATGTAGACAAAGCCGTTCCAAAGTCATATGCTAGTTTCTTAGGGCAACGTTATCACTTCGTTAGGTTAGGCAATGGTCGTCTACGTTATACTTTTTATACACGATGATATATCAAATTAGTCAACATGCCATTAGCAAGGTTGTACCCACACGACACGAATTTCCTAATCCGTTTAATGGATTTACTAGTCTAGTTTAGTCATACGATACGAATCAAAATCACGACCTGAGATAGAAGTAAAACTGTTTTATATAACAAATTTAAATATATGCTAACGCCGGACAACATATCTATTTCGCTAGCTGCACTACTCGGATATTATATAGGAAGCAACACAACTGAAGAAAGATAATAAAGAGAGAAACTATATATATTCCATTCAGTTCACATGAGAAATTGAAATTTCATGATTTAGACGCAGCACGCATGCTTCAGAGGTGTCGGTAAGCGAGAAAAAATGGCAATTTGGCCACTTACGGCCCTTCACAATGTAGCTTGATGAGATCCAATATATAGTTACGTTCGTCGTCATGTACAAAAATGTTAATATATCCCGACGTTTATAAAGATGTTTATATATATATTGGTTTAAATAAGATGTTTAGATCTTACGATGAACAGAGTTTTCAGTTTTATTCTCAGACGATAGGGAATCTTTTCACATGGGTTTAATATTTAGATCGAAGATCACTATGGTCTATGCATGAGTTATCTATATTTATATGCATAAGTTTTTTTTCTTTTTAGTGAAAATTATATGATTTTGCGTGATTTGCGAAAGCCTCTTTTAAATGTTATATCTTTAAAGTTTGCTTTATCTAACTTTATATTCTTGTTAGATCTAAATAACAATATGGTAAGAGATTTTGCCTTTTCTTTCTTTCTTTTCTTTGTAATTGCTTTGCGATCGAGCATGGTTAAACAAACATTAGTAGCATGTACGAAAAGCGATACAATTATATTAACATTTAACCAAGAGAAAATGCAAAGATAACCCATAGATTCAACAGAGAAACGAACAAGAACTTTGGAAGAAAATAAATAAAGTTAATCTACCCATTACAAAAGAATGATTTTTAAATTTGGTATTAAATCTAAACATAATAATTTGGAAGGCCACGCAAGAAGAATTAAACTTTTATTTTTTTTTTTAAGATGAAAAGGATTTAAATACCGCATTAATATCTCAAAGATCCAATAAAGAACTATACAAATTCCAAGCTTTGATTGAATAAATATCACAAATCAAGTGGTGTATCAAACCAAGACAATGTTCCAACATGAACAACAGTGTGAAACCAATTAGGCAAACCATGGAAAAGAAGATCTTTGAATTTACCCACTTTAGGATCATATGCAACAAGAACCCTACTCTTATACTCCAGCAAAATCTCTCCATTCTCCAAAACACATAAAACCCGAACCACTTTACCATTATCAGCGTTCTTCCAAATCCACCTGGGTCTGTCCAGATTCTGCTTTAGCCCCTTGGGCAAGTAAGTCCCAATGCTATACTCTTTCCCCCAAGATTCCTTTACCCCGTAACTCTTCATTACCCATATGTCTAATTTTCCGTAGTTTCCATAAACGACCGCGCAAAGACACCCTTTAAGGTTAACTAGCCTATGGTTGGTCCGGTTTAGTCCGCCGCATTCCGGTTTAGGTATCTCTATAAACTCTTCATCTCGGAGATCAAATGATACGAACTTACGGTCCGGCACGTGCCTGCGAGGCCTTGTCACGAAATGTAACCTCCCGTTGACCAAAGCCTCCGATGAACGCTTCATAAACTTATAAGGAGCTTTGCCTAAGCTTCTCCAAGACAGAGTTTGATCTTTCCTTGACGACAAGGTTAAGATCTGAACCTCGGACTGCTTGTACTGGATTCTACCACGACCTCTGTAAACACCGTTATTGCTACTACTACTAGTACCACCTCTGAAGTAAACTATCTTCAACACTTTGTATTCCTTGGTCGTCTCATGGAATCCGAAACCGAACACGAGTTCTTGGTCGTGGTACTTGTTTGAACACTCGGGAAGCTCTAAGGAGTTGGTAGTGAAAGGATTGTAGAGGTAGAGTGAGTCGTTGTAGAGAGAATCAGATAAACAGAGCAAACCGTTACATGATCCCACCACGTCAAACTCCGGCATGGAAGATGCGAATCTTAAGGTGAATTTTTTGGTCTTGATGCGTTTCTCATCTTCTGATAAGTCGAGGAAGTTGAGGCCGTTGCGTATTGGGGAATCGCAGTGAAGGAGAAGACATGGCTTTGTCGGGGAATAAGAAGAAGAAGGGACAAGACCGTGGTCAGTCAAAAGGGATCTCCAAGATCTGCAAACGAACATAAGGCGAGCTATGGAGGAGATTGGTAGCCGAGAGAGTATGTCGGATATAATATCTGCGGGAAGGGATTCTAGTAGCTCTCCTCCTGCTCCGTCTACATCATCGGTGATCTTTCTCTTCTTGAAACTCTTCTCTGAGGCCATGAGAATGAAGAGAACCAGAAGCAAAAGAGTTTACCTGATCTTGAGATGGAGAGAGAGAAGGAGGAGAAGAAGAAGAAGAAGACGAAGATGATGGAGGAAAAAAGGAGGGTACGTTGAATAGGCATCACATAATAATAATTCTCTCGTGGAATTGTTTTTTTTTATTTTAATTTGAGTTTTTAATAAGTGAATGGAACCAATGGTATGATTGGAGAGATCTAGACCGTAGGATGAGATTGGAGTTTGCGGATTGTCAAAAGAGAATAAAGAAAAATTGGAAAGAATACAAAACTTATTACAAAAAAAAAAGTTGTGATGATGACAGAGCAACATTTAATTAAATAATTAGTTTTTCTTAAGACTTTAATAATAAGAACAAAAAAAGAAGTTGCCAACTCATGCAAAAGTCCTCCTCTCTTTCATTTTACTTTTTTTTTTTTTAATCTTAAGTTGTGTTTTGTTAAATCAAATTTGTTTTTTTTTTTTTTTTGGGTCGTTACTAGACAACTATCTTACCATTTGATTTATAAATTTGTATACTTTGGAATTTTTCTTAGTTTTTTAGAATAAAATGCCTTTTAATTAATTAGAGTTGCATTGTTCGTTTGTGGTGTAGATCACATTAGACTTTTCTTTCCAATTAAATAATAAATATAATAAGACTTATTCGTTGATTTTTATCTAAGTAAATGGGTGAGATAAGCATTTAGATTATTGTTCGAACTTCGAACTTTAAAGATTAAAGTATGTCTATAAGATAAAAAAAGATATGACTTTATATAAGTAACAATGAAAAGAAAAGAAATGGTGGGTGGGGGCAGTTGTGCCGTGAGTAGTGTTGGTTCTTCTAAAGCTAAAAGTAACATTTATTAGTAAGAGAGCTGCACAAGTTTAGTTTCCCACCACTTTGGTTTTTTTCCAACACACTAAAACACCAATCTTGTTTAGGCCCTAATTTATATGATTTAGCATCGGAGAAAAGACATATTTGTAGGTCCTATCTATGTTTCAAATTCAAACATTTACACTATATTTATCAAATTTATTTTAATATAAGAGATGTCTATTTTTTTTAAGGTGTTGACTTTGTGATATATTACCGTGCCCTTGCAATATTTTAAAGACTTGTAAATTATTAACACCAAACCAATAGCTGAGAACACGCATACGTCTGCATTGCGCGCTTTGGACAAGAATAGTTGGACTGAGCTACAAACGCTTCTCTCATCTGCAGTCAATCTCTTAAGTGAATTGCAATGGATATATAAATTTAGTATTGAATCTCGAATTACTTAACTCTCAGTTCCCTGTTTTATTAATAATGAGAAGATACAGCAGTTTCTGCTCTGTTTTTTTCACATTGCCACCAATAATTACAGCTTTATCCACAATGATTAGTACCGAGTTTAACACTGAACCAATTTCCAACTCCCAAACTCTGATAAAGATCGGTCCCTCATGTGTTGATGGTATCGCCCCACCATTAAGTTCTCAAGATCCTCGTCTTTGTTGCATCTAGTTGCTGCTGGCGAGGAAGGTGCGACTAACCACAGAATATGTCTACTCCAACCTGGTCAACAACCCACCAATTGTAATAGTACAAAAGTCCCCATAAATAGTAAGAATAATGAAAAAAAGATCGACGTGTACATCAATGCCTCAGAATACCAAAGACAGTAAGAAGAAGAACAACTTTCACATTGCAAAGAAACCCTCAGAAATTGCCAAGTTTCTACAAAAATGGTTCCTCTAAAACCTCCATGGAAAGTTTCCAAGAGGGAGCCCCATTTTATCACCGTTCCAGATTACTAAAATATTCATCACAGGGAATCTTTAACGTGGTTTAAAATAAAACATATCAGACCTAAAGTCTCAAATCAATTGATCATTATGGAAAGGAAAAAAAAATCTTATCTAACGATTTCATCTATTTTCTAGAGTCTTAGTTAATTCTTAGCTCAAGTATCGAATGACATAACTAAGCTGGGTCTGAAAACTGGAATCAAACTTACCAATGCTATGTAACATGTAAACAAAAGCTGAGGGGACTAGTATTTAGTTACCAACATATAAAAAGGGCTTAACAAGTCTTGTGTAGGGAACGAAAGAGACGATGCTTCTTCCTCTTGGAATGTCTTCCTCGACCCTTCTTCATCACATATGGCATAAAGGTCACCTGTATTCATGATCAAACATAACAAGATTGACACATGTGTCAATGTCAAAAGAGTTGAACAACAGACCCAGATTAACTCTAATTCGAAATGGGGTTACAAAGATAAACCTGAGAATTGTTCCGGATTCCGACATCTTGAAGAAGAGCATTGTCGTCAAGCAGCTTCTCATTATTGTACGAAAGACAAAAGTTTGACCATACATGTTTCCTGCATATTCCCCAGAATTAATAAACATGTGTTACGACCAGAAGTAAAAGAAACAGGTTGAGAGAAGCTATAATATACCAAGAAATGTGGCGATGGCCCATGTTTGCTTGCTCCGTTTCGTTAACTTTATTCTTGATCAAAAGCTTCAGATCTTTCAGAGTAGCTGAATTCATGACGGCGACATCTGCCAAGAGTAAGCAAACAAGTAAGAAACCCATCTTCAATGCCCACCACGTGTTCGATAAAATGCCCAAACCAAGTATAAATAATTAGATATACCCAGTGAGGAGCCGTCGAGCTTGACGACGGAGAGACGCATAGCGCTTCCCTTTTCGAGACTGACAAGAGTGACGACATCAGAAAGTGTTGGGTTCCTCGGAACGTCGGCGAGAATCGGATCGGCAAGGAGATGAGAAAGAACCGATTTAAGCTTCTCTCTCTTCGTCTCAACCAAGTAATCTCCAACTCCGACAACGCTATCGCCGCCGCACTCCATTCTGTTAGGGTTTGTCTCGACCGCGCATTAAGATTAATGGGTTCCGTTTTCATTAATTTGTTCATCTCACATCAAGCCCATTTAAAACTTCACGTATTGGCCCACTATAAGATTCTCCCAAATCCATAAGTACTGTAATTTATTTTCTTTTGCAATAAAGTCAATAAATAGAATATTTATTTTAACCTGTTTCAAAAAATTAAAAAAATAAGATTATTTTAACCCAAAAAAAATATTGTGACTGATGTAAAAAAAATGATGTACAGTACACTGCCAAGGAACAAAATGTTTACATAATCATATATATATATATAAGTCCATAAATAGAAAAGGCACCAAATAAAAAGGTAATACCTCTACGAATTGGTCATGCTTCTACTTCTCGGCATACTCCTCGGATTTATTTTTAGCTACAAAGGAGTTTGTGGTGATCTATCTCCTCTTGTTCCCTCTATAAAATGGACTTTGCAATCTCGCCACAAAACATCAATAAACACAACAACAACAAAACAAAAAAAAAATAAAGGATAAACAAAAAGAGAAAATAAAATAAAATTTTATAGAAAAAAATAATAAAAGAATAAAAATGGTGGGTTTTCGCAGAGCAAGAGGAGTGCTACTTGTGGTGCTCGTAGTTATGGCAACCACATTAGCAAACGGGACACCAATAGTCGATAAAGCAAAGGATGCAGCTAAATCAGTTGGCGATAAAGCGAAAGATACAGCTGCAGCAGTTGAAGCTAAAGCGAAAGATACAGCAGCAGCAGTTGGAGCCAAAGTACCCGGAGCCAAGGCAGGCGGTGCATCATCTGATGTTAAAGCATTAGGAGCCAAAGGAGACGGCAAAACTGATGATTGTGCGGTATGTACTCGTATCTTAATTATATGATTAATTATGTGATCTTCTATGGTTTAGCAAAGAATATAATTAACGTTGATTGAATGTGTATAGGCATTTGGAGCTGCATGGAAAGCAGCGTGTGCAGCAGGAGGCACAATTATAGTGCCAAAAGGTGAGTATTTGGTCGAGGCTCTAGAGTTCAAGGGTCCATGCAAAGGTCCAGTCACTATGGAATTGAATGGCAATCTAAAGGCTCCGGCTGCAGTCAAGTCTACTAAACCTCATTCGGGATGGGTTGATTTCGAAAATATTGCTGATTTCACTTTGAATGGGAACAAAGCTATTTTTGATGGTCAAGGTGCCCTCGCCTGGAAGGCCAATGACTGCGCCAAAACTGGAAAATGCAACTCTCTCCCCATCGTAAGCACATTTGATTGTTACATATACATTTTTAAAGTTTATGTACGTCAAATACATCACTTAGTAAGTTTATGCGTGTTTTGTGACAGAACATCCGATTTACGGGTCTAACAAACTCGAAAATTAAGTCCATTACATCAACAAACAGCAAACTTTTCCACATAAACATCCTTAACTGCAAGAACATAACTCTTGAGGATATTGGTATTAATGCACCTCCGGAGAGTCTCAACACCGATGGTATCCACATCGGAAGGTCCAACGGTGTCAACATATTAGGTGCAAAGATTAAAACCGGAGATGACTGCGTGTCCATTGGAGATGGTACTGAAAATCTCATTGTTGAGAACGTCGAATGTGGACCAGGACATGGTATTTCCATCGGAAGTCTTGGAAGGTACCCTAACGAGCAACCCGTGAAAGGAGTCACAGTGAGGAAATGCCTCATCAAGAACACTGACAATGGAGTTCGCATCAAGACATGGCCTGGATCTCCCCCCGGTGTTGCCTCCAACATTCTTTTCGAAGATATCACAATGGACAACGTTAGCACTCCCGTTCTCATCGACCAAGAGTATTGTCCTTATGGCCACTGCAAAGCTGGGGTATGTGACCAAATCAAATCTATACAAAAACTTTCTACTCAAATTTTGATAAGTTATATTTGTTACAATAATGTTATTCAGTGAGCAAAAATTTCAATCTCATCACTGTGTTTAATATTTTTGAAGGTACCATCTCAAGTGAAGTTGTCGGACGTGACTATCAAGAACATTAAGGGCACATCAGCGACAAAGGTGGCTGTGAAACTAATGTGCAGCAAAGGCGTGCCTTGCACCAATATTGCCCTCTCTGACATCAACTTGGTCCACAACGGTAAAGAAGGACCAGCTGTCTCGGCATGTTCTAACATCAAGCCTGTTCTCACCGGAAAGTTGGTTCCAGCGGCTTGCACTGAAGTAGCTAAACCGGGTCCTTAAGCTGCTTGTCCACCATCCATCCATCCAATCTTACAAACTAGAGTGCGATGAAGAAATTTTGCAATAATCTTCTTGGTTTTTTAAAAATAATTAGATAATAGTCCTTGAAGTTTGAAGCTTATATCAGCTAAAGAGTGATTCATGTTTGGGTAGTAATTTTTTTGTAATTCGCAATATGCGAGTGTTTAAATTCATTTTTATTAAATAATAATAACCTTTGAGATCTTAAGTTTTTTTTTTTTTGCTTTCAGTTTTACATAATGTTTTTATATAAAATATATATATGCTTTTTTGTCACATAAAAATATATAAAGACAAATGTACTAGAATCTCATATCTTTTTACTTGTACAAAGGAAAAAACTAAAACAAATCATTTACGAATAATTAATAGAGGATGTAGCTATTTTAATCAGGTGTTTAATTATCAATATATTACAGTTTTAAATCAAGCCAAATTCTTAATGCTAAAATATACACATAAACGAAACATACATACTGATAAGTAAGAAGAGTTCCTAACAAAAACGTAATCTCACCAAAAGAAGACGAATTTTAGCCACAGACCATATGAAAATAAAACAAGTTCAGGAAAAGACAAATCATATGATCTATGTATGTGTCCCCTTGGGGGGTGGCAGTGTCACTGCCTCACTGGGTATCGCCTCTTCTTGTTCTTCTTCTTGTATATATACCGTCTCTCGGAGTACGAAAAGTTTGGTAGTTATCTATTTTCGTGCCCCTTAAAATTTAAGAGAAAGAATCTATATATCAAATATGAGAAAAGTTTTAAATGTTTTGGTAAGATAGGCTTGAGAGCATGTTAATCCAACATATATAGAATAATAATAGAAAGTGTATGAAGGAACCAACACTGATATATAAACAATATGAACTTCTCAATTTATTTTACGTTGAAAGCATCCTTTAGGATCCCTAGCTAGTTTGTTAACCTCACGCCACCACACTTTGAGCATCTTGCTTTCTTTTGTGAATTGCAAAGATATCTCAAAATGCAATCTTAGAATTACCCAATTTGATAAAATATTAAACGATAAAATATACAGTCAACCGAGTTTGTTGTTGTGACTGGGGGTTCTAGTTCTGCTTTTCTTCTAGGTCGTCGATCTTTGCCCATTAAATAAATAGTGGGTGTTCTTTTATTTTATTTTAAATATCTTAAATTTGTATTAGGTTATAAACACGTATATATTCGTAATTGTGTTATATATATATATATATATAGATATGTTTACGGATGCTATAAAAGATGAGTGGAACAAGTCTTTTGGCTAAGAATAAAACGCTAGTTTCTCAAAATTAGACCTAGTACCCTCCTTAAAAATGGGTCATTCAACTTCAAAAAGGAGACGTTGAGAGAAAATGGTGCCGCAACATCTCTCCTTTCAAGGCACTATATAAAGAAACAAATGCATAGCTAAATTCCTCAGAAAACAAAAATATAATAAAATAAAAAAATAAAAAAATAAAATGGGTTCATATCTAGGAATTTTTGCAATTTTGTTCGTTCTACTGGGCGTATCAGCCAATGCCGAGGTCTTCCCTGTTGGTGGTTCCCCAGGCTCAGATATTACTCAGGTTAGGTCCTATAACATATCATATCTTGTTACGCAAGAAATATATAAAACCGTTTTCTTTTGGCTAAGTCGTTGAAGTTTCATTGCAGGCACTTCTGAAAGCATTCACATCAGCATGCCAAGCTCCGACAGCTAGCAAGGTGGTGATCCCAAAAGGTGAGTTCAAGCTCGGTGAGATCGAGATGGCAGGCCCATGCAAAGCTCCAATCGAAATCAATCTGCAAGGCACTGTTAAAGCTGATGGAACAGCTATCCACGGAAAGGAAAGATGGGTCGTCTTCACAAAAATTGTCGGGTTTAAGTTGAACGGAGGTGGAACCTTCGACGGTGAAGGTAACGCAGCTTGGAGAGTCAATAACTGTCACCAGACTGAAGCCTGCAAGAAACTTCCCATTGTAAGTATTTCATGTTTTATGTGTTTCTTTGCTTATAAATTAGTTTTGGCCATATGATCTATAGGCTATTTACCAAAATTGGCACATTAAACTATTGAATATTTTTTGAGTTAGGGTTGAAATTAATCTTGTATATGTATCCGTTAGTTGGCTTTTTTGTTAAGAAAATAATTTAATATATAATGATATTATTCGCAGAGTATAAGGTTTGACTTCGTGGAGAAAGCTGAGATAAGAGACATATCCACCATAGATGCCAAGAACTTCCACATAAACGTGATCGGCGCCAAGGAAATGGTCTTTGATAACGTCAAGGTCATCGCTCCTGCAGAGAGCCCCAACACTGACGGGATCCATTTGGGAAGAAGTGACGGAGTCAAGATCCTCAACTCCAAGATCGCCACCGGAGATGACTGCATCTCCGTCGGGGACGGGATGAAGAACCTCCACGTCGAGAAGGTCGTTTGCGGTCCAGGACACGGAATCAGTGTCGGAAGCCTTGGAAGGTACGGACACGAGCAAGACGTCGCCGGCATTACCGTAAAGAACTGCACCCTCATCGGTACTGACAATGGGCTTCGTATCAAGACATGGCCGTCTGCCGCTTGCTCCACCACCGCCTCCGGTATTCATTTTGAGGATATCATCCTTAACAACGTTAGCAACCCTATCCTCATCGACCAGGAGTACTGCCCTTGGAACCACTGCAACAAGCAAGTATGTATCTTTACTTTTCTATCAACTACTAGTACCAATGGCAAATTAATTACGGTATTCATGCATGACCGCATAATATATATACAGTAGTTAATTAGTTTAGGTTTCGCCACAAAGAAAGTTACTTTATGATGTTTTTGATTCGAAATTAAAGGGTGCATGTGTGTGTTTTATCACCAGAAACCATCGACGATTAAGCTGGTGGACATAAGCTTCAAGAACATCAGAGGAACATCAGGGAACAAGGATGCAGTGAAGCTATTGTGCAGCAAGGCACATCCATGTGTGAACGTTGAGATTGGAAACATTAACCTTGAGTACAAAGGAGCCGATGGTCCACCGACTTTCACGTGCTCAAACGTTACGCCTAAGCTTGTGGGAACTCAGAACCCCAAGGCTTGTAGCGCTGGACCCGCGCCAAAGCCAACTACTAAGGGAGGAGACTTGTAGGAACTTCAATTTCCTGAAAGTCACCACATAAGGGGGACACTTTGAAAATCTGTAAAAAAAATTATTGTTTCCTTTCTTTTTTTGAATTTTTGATTGATGCCAACACATATGTATAGATATGTGTGTGTGCATAATATAACGTAATAAAACTATAAAATATTTATATATCTTATCTTCATTTGCTTTATTTCAATTCTTATAATAACTCTATTCATTTCCTTCTTATAATTGCATCGTTTAATGTTCTTCGATTCCACTTTTGATGTGGGTCATTCACCAATCATTAGTGACCCCTTCAAAGATCACTATTCTTGTATCTCGACAATATCCATTATAGGACTAGCTTGTTTCGCACTAAATCGATTGACATAATTAATTTTGGACGGTTTCTATTTTTGATGGATTTCTAACTTAAAAAACAAGGCGAGAGTAAAATTAATTAATTCATGTCTCTCTTATGTATTACTGCTCAAAGTCTCAGGTCGTTTTCTGTTATGTGATATCCATGATTCCATCACAATATCACATAATATTTCTTCATATCAAAGGATGCCCTTTAATTTTTTAATAATTTTTTTTTGTATTATTATCAAAATTAATCTCATACCATAATTAATTTTTTCTTTCTCGAGCTATATTCCTAATATAGTAACATATATATGAAGAATATATGACGTTTAGTACACGTTCTAGGTTATGATATTTAAAATATATAAGAACATATCCTAAATTACAAGTTCGTAAATTTTTGTACTAATTTTCAAAATAAATTGAAGGTATTTAAAATTTATATAACCCACTCTTTTTCTTTTTATGACATATTATATATATCCCATATATATAGTATCATCAGTTTTTTTTAACGTTCGTGAATTGTGATAAGAAAATAATACTTGAACGAAACTTGTTTAAGAGAATTAGGGGAATAATTATTTACAATAAAACACAAAACACGTGTAATTCAAAGGCCCGCAACGTTTTGTGGGTTCAAATCAAACAACCTAAAAAACGAGTAGTACGGAGTAAATTGGTGCTTCAACATCTCTCTTTCAAATCACTATATAAAGCAGCAGATGCTTAGTTAAATCTAAAAAAAAAAAAAAAAAAAAACTTAAAACTAAAAAAAAAAAAATATTTTTTTAAAAAGTAAATAAAAAAATGGGGTCATATTTTGGAATTTCTACAATTTTCGTTGTATGTCTGCTAGGATTATCAGCCAATGGTCATGAGGTGTTTAGAATTGGTTCTCCTCCAGGTTCTGATATTACTCAGGTTAGTAATTAAGTTCCATTAGGTTTCATACGTTGCTCCCAAGCAATCTATTATAAAACCGTTACATCATAATCCCGTCTTTTGTTTCTTTCACTTACGCGTTAATAATATTAGGGTTTCATTAACTGCAGGCATTTTTCAAAGCATTCAAAGCGGCATGCCAAGCTCCGACACCGAGCAAAGTGTTGATCCCAAAAGGACAGTTCAGGCTCGGTGAGATCATTATGGAAGGTCCATGCAAATTTCCAATCGAGTTCACCTTGCTAGGCACTGTCCAAGCTGACGGGAACGCTGGCCAAGGAAAGGATAAATGGGTTGTCTTCCGAAAAATGAATGGGTTCAAGTTGAACGGAGGTGGAACCTTCGACGGTCAAGGTACCGCAGCTTGGAGGGTCAATAACTGTCACCAGACTAAGTCCTGCAAGAAACTTCCCATCGTAGGTGTTTCATATAGCTAGCCTCTCTTTCTAAGCTAGGTCCTAGAATATATAATGTTCTTTTTTCTTGTTGCAGAGTTTGAGATTTGATTTCGTGACGAATGCTGTGATCAGAGACATATCCTCAGTGGATTCCAAGAACTTCCACGTCAACGTGATCGGAGCCAGGAACATGACCTTTGACAACGTCAAGATCTTGGCTCCAGCAGAGAGCCCTAACACTGACGGGATCCACTTGGGAAGAAGTGACGGAGTTAGCATCATTAACTCTAGGATCTCCACCGGAGATGACTGTGTCTCCGTCGGGGACGGGATGGTGAATCTTCTCGTAAAGAATGTCTTGTGCGGTCCTGGACATGGGATCAGTGTTGGAAGCCTTGGAAGGTACGGACACGAGGAGAACGTCAGGGGAATTAGGGTTATCAACTGCACCGTACAAGAGACTGACAACGGCCTCCGAATCAAGACATGGCCCTCCGCAGCTTGCTCCACCACCGCCTCCGATATTCATTTTGAGGACATTATCCTTAGAAACGTTAGCAACCCAATCCTCATTGACCAGGAGTACTGTCCTTGGAACCACTGCAACAAGCAAGTATGTATCTTTCATATAGCTCGCGCTTTAGCCACTATTAATACCATATGACTATCATTTCAAAAATTTAAGAAAAGGGATTGAATTTTATAAGCTATATTTCCGTACTTCTAACAGACAAAAACCTAAAAAATTAGTCTATGTTTCTGTTTTTGATTTATCAAATCCTGTTCAAAAAGAAAACTATATATATGGTTGTAACGAATTTCCAACGTGCATGGGTGCAGAAATCATCATCCATTAAGCTGGCAAACATAAGCTTCAGGAAGATAAGAGGGACATCAGGAAACAAGGATGCAGTGAAGCTATTGTGCAGCAAAGGTTATCCGTGTGAGAACGTTGTGGTTGGAGACATTGACATTCAGTACACTGGAGCCGATGGTCCAGCCACTTTCATGTGCTCTAACGTAAGGCCTAAGCTTGTGGGAATTCAGAACCCAAAGGCTTGCAACACCCCACCAGTGTTGACCCAACCTAAGTAAATTGTAGATATCTCAAAATATTTAGGAGTTTCACATCCAATTTTTTTTTCATTCTTCCTTTTTTTTTTTTTTTCCAACGTCACAAAGACGTTTAAAAAGCTGTTAAAGATTTTCTTGTTTGATGCCAACGCATATATAGATGTGTGTTCGCCTATAGATCTAATAAAACTAAAGGATTAATATACCTTTTTTGCATATGAATTTATTTTTGTATATTAATATCACATGTCATGACACATTAAATAAATAATTTTAGGAATTTCAGTCTTTTTATTCGTCAGCTAAACATTTGACCTTTTTCTTTTTGGATTATAAGGATAATTAATTATGGTTTTCCAAAGAAAACAAAACAGTAGAAAAGAATTGACAGTTTTATTTAGTTTTACACACAGACACACACGTGTAATTCAAGCGCCGTATCGATTCGAAGATGCTTCTGAGAGTTACGTACGTGTTATTGGACCATTCGTTGATTCGTGTTACAAAAGTAGTCTGACACAACGAACTAAAAAGGACGAATGCTTCTGCAGCAAAGCTCGAGCGTAGGACACTAGGACGTGTTGTGATGGTGACGCGGTAAAAACGAAAAAGTAATAAAGACAAAATTACAGTAGAAATATGACCTGGTCCTCCAAGTATATAAAAACAACCTTAAACATGGGAGCATCAGCTAAATCTAGCAAGTAGCAACCAGCCAACCATATGCATGTTGTCCTACTTTTACTTTTAATTGATGCCCAATGGCACATGTGTGTCTAAATACTGTATATATATATGGGCTTAAATAAAACGCCAAAATTCATAAATTAAACGGTCTTATTGTGGACAAGTCTGCACATTAGTACGTACATGAACCTAATATTTCAGCATGCTTCGATAGTTCGATTCAATTATAAATTATTGTTTTTTTGTCCTAAAAAACGTTATACTGTATTATTTTGATTTTCAGAGGATAAAGCAAAGTACAATTATGCATAAAAATGTTTATTTTCTCGTTTGAAATTATTTGTTTTATTGGAAATATATATAACGAATCCCATTAATTATGAAAAGAATTCACAGGTACCGTAAATTTATATGAAGACGAATATATAGAAAACTCCTCATCCTTTAAGTAGTCCAAGATGCAAAATTAGACATCAGATATTTCCCAAGTCATGGGTCAAACAACCTAAAAAACGAGAGGTGGTGAGGAACATTCAAAAATTAGAGTTTAACCATCCAATACACTATATAAATGTAACCATGAGATCAATCAAATTCCACAAAACAAATAAAATAATAAATATTAATATTAGTTTTTTTTTTTTTTTTTTTTTTGGAAAAAAACGATGGGTGCATATTTTGGAGTTTCTATAATTTTTATTATCTGTTTGTCGGGATTTTCAGCCAATGCTGAGGTATTCACCATTCGTTCGTCTTCAGGTTCTGATATTACCCAGGTAAGATCCCTTTCTTGCTTTCCAAGAAATGTACAAAACCCTAGTTCGGACTCAAGTCGTTAATTAGGGTTTCACTGCACTGATATGCAGGCACTTCTGAAAGCATTCACATCGGCATGCCAATCTCCGTCACCAAGCAAAGTGGTGATCCCAAAAGGAGAGTTCAAGCTTCGTGAGATCGAGATGAGGGGTCCATGCAAAGCTCCCATCGAGATCACCATTCAAGGTACTGTCAAAGCTGACGGTAACGCTATCCAAGGAAAGGATAAATGGGTCGTCTTCGGCAACATCAATGGGTTTAAGTTGAACGGAGGTGGAGCCTTCGACGGTGAAGGTAACGCATCTTGGAGGGTCAATAACTGTCACAAGACTTTCCAGTGCAAGAAACTTCCCATCGTATGTGCTTCTGTCTCTAAAACACCTTTTAGATTTTCATCAAAATTATTAATTACCAAAAGTAGTTCTATATATGTGAGCATTTGCCTAATTGATGTTATATTTGTTTTGTTTTCATAGAGTATAAGGTTTGATTTCGTGTTGAACTCTGAGATCAGAGACATATCCTCAATCGATTCCAAGAACTTCCACATCAACGTCCTGGGAGCCAAGAACATGACCATGGATAACATCAAGATCATCGCTCCAGAAGAGAGTCCCAACACTGATGGGATCCATTTGGGAAGAAGTGACGGAGTCAAGATCCTTAACTCTTTCATCTCCACCGGAGACGATTGCATCTCCGTTGGAGACGGGATGAAGAACCTTCATGTGGAGAAAGTCACATGCGGTCCAGGACACGGAATCAGTGTCGGAAGCCTTGGAAGGTACGGACACGAGCAAGATGTTAGCGGCATCAGGATCATCAACTGTACTCTCCAACAGACTGACAACGGGCTGAGGATCAAGACATGGCCCTCTGCAGCTTGCTCCACCACCGCCTTCGATATCCATTTTGAGGATATCATCGTCAAGAACGTCAGCAACCCAATCCTCATTGACCAGGAGTACTGCCCTTGGAACCAGTGCAACAAGCAAGTATGTATCTCCATCATAAACCTTGGATAAGAGTCTCGGCCTGGCCACTATCAGAAATTATATCCAATGCATGACTCTGGTTTTCTCAATGTATCTTGTTTTGTGATTTTCAGAAACCATCAACCATTAAGTTGGTGAACACAAGCTTCAAGAATATCAGAGGAACATCAGGGAACAAGGACGCAGTGAAGCTACTTTGCAGCAAGGGGTATCCGTGCCAGAACGTTGAGATTGGAGACGTTGATATTAAATACAATGGAGCTGATGGTCCAGCCACTTTCCAGTGCTCTAACGTTAGCCCTAAGCTTTTGGGAACTCAGAACCCTAAAGCTTGCAGTGCTCCCATGACCAAGGCACCCAAAATGTAGAGGCTCAAATTATTTTGTTAAGCACCCATTCAATTTAATATTTGTATTTCTATACACAAACTATGGTCTATGATGTATGCTCTCATTTCATTTAACTTGAAGATGAATGCAGCACTATGCCCTTTTTGACAAAAAAAAAAAAATCTTCCTTTCATTTGTTCAGTTCAAAGTCAATTAATCAGTACCAAAATGTCACATTAATTATATATATATATATATAACAAGTCGGGACATTGGTGTTATAAGCCTGAAAAAAAAAAAAAAAAAGAACACCCACTATAGATTTTGGTATGTGAAAATGTGTAAGTGAACCTTCTGTAGTGGTTTACGACAGGGTTAGTGGTTGCTTGGCTTCTAAGTTTTCAGATTCTTTTGTAACTGGAGGATCCGGAATGAAACTTAAACTGATCGTCCTAACCCATGGAAAATATTTTTTTGGTACTAAGAAATATCCACACTAATCAACTAACATTGTAAATTATCGGTTGCTGATGAGCTCTCCTTTCAATGAATGTCCTTAAGCAAAATAGTTTGAGACAGCTTTCATGTGAAAAAATGCTGGTTTGTATCACAATTTAGCATTTTTTCCCACAAGTGTCTCAGTTTAGGCAACTGAAAGATATTTAATAGACATAACATGGATTAAATTTTCATATGTATATATATATATATATATGTATACATTTTAAAATAAATAACTGGTAGATTCATTGAGTATAAGTTTGCAACGAATTTAGCTATATATAGTGACAATAGTGAAATCTGATCTAAAATACTACTTATTCTTTTGGGTTAACATACCTAAATTTCCAAACATGAATGCAATCTAGCATCTACCATCTACTATCAGAGTGATATTTGGAATTAAAATAGCGAAGGTACAGAAATTGTGGAGAGAATAGTGAGAAAACTGCTAACATATCATGGAGTAAGAGAATATTATTATCACTGAAAAAGAATATTTGAGACTAAGAGAAAAGAAAATAGAAGATGATGCTAGATTCAGGCCATTATGCATAATTCATTATATATATATATATAAATGTATACTAATAAGAGAAAAAAATGTAAGAGAGAAATCAAGAAAACATAAAAATAGTTTCTATAAAATAGAAGTACATCAACAGAAACTGAGTTTTTGGTTGCGTTCGCATAAGACATACAAACAGCTTGAGAACAAAATAATCTCATAGTGATAAAAAGACTTATTCTCGAAAGCCCTACATGGCTAAATACTCTTTTCCATATCTCACACTAGTATCAAAACAAAATGAAACAAAAGACTGACAAAAACAAAAGAAAACATAACCTCTAGTACAATCTGCCTCAAAACACAAACCTTAACCCATAACCCCAAGAAGAAAAAGAAGAAGAAGAAGAAGAACCATTACATGACAATGTCGAAAAACTAAGGAAGAAGGATCATCTTTTTTTTTTTTTTGTGGTGTTTTTTTTTTGTTTTGAACTCTTCTTATGTATTACCGCCTCGCCGGAGACTGATACAGTTTCTTCTATCCCTCATTGAAAGAAGAAAAGAAAACAAAAATAGAAAATAAAAAGAAAGCAGGAAAAGCCTAGGAGGAACAATGAATTTAGAAAACCAAACCATGACAGAAAAATCTGCGGGATTCTCTGGTTAGCTCTAGGTGATGATATGATCAAGTTTCGTCCTCATGGGCTTTGTATGAAGTAGAAGATAATCTAAAAGATTCGCCAAAAGACACAGATCGTTCACCGTGATGGCTCGCCTACAATATCGTGGTAAAACAAAAACGATTGTACTAAGTAGCAATTCCTGCAACCAAAAGCGAAAAAGGGAAATATAATTCAGAGAAGAAGAAGAAGAGCGATTCAAAATTGGGTTTCTTCATCACACATTTCCTAGAGTTCACAGAGAGTTTGGTGTGAGCAACGAATAATAAGAATTCACTACTTTCCTAGTTCCACAAGCGCATATCTAAAGCATGGAACTAAACTTTCTCCTAAAAAATGGTCACTGATGATGAACTACATAACAGTAAAGATGCAGAATGGCTACTGTTTCTGTATGCAAGCAAGTTCTTGTTTCTGAGGCACTAGTGATACGCATGTGTTCTACATACTGAAAAGCACCGTTAGTTCAAGAAGAGGATAATCAAAATCAAGCCAAAGTGTGATTTGGAAACTATCTAGGCTTTCTATATTCCTTTCCTAAAAGTGCTTTGCTTCTACTCCTAGTCTCCTAGTATAGAAAAGGATGAAGTATCGTTTGTGAGAAACATCCAACCTAGAAAAAGCTTTGGATGCTTAATCAGCTTTCAACTGAGGTAAGAGCTTTGAGCTTTCTTTCCCGGTTTTAGCCGAAGGAGGAAACTTATTTTCTTGGGTATTTGTTTCCAGTTACGTTATTTAATTCTAAGACTCGAAAAGGAAGAGATCTTTTGGGTTCCATTCCTATTCTATTCCTTTATGAACTAGCTCGTGGCATTCTCTAATCATAGAATCACATGTTAAAGGAAATATTACTCTTAACTGAATTACCTCTGTTCGATTGCCTCTTGTTCACACTGTAACTGCCAACATAACCTGGAGATGAACTTCTAGCTGAAACATCTGAAGAAGGACCTCCTCCTCCAATCCCATAGCTAAAAGAAGCAGGCCCTTCTGCCTCAGGAGTTGGTGATCTCCATGTGGGATCACTATAAACTGCACCATTCCCGTAAAACTCTGAGAGTCCTGCTGCATCGTAACCTGTGTTGTTGGTTGCTGAGGCAGAAGAGAATGAAGACGATGGTGCTGCCTTGCTAGCCCCTGGGTTTCTTGCAGCATATCCACCTGTTCCCAACCCAAAACCAGATTCACCGTTTCCTCCATAACCAAACTTGACATTATCGTTACTAACAGCATTGTTTCCTCCTCCTCCAGGAGCACCCCAATTGACTCCCGAATTGCCAAATGGACCACTAAGTGTGTTGTTCCCACTTGATGATCCTCCCATGTATGTATTGGAGTTTGAGTTTGTAGTGTTGTTATTATAGTTAAGACCCCCATTGTTTCCCCATAGGTTCCGTGTAACCGAACTGAAGAAGGATGAGTTTCCTCCTCCGTTTCCCCCTTCATAGCCAACCGCAGGACCAAACCGGTTTGTGTTACCAATGTAGTACGGGCTCATTCCTCGGCCATAGTCAACGTTGCCATTGAAATTTGTACCACCCGTGAACCCTGTGGGCAATCCCTGCTCGAAGTTCACATTCATCCCGTAGCCAGAATTATAGTTTGCAAAGCCGCTTCTCCCAGCACCAACAGGACTGAAACGACCATCCATCCTAAGTCCGTAGCCCCCAACTGCAGCAGGATTAAATCCTTGAGCATATCCATTAAGGAGGTTATTGACCCTATTAACTCCGTAGCTGTAACCAGCGCCAAGCGGGCTGCGAGTTGGACCTGGAGATAACTCCTTTGGAACAGCTCGCTTAACCTCAACCATTTTACCATTTAGTTCATGGAACGTCTTGAGCAAAACCTTTTCAACGGCCTCCTCGGAATCGTAGGTTATGAATCCGAAACCTCTAGGCCTCTGTGTGTTGTGATCATACATAACAACGACGTCCGTAGTAGTCCCAAACTGCTCAAAATACGTCTTGAAATCGCTCTCAGTAACGGAAGAAGGTAATCCTCCAACAAAAATCTTCCTAGTGCGACCTGGACCACCAGGAGAGCCTTGGATGCTACTGCTGTTGCTTCTATTAACCATGTTTTGGTCATCTCTGGGAACAGCCTTCTTAGCTTCAACCTAGAAAAGACGGAAACAAAACTTGAGAAATGAGAAACTAAGGAAATCCAACCAAAGCACAGGGCAAGTGATGACTCAACTAAAAAAAGAGAAATGGTTGATCATAGAGCAAAGGGGAAGGAGAAAAGGCCTAAGTTGGAAAAAGAAGCTTCGAAAACAAGTTACATTGTACAGGGAAGGAGCATACCAATCTGCCATCAATGTTATGCTTTTCAGTGATAACAATCTCAGCGACAGCAGGATCAGCAAAGACAACAAAACCGAAACCACGAGCACGACCAGTGGTGCGATCTTTCAAGATCACAGCCTCGATCACTTCTCCGAAACTGCCGAAATACTCCTTGAGACGTTCCTCATTGGTGTCCCAAGAAATCCCACCGATGAAAAGCTTTCCATTGTCCGATTGCATTTTGCTCTCTGCACACAAAGAGAGAAACCAATTGAGCAGCTTTCTTTCAGTAGAAATATAAACAATCAGGCAGATCAGTCAAAACACCCAACAAGTTTCGGTTTTGATTGGAATCAGATTTCAAAATCTGATCACAAGGAAACATCTTTAAAAAACAGACAATAAAAACTTTGTTTTGTCTCCGGGTTATTTTGAATCTAGAAAACAACAGATCGAGAATCTGGTCGGAAGAGTTTGATCGGGATTGATAAAGACGAACACAAGGAGAAATCTCAGATCAAAGAAAGAAAAGCAGATTAGAAAAAAAAAGAACCCACCAAATAAGATTAAAACCCAGATGCCGAATCTCGTAGAGAAAACACTAAGATCTGAGGATAGGCACGATTTGAATAGAGGGCATAATTTAACCTGCCCCTTCCCCAGAAGAAAATGATGAAAGGATTGGAATAATAATATCAATAAGGAAGAAGAAGAGATAATTAAAAGACAAGTTTTTGTTTTGTTCAATCGGATTCAACCCGATTTAACCCAATTTCAATGGCGTCTATAAAAACATACTGACGACGCGCAGGGACGCGCTCTCGATGAGATATAGAGAGAGAGAGAGAGAAGAGAGAAGAGAGAAGAGAGAAGAGAGAGTTTTTGTAGAGAGGGGAGGAGAGATAGAAAGAAAGAAAGAAAGACAAAGGCTTTTCGGGTGTGTGCAAGAAGAAGATATGTCTGTATTTATATATATATATGTCTCTTTGGCCAAAATATATTATTACAGTACTTCTACTACTTACTAGGCAATATCAATTAGGGATAAAAGATCGGTCCTAAAAATTATGGAACTCATATTCGAGCTAAAAAATTTTGGACTAAACCTATTCGAGCTAAAAAATTTCTGGACTTAATCCGATCGGGTTCAGACCAGTCTGAAAAACCTTATACAAATATGTTTTTATTTTTTTTTAATAATTTAGTTTGATAAGAAGATTTAATTAACATTACTAACATTATTTAATACTTTTAAAATCTTTATTTATGATATTTTCTATTATTTATATATGTTAATATATATATATAAGTATCTTGATTTTGCAATTTTGACTCTATCTTGATTTTAGTTTCATGTTTTATTGGGTTAAATTGTAAAAACTTTATTTGGTTTTCATTGTATTCTTTTAAATTAAATCGTTTTAATGAATATTGATAAATAATTTAAAATTTGATGCATTCATTTTATAGTATACTTTTAAATATTGTTTTTTAAAAACTAATATGAACTTAGAAGTTAATTTTCATCCGTAACTAAAACCCAAAAAAGTCCGAAAAAATTTATAACATGTTAGAACCAGGCCGAGTTCAAATATATGAACGATTTACGAGTTTCAGACATAGCCAAACCATCCTGATTGACATGCCTACTTACTATTTATATAATTTGTTTATTCTTTTTTTTTTTTTTTACAAACAGAAAAAACAGTACAAACTAAAAAGCTTTTGTAAGGGAAACTCAAATTTTGCTTCTGTTTTCAGTTTTTTATTATACTCCATATATATATATTTAATTATTTATTACTTGGAATCATTTTTTTTTCTTTTTGTGGATTTATTTTTATTTTTTATATGCTAATACTACAATATATCCTAAAAAACAAATTAGGATTATGTCATTAAAACTAAACTTAAAAGGTATGTCTTTTTTCATTGCAGTGATGATGCAAATTAAGGATGTTTATCCACGCAATTTGTTTTCTTTCTTTCTTGCCTTTAGATTTAAACCTAGTGCTGTACTTTTTAAAAAAATCTTTTTTTTTTTTTTAATAATAACCGCCCATCCATCAAAGTGAGTTAACCTAGTAATCTAGTGATGACAATGTATATATATATATATATATTCATAATCATTGTCCAATTCGGTTTATTGGATGAACACTACTTTCTACGAGCTAAGATGATTGATTGGACATTAATTTAGGTGATCGGAAGGAACACTTAGACATGAAGGTTTTGCTGCAACGTCAAATTCCAAATAGCCTATAGATGCAATGAACATTTATTTATGTGAAGAACACTTGAACAAGGTTGTGACATGTTCATTAAAGGGCCAAATGAGCCTCGCATTATTTGGGCTTAAGCCCACATGTAAAGAACACTCCAAAATGATGCGTTTGTGGACTTCATCAGAAGAACTAGAAGAGACTCTTTTTAACAAGACTGAAGACTATATTAAATGACTGTTGACCAAAATAAAAAAGGAAAAAAATCGTAAGAAAAATTCAATAATAGTATCTAAGCCAATAGAAAAATTGGATACGGTAAACAAAAATAAATAGATTCGTTTTATCAAATTTCAGTGTTCCGCTTAATAGAAAAAGAGAGTTAAAATTAACGAAATAATTGGCTCTGAAAAAATGTTTCCCTCCAAGATGTAAAAAATTTAAAAAAGCTCCCACTCAAAAATTTGATATATTTTCAAACCCTTATCTTTGACGAATCTTCTCCAACACTTTTCTTCCTTGTTCAACCTCTAGACCTCCCTCTATATATTTGATATTTCTTCTACAAAGCTATTCACCATCTCTAAATCTAAAACTACTAGCAAGTTTTTACCTTTCTCCATTCTTCTTCATCTGCACAGTCACCAACCATCTTCTCTCGTATCAAAGTCTCTGTCATGGCCACTCTCAAAGCTTCGATTTTGCTCAAAACCCTCGACAGTGACATCTCCGGAGATGTTCTTTCCGATCTGGGACGTCGTGGATCCGGTGCTGTTCATGTTATTATGGGTCCTATGTTTTCTGGGAAATCGACCTCTCTTCTCCGCCGAGTCAAGTCAGAGATCAGCGCCGGGAGGTATATTAGATTTTAACTGTCAACAGATCAGATCCTTTGATTTTATTAATTTTTTTTTGGATTCGAATTTTACAATTCAGAAATCGGGTAATTTATTAACTTGGTCTTTTCGTTAAGCAGAAGTGTTGCGATGCTGAAATCGAGTAAGGATACGAGATACGCCAAAGATTCGGTGGTGACACATGATGGAATTGGATTCCCTTGCTGGGCTCTTCCAGATCTCATGTCATTTCCTCATAAATTCGGACAAGATGCTTATAACAAGGTAAAACTAAGCATAACTATGGTTTCTTAGTCATTCCGGGTCTTAATTTCGAAGGATCTGCAATGGAAATAATGTTTTTATCTCTTATTGGCAGCTTGATGTGATTGGTATTGACGAGGCTCAATTTTTTGGAGATCTTTATGAGTTTTGTTGCAAAGTCGCTGATGAAGATGGCAAAACAGTGATTGTTGCAGGCCTAGACGGTGACTATTTAAGGTGCTTGATCCTATTTTCATAGCCGTGATTTGATATTTTGCTTCCAGTTTTGTTGACTGACTGTAATGTGGATGTGGATGTGATCTTCTATATGCAGAAGGAGCTTTGGTGCTGTTCTTGATGTTATACCAATAGCTGACTCTGTGACAAAGCTAACGGCAAGGTGTGAGGTTTGTGGACAGAAAGCTTTCTTCACTTTAAGAAAGACTTGTGATACCAGAACCGAGCTTATTGGTGGAGCTGATGTCTATATGCCTGTTTGTCGCAAGCATTACATCACTAATCACATTGTCATTAAAGCATCTAAGAAAGTGTTGGAAGATTCTGACAAGGCCAGAGCTGAATCCTGTGTTGCTGCTATTATCTAACTATATATTACAAGTACCATATGTTATAGTGAATTCTTCTTCATCTTTTTGTTTTATTTTACTTGTTTGGGTTTCTCCTTATTGTTGTCTTTGAAAACCACTTGTGATGTTGATCTTTGTACATAAATATAAGTTTGGTGCTTTCTCTCATGTTTCATACGTTCTACTGGCAATATCCACCAGACTGTTAAAATACAAACCCGTTAGTTGGCTCAAGGGCTACTGATCTCTCTTCATTTGCCAAGACCATTCGGTCGGTAATGAGAGGTTGTGTGACAGAATCTCTTCTTTCATCAGATCCTGTATCTAATACACGTGGACATTCCTCTATTTTGTATTGCTCTTCTTTAAGAAGCGTTGTTTTCTACTTTTCTTGTTCCAGCTTTATGAGTGAAAGGGATCTCTAGGGACTAGGGAGAGATTATTAATTAAAGCTAGAGAAGTCTTCTGAGTTAAAATGAGTTGCGAATCCCTCTATATATGTATACTGTATTATCTTTGGACCAAGAGATCCTGACTTTTATGTCTACTTCATGCTGAAGTGAAGATTGAAACTCTTGTTACAGCGATTCTGTCTCCTCAGTCTAGTACTCTAGTGTAGATAAAAAAACATAAATGGGTAGTTAACCTCAAGCAATTCCAAACTCTGAGGGGAATGCAGATCTTGAGGCACCAGAGAGAGAGAGAGAGAGAGCAACCTTGATGGACACCTACAAAGAAGCTTGAATCACACCAAAAGAATGCTGAAATTATGAAAGGCGACATGTGAAGCATAAACCTCAAATTTCACATGAGGATATATATTGATGATGTTTTAACATTGAAGTACGATAGGCAGTAAATAGCCTGGGAAGTGGGAACAGAAAGGAGTTCGTAGATAAGCGGTGGAAATCGAAATTACAAAAGATAAGATAGCATTCCATTTAAAAAGTGATAACAACAAGTTAATGTAGTACAAGAAGAAGTGTCTTCGTTGCCTTTGTGAGCATCAAAGCATTCAACAACAGATAATCATAACATTTGCACCATCAAGGTGACCTTGTCTCTGAGCTGGTCCCATCTTTGCCAAATCGTGAAACACTTCTCACACTCTTAGGAGTCACAGCACCAGGACTTGCTCCACGTGGACTGGCTCCACGATAACTTGCACGAAGGCTCTCATCAACCGTAGAAGATGATTTAGCTATAGCCCGTCTGAAAAACTTCTGAGCAGCGGGTGAAAGTGTCCTAACATTTGGACTTGCACTTCCACTTCGATGAGGAGATGGCAAAGGAGGTTTCTTAAACATACTGTTTGATCTCTCTCTCAGTTTTCGTGATGCATCCCTTGATAATGAATGTGCCCTTACATCTCTGGGAGGTGCAGATGGAATGTTGTAGTGCGGTCCATCAGCACTACCACCAATATCAATAGGTGTATCCTCGGGATCTAAGCGCATTGGTGTCCCATCAATCTCACCCCACGTTATAAAGGGCGACTCATCAAGACCTGGGGCAGGAGAAGGCGTTCTAACAAAACTATACCCATTATCTGCCCTTTTATCTGATTCCACATAGAAGGGATTCGGGGTTTTCCTTAGATCATCCAGATCATACCTCTTAGATTTGTCTCTATCCCTACCAGGAATATGCATTGGGGATGAACCTGCGATTGGAGTGTAGAGAATCTCAACTGAACCATCTTCTCTTGGCCTAGAATCCATAGTCTTCCCATGAAAACGAGTGTTCCCTTTAACAATCTCCTTAGTCAATCCAAGTAACCTAACAGCCCTTTCAGCCTCGGTTAAGGGCGCCTCTCCCCTATCAGCTGGATGGTACATGAGAAGATTTTTTGCTGTATACTTCCATCCTTCTAAAGTGCTCGGTGGCTGATCAGATGTACCATACCCATCTGTAATTCTATCTCTCTTTACATCCTCAATCAATTTACCATCCTCCTTTTCACCTTCAAGGAGAAAACCATACTTCTCCTTCTTCCTCCTATTTACCTTCTCAAGAATCCTCGAAAAGCTATCGTTATCCTCACTTGTATATCTCCTAAAGAACTCATCCAAGGACAAATCAAGATCTATATCTCCATCTCCATCACCAACATCTACTTCACTACCAGGAAATTCTCTACCAGAGACTCCAGGAGTTCTAGGGGTTTTACCATCAAATTCATCAAAAGGAGTGAAATTTCTCAAAAAAGTAGATCCAGGAGTTTGAGTTTTACCCTCGGTGTCCCCAACATGATGACTCGCCTTCTTACCACGCCTCTCGATGATCTTCAACTGGGCGTCTCGGATTTGAATCGGGTCACGGGTTTTCACAGCCTGGATCCAATCGAGCCGATCCCTAAGCTTGGTTATATCTGGAAAGTAATCGCGCTCGATGATCTTCTCGATTGCTTCAACATACGCGTCCTCATCGAGAACTCTCATTCGTTTCCTAGGGTTCCGTGGGACGATTTCCGAGGAAGAGGAACTACGAGGCGCCGACCTGAGGGTATCATCGGAATAAGACGACGGAGATGGAGAAGAAATCTGTCGCGGAGAATGACCAGGCGAGAGAAACATCTCGAATCGGGATTCAAAAACTACGAATTGAATTTTAGGATCCGACGAACTTTGTCGACAATTCGAACACTAGGGTTTGTTTTTCTGGGTAGACAGGAAAACAGAACGATGCTTCGGTAGATTATTATTGGGTAATTTCTTTATCAATCTAATCGTACGCGTTTATTTTCCAGAGTATTACATTATTATCCCATTGGTGTTTAATTTCTTCTATTTTTGACCCCGTGAGAAATCGGAATCGTTTTTAGAACCCCGTAGTGAGGACCTTACTGGCAAATAACACCTATCTACACCTACTTGTGCAAAATGTTTTATTTTTAGTTTATTAAGTCGGTGACGATCTCATGTAAACGATTGAAGGTAACATGATGGGATTGCAACGCTTTGTGAGAATCCCCAGCTTTCTAAATCCGTTAAGTATTGAGATTTGGCTACACCTATGTGCGAAAAACCTGTAGACCATAATGCTCACACACAAATCCAACCTTAATTGATTCGAAGATTTTTCAATACAAACAAAGAGGGGACAATACAAACATTCACTAAGGATTGGACCTGAATGGATTTCGTTGGTTTGATCTTGGATCTACTCTTGGCGATGATGCATTGTATCCATGAAGCATTTCTCTGATCTTTGAGTACATCACTGCTTGTGACGCCTCACCACCATTTCCACCACTTTCCTGCTCTTTTATCTTTTCAAACAGATACTCTTTCTCTGCCTCTGCCTCGCTCAGCCTCAGTTTCAAGTAGTTGCTCGCATATTCCTCTTCCGTTTTCTCCTTTTTCGCTTTTACAATCCTCTCCAATCTCTCTGCTTCTACTTTCGCCTCATTAGCTTTTAACTGAAACATCTCTGACTCAGCTTGCTTCAGCCTCACTATCCTCTCCACCTCTTCTATCTGTTGTTTCTTCTTCTGCCTCTCCATCTTCAGTTCTGCCACTTGCTTTGCTTTCTCTTCCACCTCTCTCTCGCATTCCTCTAGCCCCATTCGCGCTTTCTTGTACATCCTCATCTTTTCCTCACCCACTATTTCCATTTTCCTCAGTGTTTCCTTTACAACTTCAGCAATTCTGTTGCATGCATCTTGGGGAGCTATCGTTCCTCCACCTTCTCCGCTTTCAAGGCTCTTTGGAGAGTCCAATTCAATTTCTTCACACACAACACATTGTTAAGATTAAACTGAGTAACCCTTATAATATTTATATATTCAACAGTAGTGAACGGGTTTACCTTGGAAAAACATCAGTATCAACTTGGCAGCTGTTGCTTCCGCCAGTCCACCTTTAATCTTGTCAATAAGCTCCTCACACTTCCAGAATAACTTCCGGCCTCTTGTATCTTCGCTTCCACGGAAAATCCTACTCACAAAGTCAAGTTCCTTCATCAAAGATTCCCTATCCCAGTTTGGTGCACAGTGCTGAAACACATCTTTAACCCAGCCTAGTAATTCAGAAGTATGGTTGCACGCTCGACACTTGAACAGCATTTCTCCCATCCCAGATACACTCTTGGCAGAAACTCCCATCAAAATCTCTCCATCCCTTATAGCACAATCCGTATGAGTCCAATGAGAGCACACGTCACAGCCAATCCAGCGGCATGTGTTAACCGCAAAGTCAAACTTGTTACAGATCACACACATGCACAGGTTGCAGAAGCCTTTCCTGTTGGTGCAAATCTCGCAGGGACAACCATCAGCCGGGAGTTCGTTTTGGCAGGCTATGTTTCTGCATCTCTTGTAAACAAAGATCTCGATGAGAGATGTCTGAGAGAGATTGATGTTTGGATGCAAGAATGCTTGGATTCCAGTGTTTATAACCACAAGGATTTCAAGCTGCACTCTGTGGGCCCTGACAAGTGTCTTTGAAGTTAAATCAGATCTCGTCTGGACAAACTTCTGCAGAAACATAAACTCATCTATAGGCTGCGTACCATTACCCTCAAGGATAGCCTTAAGGCCGTTCTTTAACTCCTCGAGATACTCTTCTGGTAACCGGTGCATTCTCTCAGCGACTGTGTCCACTCTCTCTCTAGCTATGTCCCCTAGTGATACCTTATCGGCAATGGAAACATGGCGGACCACAAGTTGGTCATGAGAGTCAGGACCTGACTTTCCGCTCTCTGCCTTCTTTCCCATAATAGATTTAGAGGTCGGCCAAGTTTCTTGAGAGCTGGCACTTTCAGCTGGGGATTCACGCACAATGCCAGAATTAGATCGTGACAAGTGGGGATCCGAAGACACAAGTGAAAGAGAAGTTTGTAGTTGCTGGCGTGGAGGCAGCATCTGGTGGGGAAGATTGGATCCAGAGGATGTGCCCATCAATTTAGTGCTGCAGACACTGAAATTGCGTCAGTGTTAGATTTCACTGCAAGATGCTGAGCACAAAAAGTAAAGACAAAAAGTTTTCAAAACACACACGACACAACAACACTAAAAGAAGAATGAACAGGTACATGTGTAATCAGACAATCTAGATAATGCATTTCTGACCTGAAAACGATTAAACATGGCCTGCCTACTCGTAAACAAATGTGGTCAGACACATTTCAGTACAATTGCGGTTACCTAAGTAAAATTATTACAATCAAACTTGAATGCCTTTTACTGTCTACCAAATGTAATTAAGGGTTCTAATTCAGGAAAGCCCTAAGCATTTTGCCAAATCCCTAGATTTCCACCGACAGAAAAAAAAAAAAAAAAAAAAACTAAATCCTAGGTTCAAATTAAGCTGAGATCAATCACTAGAAAAACAGAAACATAGGACAAAGTAACACCAAGCAGGCGAAGTTGCTCGAATCAATTTGGCTCGTAAATTGAACGCTAGAAAAGTCAAACACAAAGCTTCGAATCTTGCAAGCAACCAGCACAAAATACACGCTCGTAACTGAAGAAACCCTCAAAATTATGCATCCAACTCGATCTGGAAAGTAGACGACTCTGTCTCCTATCACCGAGGACCAGCCTCGAACATTCAAATACTTGTTGCTGTATTCTCATCAGACAAAGATAAAGCACCAAACAGAAGAAAAAAAAAGGAGACAGACAGCCGTAAGGTGCACCGGAAACATAAGGACTCACCGGAGAGACGACTGGAGACGTTATGAGACGCAGAGGACGAACTAGGAAACCGTGAGAAACCCAAGGGAAAGGGAAACATTAATTCGAAACACTTCTATCAGCAAAAAAAAAACATACAGCTGGCAGAAAAACATACAGCTGGCAGAAAAACATACAGCTGGCAGTTCTTTATGTCTGAAGGTTAACCTGGGCAACCGGTACCCTTCGACTTGAGTTGACTTTTAGAAACGCGTTCAACGGTTTGTGTCGAATCTGTCCAAAACCAACTCAATTCATACGCAAAACAACGCCCCCGCATTTAATTTACTATTATCATACGTCCTATAGTTTTAGATTATCTTTCTAAAATAAAACTCCCAACTGCGGGAGGTCTACGGTTATTATTGTAATTATCGACCAGGATCAACGTTAACAAGCTCAACATTCTCAATCTCCTAAACAGCGAACAGAGATTATATCATTGGCTCATATTGCCCATTGTTGCTCCATTTAGACTTCTACTTTTGCTGCTACTGCTAATAAAAAGATGAAATATGAATGAAAGCGGGAACATAAACGTTAGGTTGCTCTTCATTTCTTCCCATCCACTTCAACTGGTTCAACCACTTCAGCTTCAAAGGTCTCTGTATCGTGAGATTGTGCCATCTGCTGTTGCTGCGACTGCACCTCAGGGCTTGACCATTTCCCGGAAAGTGCTTTTCCCATCATCTCATATATCTTCCCACCGAGCTCTGCTGGATTCTCGGGCTGTACGTAATGAGAAACAACTGTTAGGTTTTACAATCCTTTACCCATTCCATTTTTAGAGACAGAGACAAGAAAGAGTGTTGGTGTAGGACTCACTGTGAACCCACTAGAGACTAGTGCTGCATCATACATAAGATCTATGGCTCTCATTGCATCTTCGTCATCTGGGTTACTCTTGTAAGCAGCCTGCGCAGTGAAAGAAGAAACCAAGTCAAGTCTCATAAGGCGGGTCTTAGAATTATTATGACAGCCAGGATTCAGACATGTTGAATGGTGAATTTACGTTTATGCTCTTGATAATCGAGTGGTCAGGATTGATCTCAAACACTCTTCTCCCTTTCATGAACTCGAGGCTTGTTGTGTCACCAGTTGATTGTGCCTTCATTAGCCTGTCGAGATAATGTATTCTGTGTTATTTCACCAGGAGAAAAAGGGAGAAAGCAAAACCTTACTTCGGATAAAGGTTAGATCTTACCTCTCCATATTGGCTGACCAACCAAATTTACCAGATACAAGAACACAGGGGGAAGAGCTAAGACGGTTGGATATTTGAACATTGGCAACCTTATCACCCAGTCGTTTCTTTATCCAATCACAAGTCTGTGCAAATTCCTTTTTCACGGCTGCCTCTTTCTCCTCGTTCTTGTCTCCTGTCAGTACAAGATCATAGCCAGAATTTGTTATTATATGTTGTAATGGGATTACCTGACATATTAAATCAAGGGAATTGCATCAGGCACTTACCTAGATCCAAGTCTTCCTTGCTGATATCTACAAAATCCTTCTCCTTATAAGCTTTTAGACTCTGTATGGCCACTTCATCAATAGGTTCTACCAAATATAGTACCTACGTTCACAGGACAAAGAAATGCATATCAATCACCTCTGAGCTAATATGAGTATTTGCAAGGAAGAACAGAATGTGACTCCATTCAGAAGAGTAACACATACTTCAAGTCCCTTCTCCAGAATCTTCTCGAGGAAAGGTGCATTTTTAGCACTTGTAATGCTGTCAGAAGCAATGTAATATATGGCTTTCTGTTCAGGTTTCATGTTCTCAACATACTCATCCAAGCTGATCATGTCATTCTCACTCTGAGAGGAGAAAAATCGAAGAAGTGGAGCTATACGCTTGTGGTTTTCACGGTCCTCAATGCACCCCAGTTTTAAATGTTTGCCAAAATTTTCCCAAAACTTCTCATAGTCCTGTAAGCGTATAAAAAAGTCGTCAGGAAAATCATCACCAGAGAGTAGCAGTTTCTAAAGTGAATAAATAAGATCAACTGTAAGCAAAGGGAAACAACAGTTCTGAAGCATACTTCTCTGTTTTCACTTAAGGATATGCCCAAAATCATATCAAAAGCCTTCCTCACTAGACGTTTCTTCATGATCCGCACCTTGAAGACAGAACAAAAATCGTAAGCTAAACATAGCATTGCACTAACACTACAACAATACAGAACATATATCATAAAGGCTTTGAATAAGAATTAGTTTGCACTTACAATGCGACTTTCTTGAAGAATCTCACGGGACACATTAAGTGGGAGATCATGTGAGTCCACCACACCTTTAATAAAGCTCAAGTATCGAGGAAACTGTCCACAAACAAAACAAAAGTTGATATCAATATAATCAGAAAGACAAAGGTTCCTTGAAAGCAATTTTAACCACACTATAAGGAACTTTTCTCACCAGCTCCCCATCAAAGTCATCTGAAATGAAAACTCGTTTTACGTAGAGCCTAATATTCTTTGTCTTTTGATTGACCAAGTCATCCTTCCCCATTGGTGAGACTGGTGGCACGTAAAGGATAGACCTAAACTCTACCTCCCCCTACAGTAGGAGCATTGCCAATAATTTAAGAACATTATATTATTTTGTGGATCCATTTACGAAGCATAATTATTCGGTTGTTCAATGGAATTAACCAACTTGAGATGTATTTCCTCAAAAGTACCTCTGTCGTGAAATGGGAGGATGCCAACGGGTCCAAATACTCATTGAAAGCTTTTCTGTAAAACTCATTGTATTCTTCTGTTGTCACTTCTTTAGGGTTACGAAGCTGCAATAAATAAAATAAACTGATGAATTCATCCTATATTGCTGATATAAAGTGCACGCAAATACATCGAATAGTCCTTACCCAAATTGGTTGTGTCTCATTGGTAAGCTCCCAATCCCAGTATCTCTCAACAACCTTCTTGGTCTTCTTCTTTTTCTGTAACAAGAAAAATAATTGCCAAGTCCTAAGCCAACTATTTTACACATCTAGCTATTCTCTAATGCTGAGACAGATATCTTCCTGATACTGATCAAATATATTTCTCAGTACAGACAAAGAGAAGCAGGTATACCTCAGTTTGGTCATCTTGATCATCTTTTTTTGTCTCAGTTGGATCATCTTCAACCTCAACCTGCAACAAATATACAAAGCCAGGTATTAAGATAAGAATCTTAATATTAGTTGTATCTCACACAAGAGAACATATATTTAAGTTTCAGATATCTGGCAATTCTGATGAGCATACCTCTTTTGTGTATCCTTTTTCCTGCCACGTGTAAATAGGGAAAGAAACAAACTGAGAATAGTTTTTCACGAGCTTCTGAATTCGCTCAGGATCTGCAAAGTTTTTGGCATCTTCCTGTATTGAAGAAAAAGTACAGAAAAATCTAGGATGTCAGGTCTCATGAGGGAACAAATACTCGGGATTGAGCTACAAAGTAAATGTCAAAGCATAACAAACCTTAAGATGCAAAGTAATACGAGTTCCTCTAGGGATGAGAGTCTGTGGATCTGTCTCTTCCTGAATGGTAAAACTGCTTGAATTTGCTTCCCCTTCCCATACATATTGCTTATCCGACTTAGGGCTCTTGGTTGAGACAATTACCTTCAAAATATAGACAGATATGTATTACACAAGTGGAGAGGTGAGTAAATCAATAAAAGTGATCTACAGACGTGACAAGATAAGAACTTACCCGATCTGCAACCAAAAAAGCTGAATAGAACCCCACACCAAATTGACCAATTAAATTGTTGTCACCGCCAGCATCCTTGCTATCCTGAAATAATTACAACAATGCTTAGTTGATCCAGTGGTTCCAAGAATTTGTTTAGGGAAATAAGAGTATCAGAGAAACCAGTAAGACCTTTAAAGCTTTCATGAACTTGGCAGTTCCACTTTGTGCAATAGTCCCAAGACAGTCAACTAATTCTTGCCGTGTCATACCAATACCCGAATCACTGAGAGAAAAAGCATTGGCAGCAATATTAGTTATACAGTTACAGTTGGTCAAAACAAAATTCCCACATTCAAAGCAGAAGAGAATAAGACCTACGTGAGAGTTATGACTCCATTCTCCTTATCAGCATAGATGCGTATATCAAGGTTAGCACAATCTTTTGAAATCTCGGAGTCAGTTACGCTCAAGTAACGCAGCTTATCCAGTGCATCACTAGCATTGCTGTTGAACAAAAAACCAAGAAAAATAAAGATTATCAACAAACAAAGTATGAAACTGTTACACAATGACCTTACAAAACCAAAAGGATAAATAATAAAAGGGTACCTAATAAGCTCGCGAAGAAACACCTCCTTATTGCTATATAAGCTGTTAACAATAAGGTCCATGAGGCGACTAACCTGCGAATAATTACAAGCATGAGTGACAGTGACACACACAACTTTGATCACAAAACAAATTAAACACAAAGATGAGACGTACTTCAGCTTGATACTCGAATTTCTCAGCCGGTGGAGGAGCCTGAGAGGAGGAATCTGATGCTGCTGCACTGGACTCATACCGATGTCCCATAAACCAATTGGTTTTCATGTTCAAATGAGCCAAGGACCCACTAGATTGTCCATTGGTTAAGGATGATGAGTACCATCTCGATTCAGTGCCACTTCTCTTCAAGTCCTGAAACGGGGGGGGGGGGAAAAAGGAGTCACGCTCTAAGTAATCCAATCAAGCAGGTAGCCAAAACTGACAGTGTGATTTAATGATGATTTATATTTTTAAGCGTAACATATCACCCGACAGCCAATTGGCAACTAAATCGAGACACAATATTCGAAAAGTAACGATCTACAGAGGAAAAAGAAAAGCCCAAAAGCGACGAAGAAATTGGGGGAATGGAAGTGAATACCGTAGCAGATGGGGAAGAGCGGGGGATGGAGGAAGCTGCGGCGGCAACGCGGAAGCTTCGGTCACCGGAGCGTAGAAGGGTAGAGACGGAACGTTTCGAGAGCCTGATCATAGTCGCACACTTGAATGAATACTCGGAGTAAGTAAAAACGACGGAGGACTTCGATTTTGGTAGCACTGAGATTGAGTTGCGGAAAATGGGTTTTAGTAGGGTTTTTGTGGCCTCAAAGGCGAAGCTTCTGGATTTGAAGGGCACTTTCGGTATTTATTAAGTAATGGCCAATGGGAGTTTCCAAGATTCAAGCTAAACAGCGATGCCTGCCTCCGGTGGACTAAAAGGGTAATTCCGTCATTTTAGTCAGTCTCTCCGTCCTTGCGAGCTAATCCGGTTCGATCGTGAATCAGTAGTTAACCCGATTGATTTCAGAGCTATTCAATTTTGGAGGCAAACTGTATATTTTTTGAGTTTTGGTCTTGGTTTTTGAGTTTCATAAACAAGATATTTGTTGATACTTTTACCATTGCTGTACCGCAATTAAAACTCCCAAACAGTTGTATTAAACTTTTGATCATTTTGATCTACAGATAATAGATCCTTCAAAGATTATCCTAATTAAACCCTTGTAATTGCTTTAGACGGTGTGCAATGAGCAAAATAGCTGAGAGGAAAAGACACCAACATCCAAACGATATCCCAACAAAAACATGTACCAAAATCACAGTACCACAAAAGGGGTGAATATAAGATGTCCAACCAAAAATGTGATATGTCCAGCTGCATTGACATATAGATCAATGGGTTGATTGGACAACACGAACCAAAACTTCTTCAATCAAAGCTGAAGTGATGACAAGCATAAAGAAGTTAATTTGTGCCATCAAACATATAAACCATATCTAGAATATACAACAGATAAATCAGCGGTTTCAATGTTGCATATACCATGAGTATGGTGAGATGTACGATTAATCTTTGACTAGACTTGTTTCCAAATAGTTTTGATATACCTATAATTAACTAAATATACATGTATTAAGACCATATTTTGATGTTGAATTAGTTTTTTATTGTGTGTGTAGAAAAAAAAAAAACTCACATGACGACGGTAGATCTGATTTTTTGTTTGAACATGCCTTTCCTCTATCGTCCATCTGGGATCAAATCTTGTTTTTTTTTCTTACTCATGTTAAAGAAAAATGATAGTGAAAATCAAACACTTGAGATATACGTAAACAAACACTTACGCTTGTTATTTTTACAACTTTATATATCTCCCTTAATATTGTGGTTTATAAAAACTGTATGTTCATTTGTTTGCCACTTCAGTGAAAATAATGAAGGGGTGAAAAAAGTTTCTAAAATGCTAATCTCCAAAGAGGAACATGGAATGAGCTATATGCCAACGTCTCCATCAATACTATTTCTCGGAAATTCTGGACCAAGAGAATGTTTCAATACTATTTCGAATTTCGATCCCAAGAACATTGAGTTGACCCTGTTTCTGAAATATGTTAACCACTTAGAGTATGTCCACTTTTTTTTTTTATAACTTTTGTAACCTATATGTAATTTTTATTAGTGTCCAACATCATTGGAACATGTTAATCAATCAGGGAGACCACAAAAATGTCATTGGGTTTTCAACATTACATATACAGTAGTATAATCAAATTACTACTTCCGATTAGTCACACTATTACCAGTCACATAAATATTGCACAAGCCACAGTTGAGTGTATCTGAGAGCAAGCTTCGTATACACCAAAATACAAAACGCATAATTTTGTTTCTCTTGCAAGATTTTACCAAGCCAAACAGCTTTTTTTTGGCTTGAGTTTGTTCTTCCTAGTGCATGTGCCACAACAAACTCAAACCAAAGAAAAAAAAAAGGAAAAAAAAAAAGAAGAGAAGAGAAGACAAGAGAAGAGAGACAAGTACGTACATAAACAACCCAAAGTGTAATGTCAAGATTCAAGCTTGAGAGATACAACACGAGACTGTCGGTTGCGTTTAGCTGCCTTAACAAAGACTACCGATAGACAAGACGGTGCCCACCACGGCCGTCGAACTCTTTGCTCACCTTTCAAGCAAGCCACTGTCAAACACATACATTTCTTTCCTTAGTCAACTTCCTGCAAAGATTTAAGCTGAGAGGGAAGAAAAGTAGAGAGAAAAAGAACCTTTAATCCTTCTGAGTTCTTTACAGAGGGTGATGAAGTCTCCCCACTTCATGTGATGCCTCCTTATGAAGTGAAGGATCTGCTCGGTTGTAAACACAGACATGCTTTCTAGATATTCTCCATTGACACCATTTTCTTTGAAAATCGGGCGGTAGCTCCCAAGGTTTATCTCTTCGAGCCAAGACCCGACATCCTGAAGAAAAATTAGCAGCAGCACATAAGGCCCAGATTCTCCATATGAGTGGACTAACTCTATTTATCTCACGCAGAGCATACTTAAAAGCTATTTATCAGATCTAACAAGTAAATGGATATTATCAACTTCACTCTACAAAGATGAATTTCAGTAATCATCCAGCACTGACCCTTTCCAGGAATTTTCTATTTGCCTGAAAAGCAAATCAGCAAGTGACACATGCAAACATCACTGAAAACACACACACCAGTGAGACACTGAGGTACGACTAATTACTGAGTATAATTAACATCAGTAGCAAAGACAGATCCCCATGGAGTCTAAAGCAAATGACCAATAGTGGGACGATAGCTAAAGGAAAAAGTAAGTTGCATTGCAGGGATGTAAATAATTGCAATCAAAGGTGAAATAAGACGATTGAGGTTAGATTTGATCTTGTGTAAGAACCAGTAGAGTACTCCCCAAAAAAGTAGTAATATAAATCAATAAAGATATCCCAGTTGGTAAGGAGTGAAATGGATCTCCAACAAACAAAACTAAGACAAACTAGAGAGGGTCATACCTGAATCAGATCAAACTGGATTGAATTCAGTAATAGGTATATTAAAAAACAGGCAAAAATGAATGAATAACAAGGAGTCTGCAAGAACAGGCAATCAAAGAAACAAACAAGCGTAAACTGATGAATCAAAGGCGAAACATAAGAGGAAGAGAAGGGGGATTGGATTGGATTGGATTAGATAGAGAGAGATAGAGATAAAACACCTCGACAGTCCAGATGAAGAAATCAAGAGGCTCGGGAGGATGATCTCTGCTCATCCTTTCCTCCTCTGCACAAAAGTCCCAATACAATTCACCAAAAAGCATTATTAAATTTTCTTGTTTGAAAACACAGACAGAGCTGGGAATCAATTCTGAGAAGACGAAATCGAAATCATTATCTCTATTATGATGATGATGGTGAAGAAGAAGAAGAAGAAGGGGAGAAATGACATACCGAAGCGACAGCTGTGGGAGAGAGATCCGAAATTTAAGCTTTGATCTGAGTGAAACAAAAAACCCCAAACTTTTGATTTTCTCGGGAAACCAACGGAGAGAGAGAGAGAGAGAGAAGAACGGGATTCAGCGAACTTACAGTGCAAAATGCGTGAATTTGTTTTCTAGGGTTTGAAGAGAGAGAGAGAGAGAGAGAGAGAGAGAGAGAGAGAGAGAGAGAGAGAGAGAGGGAGATGGAGAAGGAGATGAGAGAGAGTTGGGTGAGGGACAAATGGGTCCACGAAGTGAAAGTGTGCTTTTTTTTTTGGCTCTTTTCTCTCTTCCTTCTTTTTCCCCGACTCCTCCACGCTCCTCTCCCGCCACCATGCGCCACCGTCTCTCCGTACCACGACCCTTTTAGAAAGATTTTTGTTCTAACAATATTTTCCCACCTTTTCTTATTTTACTTAAAATATATTTTTTAACATACAGTATATAGTAGTAGTAGATTTAACCCACATTGATATAAGGTTAAAAAACATCTCTATAAGTTTTCTTTTATGGTGCAGTACATAGGTCAGTTTGTCTAATTGTATAACGGTAAACAATACACTAAACTTTTTTTTTTTCCTTTTTTGTTTTCTTACATTAGAAACAACAGACTATAATGTATTTGATGATTCAACTAACTCTCTCCTTCTCATATATAGTATAAGATTTGACTCTTTTTCCCCCAATAATGAAACAAAAGTTGAGCTAGTGGACACTAAAATGAAAACTAAAACAAACAAACAAAAAATCATCAGCTTCTTCAAACAAGAAAATTTGCAATTTTTTAAAAAAATTTTGAATTGCTATGCTAGTCTAGTCACACTTATAATGAAAAATCCAATGAAATGTGTAAACCGATGTTACATGACTAGTACAACAGTATTAACAAAATATCATATTGATATATAAGTCCATCGAATTACGTGAAGATGTTAGACGGGTACCAAACTGACTTTGTCTGCTGTATCAGTATGGAATGACGAGTGAGACGAAGATATGAAGAAGGAAAACAAATGTTAGATTTTAGTAGATGATTTGGGAGTTTGCAGAAAACAGTTGAATGTTTCAAAGTCATTTACCAAACCCCAAAGCTGAGATACACGTGACCAACACTGCTCACACACACATTTGACCTTTGAGCTCAATCATGGACCACTAATCTTCTCTTCTTCCCAAGTCCATTTAATTCTTCTTTGCTGACCTCATCTCATTTCTCTTTTCTCCTCCCAAAATATCACAAATCCTTTTGTAACTTGTTTTGTCTTTTCACTTTAAACAGAGAGATCCAAGAAAGCAATGCATCCACAAAGAAGTAGGATCTCCCCCCCTCTTTTAACGAACGAGATATAATGTTTACAATTATGGCAAAATTAACACCTTTTCTAACACACAAAGCATGGAACATTAGAACAGAGGAGAAATGATTTTTGATTAGCTATTCTGTTCCGACTTCATATAGATTTCCCACAGATACAAATATGGTTAATCCCTTGCAAAACATGTTCCATCATGAAACTTTACTTCTATAAAACTCAAAGTCAGGATTCGTCTTCGCAGGCCTCTGCAGCTGAAATCTCAGAATCCAGTTTGCTCATCAGAGCCTCTGTCACATGCTTGGCCACAGAGATCATGTCAAGAATAACACTCGGGTCTAAGCCAGACCCGCCTCTTTTGGTTAACCCACATATATGGCCTACCCGGTTCACAGATATAGATACAGCTGAGCTCATCTGAGATTCCTCTTCAGCTGTTGCATCAACTATGTAATGTGCTCCCACCTGGCAAAACCAAGGACAAACATTTACATGGATGGCACATGATTAGTTAAATTGACCTATGAAGAAGATGTCAATGTGAATCAAGAGATCTGAGATGTGATTTACTTTTGTTAGCGTGACAATGACCGGGACACTGGAAGTGTCAAATTGTAGATACTCTTCGTCGCTGATGTCAATCTCTGGTTGCTCATCATCTGCCACTTCAGCTGAAACGTTGACTTTTGGGATGGCCGTGTTGGTTAAAGCAGCCTGCAGGAGTATAGTCAACAAGTTAAGCATGCAATCAACCATCAGGAAAGATGACTTTTTGGGTTTATTAAACTATCAATTTGCAACATATCATAAAACTACACAACCACTTAAGACAAATAGTTTGAGGCGCTGATCTACAATATTTAATGAAAGACCCGTTCCCATTCTTTTTTCCCTACATTCTATAGCCTTTCCTTCCTCATAATTCTCATAATCCTGATTGATGGATATGATTTACTCATTACCATTCACAACTACTCCTGGGACTGAGGGTTAAGACTGAAGAGATAAAACCAAACACATATCACAAGAATTACCTTAATGGCAGCACCCAGGGCATCCAACAGATTCCCATCTGAACTAATAACAAGGCCATCGATATAAAGGTCCCAGCAAACTTTTCCTTCTTTGATTAAAAGGGAAGATAAATTTATTCCAGCTCCTGTTACCAAAATTGAACTGCCATAAACATTACAAACTGAAAGCGTATCAATGCGCAAATAAAAATAACATTGCACAAACATGATTCCAGACCTGCTCCACTTTTCCCACCCAGAAGACATCTTTGAAGAGCCAAAGCAAGCTCAGAAGACAATTCCTCACCTCCTCTCCCCTAAGCAACAAAAAATTAGCCGCCTAGAGACTTAACAGCGTTGAGTTTTGGGAATCCAAAGAAAAGTTCTGATAACCAAAATCTCAGTTCCATATGCAAGAGAAACACCAAGAGAGCGAGAGAACAGATGTGACATGTGCTTGATAGAACCAAAATCAGGCAATATCATAGAAAAAGCTCACCCCAAATGTCGGTTCTGCTGTTGGACTGCAATCAATGAAGACTGCAACCTTTCCTTTATCGGGTTGGAGTGAACTTGGCCTTCCAATTTCAGCCTGCAATAGCATAAGATTACTGGGTAACATTTACAATAGAACCGTAACACTTCCGCTGCAGCAATGACAGTATGGAACAAAGGAAGTACGCACCTTAACACTAGCAATCACATCGGTACCACCTATCTTAACTCTCGCTGAACCATTAGCCTAGAGCCAGCAAAAAACAAGCATATCTGTTTAAACAACTGAGAGGTCGAAATGAGAAGCGGAGGAGCTCTCGTACATTTCATTACCTGCGGAATTACACCAGTTTCGACATAGATAGGACGGTAAGCCAATCTTTTCCGACCATCAGTTCGAAGATCTTGAGCAATCCCACCTTTAACGAAGTGTTGCTCTCCAACAGAAAGCCCCACCATTATTGCTGCGCCGAGACCAACAAAACGTCAGCTTCAGCAACCAATTAGATCAAATATCTACCGGAATTACAAATTTCGAAGTTCACGGATTGGTGCTAGGGTTTAACAAACAGCTCAAACAAAGTACACATCTTTATACAGTACAATCAAAACCCATTAATCTACTTTACCTTCCGGAGAATTCTATACAAGACTCAACACCCTAAAGATTTTCCGGCGACCGTAGCGGCAACTTTGTATTGGTTAGGTTAAGAGACGCTACAACTGACAACTGCCGTAGGGTTTAAAGATGGCGTGAACATAATTATTGACACTTGTTAAGGGTATTTTAGTCATTTACCGACTAACCATTTTTTTCCACAGCTTTTAGCGTTTTGGTGCTCTTCTGGTTTCTTCAATCTGCCGGGAAGAAGAGCGAGCTTGGTGCCGATGGGTCGTTCGAAACTAGCATCTCGTCCTGCTGATGCAGACCTGAATCCAGGGTTCGTGTAAAGTTTTCATTCTTTATCCGTTCTAGCTCGAAGCCGTCTAGGGTTTTCTGTGCTCAATTACTTGTCTTTGTCTTTGCGGAAACGTTTCAATCTATGGTAATTCAGTTAGCGGTGTTAGATTATCTGAAGCGGAGTTCTTTTGGCACTTGTGGGTTCTTGGTTTCATACTGCTTCAGTCTCTACTCTCTAGTCTTTATCCTAATTTGGTGATTTAAGCTGTTTCAGAAAATCGAAACGGAAGAAGATATCTTCGGGTTCCGATAATGCAGGAGCTTCAGTTCCCACCGGTATGTTTATATTTTATGAGCAATTAGATGTGATGGTCATAGGCGACAAATTCTTTCACTTCTAGTTGCTGTGGATAGTTATGCATTGGTATATTATCAAGCTGCCTTCCCCAAAGTAGTCACATTTTTGAATGACAGTGCTTTACATTATATTCATTACCAATACAATTTAGGAGGTGAAGCCGGGAATGAGAGGAAAGCTGGCCTTTACTGTTGTAACTATTGCGATAAAGATCTGTCTGGTTTGGTTCGTTTCAAATGTGCTGTTTGTATGGACTTTGACCTTTGTGTGGAATGCTTTTCTGTCGGCGTTGAACTTAATCGTCACAAGAACAGTCACCCATATCGGGTTATGGTTAGTTTCTAACTTAGACCAGTACTTTTGAATTCAACCAAACTCTCTGTCAGCTGAATTGTAGTAATTGGATAGTTCTATGGTTGTTTTTCTTTTTGTGAGGAATCTACCCTTCTCTGTCACAGGACAATTTATCTTTTCCGCTTGTTACTTCTGATTGGAATGCCGATGAAGAGATACTCCTTCTTGAAGTAATCGTTAAATTGTTTCTTATCTCATGTTGTTTGTCATTTTACGCTCCCGTGTTTGGATATAGGTTTTAGCTGACTATTTGGAAGTATATCTATGTATTAGGCCATTGCGACATACGGGTTTGGGAATTGGAAAGAAGTTGCAGACCATGTCGGCAGTAAGACTAAGACAGAGTGTATAGATCACTTCAATTCAGCATACATGCAATCACCATGCTTTCCACTTCCAGTAAGGACTGATGAAAACTACTGATCTCCAGATAGTTGACCCTAGCTCTTTTATTTACTCAAACTTCTCACTGTGTAGGACTTGTCCCGTACCTTTGGAAAGAGTAAAGAGGAGCTTCTTGCTATGAGTAAAGAGCATGCAGTAAAAACAGGTCAGCTTTGAATATATTACTGGAGGTTGCTTACTGATTTTGGACTCGTATATTAACCTTGGATGAAGAAATGGAGGAGACTGAGCTCATTTTCTGTTTGTCACAGAAATACCTGCACTTGTGAGGCTATCTCCGAAAGAAGAGTTACCTATGCCAGCTGAAATCAGGTATATACTTATGCTTGTGACAAAAATTTCTCTCATATACAATGTTAAATGCTCTTATTTTTAATCCTTTTCTGTTTCAATGGGCAGACACAAAGATTTGGGGAAGGAAGATGCAATAGATCAACCTTTGTCTGCCTTAGCTGGAGGTATGTGACACTTCTCATGAAATTCTTTTATCTAATATTAAATTCTAGGTGTTATCTGCTTTTAGTTTTATGGTTAAGAAAGCAAATCACCCGTCTTTTGTAATTGGACCTCATAAATGATCTCTTCCTTGGTTCCAAATGTAAAGTAATACTTTTTTCGACAGTCAAGAAGAAAGGCAATGTACCACAGGCTAAGGACATCACCAAGTTGGAAGGTTTGTATGTAGTGGAACAAGTTTGTATTCAAAGTGATAGTTGAGAGGAACAAAAACTATCTGTACTTACAAACATACAAATAGAAACTAAAAGTAGTCAATGGCCCTTGTGTCTCAGCTGCAAAACAACAATCTGACAGGAGTGTGGGGGAGAAAAAACTGAGACTTCCTGGAGAGAAAGTCCCATTAGTAACAGAGTTATATGGCTACAATCTAAAAAGGGAAGAATTTGAGATCGAACATGACAATGATGCTGAGCAACTGCTCGCTGACATGGAATTTAAAGATTCTGACACGGATGCTGAGCGTGAACAGAAGTTGCAGGTTCTTCATATTTACTCGAAAAGGTACACTTTTCACAGGAACAAACATTGTTTATCTAATGAATTTTTCTGTAAGCCAATGCTACAGCCAAGATTGTGCCTTGACTTTGTTGGCAGGCTTGATGAGAGGAAGCGGAGGAAGGAATTTGTTCTGGAAAGAAACCTGTTGTACCCTGATCAATATGAGATGAGCCTTTCAGCAGAGGAGAAAAAAATATATAAAAGCTGTAAAGTCTTTGCGCGATTTCACTCCAAAGAAGAGCACGAGGAACTCATTAAGAAAGTCATTGAGGAGCACCAAATTCTCAGAAGAATCCAGGATCTTCAGGTTTGATGCTTATACTTTTACCAAACTTGAGAACTCATTACAAAGTCTATTAGGTAAGGACATTAAGTTGAGCCTTTGGTATATGTGGTCAGGAAGCTAAAACTGCTGGTTGTAAGACATCTTCAGAAGCAAATAGATTTATAGAAGAGAAGAGAAAGAAGGAAGCTGAAGACAGTATTGTGCTGCGACTAAACCACGGTGCACCAGGCAGTATAGCTGGTAAAACACTAAAAAGTCCAAGAGGGTTACCCAGAAATTTGCAGCCCTTTGGTCCTGACCCACTCTCAAAGGTCACGCCTCCAACAATATATAGCGGTTTGGACAATTGGGATGTTAATGGTCTCCTTGGGGCTGACTTGCTCTCTGAGACCGTAAGAACAATAATTTTCAAACTTGGTGCTTCCTCATCGTATATGTATTTTTGTTAGTTTCTTGACATTATTCCCATGGTTTGAGCGATTGAAGCTGTGTGCAGGAAATAAAGATGTGCAACGAGACCAGAATACTGCCTGTACACTATTTGAAGATGCTAGAAATCTTAACAAGCGAGATAAAGAAGGGGCATATAAACAAAAAGTCTGATGCTTATAGCTTCTTCAAAGTAGAGCCGAGTAAAGTAGACAGAGTATATGATATGCTAATTCAGAAGGGAATAGGTGAGTCATCTTGACTCATTAGTTTCATGGTCCCTAACATGTTATTCTCAAACATATTTTAGCCATGTACATATAAAGGAAGGCGATGCTGATTTTGGGTCCATATCTTGTCCTCTTTTAGTTTTGTCTTGACAAAGTCTGATTGTTTTATCTCCTTCAAATGCTGTTTCAGATCTTGTTCTCTAGTTTTCTTTGCCAATATATATAACAAAAGCTTTACATACTACGTTTAAAGCCAATGCCCTCAATATAGTGCCGTGACTCATTAAAACTGCCGAATCTGATTCCTTAAAATTTTTGTATGAACAACAAGCCTGAGACATGGCATTAGTACATATTTCAAGAAAAGACTGCTAAAGAAAGCTAGATTATAATCTGACAACAGAGAGATCCGAAACTTACACTACACCAACCTGCTTATCATAAAAAAAAAGCTCTACCAACATCTCCTATGTTTGCCACTATTGATTCTCCTCCCAAGGCTTGAAAGCACCATCATGTGAAACATATTTGAGGTAAAAGAAAAACCCACGTAGCAACTTCAAAGCTCTTTCCTGATCAACACCATCAACAAGTTTGTATTCTTTTTCGAAATCAGGGAAACTTTCTAGATAAGATTGTCCCAATTCGTCAGTCTCGTAATCCCTTTCTCTTCCCTTTCTTAGTTCTCTGCATCGGGTCATTTTCTTATGGATTGTTGCATAACGATGGAGCTGCTTCAACTCTTTTTCATCATATGGTTTTTTTAGAACATCCATAAGCTGCTTTCTATACCAACAACTACTACTATTATCCGCTTTACTTACTTCATCAAGATCAACCACTTTCTTGGACGCCACAAACGGTGTACCCTCTTCATCCAAAAACGGGGTATCATCAATGGCAATTATATCAGAACCATCAGACCAAGACTCAAGATCCTGCTCAATCTTCACTTTCACTAGTGGATCCGTTTCAGGGACCATTGTAGGTTCGTTTAGAGTATCCAAATTTGGAGGATCCAAATCAGAAGGATTCGCCGTTGGCTTAGTTGTGGAATCTCTAAGAGAATCTAGAAGCCATGTGAGGTACCTCATGTAATCCTTATCGACAGCCGCTGCACCCTCCTCCTCATTCTTCTTCCTTCTCCCTACAAAATCTCCTTTGCTCCTTGAAGTCTCATCTACGTCCTTAAGCTCTGAAACTCTATTAGCTCGCTCCACATGAGCAACCCTTGAAGTCTCTGCAGCAAATTTGGCCATTCTATTTACAGCAATTATGTTGTCTAGTTGAATGTCTTCTTCAGTTCTAACCAACGGAACAGGTCTCTTCAAAGTCTCAGAATTTAGCTCGCCAGCTTTCCTCTTGCTCCCTTGAGAAACTGTGTTGTCTCGTTGCCTGGCTTCTTGAGTTGTAACTGATGGAACAGCCCTCAAAGCATCCGCCTTCAACTCTGGAATTTTCCTAGCTTTGTTTTGTCGTTGTTGCTGGGTTTCGAGTGATGGGACATCTCTTGAAGTCTTTGCAGCCTCGAACTCTGCGATTCTACGCTTTCTCCGTTCAGCAACTCTGTTGTCTCGCTGAATGTTTTCTCGGACATTAACTCTTTCAGCCTTAAATCCAACAGACTTGCTCTTCCCCTGTTGATAAGCTCTGTTCTTCGTTGGATTCTCATTCTCGAGCTTCGAATCAGAAGAAAAGAACTTGTATCTACGAGTGTCAGATCTTCCATTGTCAACTTCCAAGGGAGGGAACAAACTGTTATCACCTCTTCTAAGATGATCCAAGAAGACACTGTAGTCCTTATCAATCATACGCTCATCATCACTATCATCATCTTCTTCATCAAGACAGATAATGGGAACATCGATTTTTTCAGACATTGCACAAGTATGCTTGCTGATTGCATTCTTCATAAACCTTGTACATCCACCACCATCATAGTAATCATGCATAATTGAGTCTGAATCATCAACATCGTCAATCATAATGGCTTTCTTCTTCATCGCTATCAACAATCGAACAGAAACAATTAGTAAATAATCCTTGAAGAAAAACCCTAAAAACGTTTTGCGTTTAGAAACCATAGTGTAATGCAGACAAAAAAAAAACCCATAAAAGCTAGAAAAAACAACAACAGAGAAAGCAAAAAAAAAGAGAAGAAGAAACGTAGATTTCGAGCATACCGTCTAGAGCGACTCGGCCTGAGAACTCAAAAACTGAGAAAACAGAGAGAGAGAGATAAGAAGAAGAAGAAGAAGAAGAAGAAGAAGAAGAAGAAGAAGTGAAGGAATTTAATGAGAGTATTTGTATTTTAGGGTTTAAATGCACATCATATTTTGCATCAACAATTAGGGTAATTTCTTTTTGGTAGAGAAAGAGAATATGAAGAGACGTGAGATATGACTTAAAAGAGAGGCTATGCTATGATGATGAAGGGAACGCTATAAATTATTTATATCTTATCATAATCCACGTCATATATTCATTTTTTTCTTTGAGATAAATATAGCATACGGTAGTATCATAATTAGGAGCAGAAAATATGAAATTAACATGAATCATTTGATAAAGGTAAAAATAATAGTTTTTTTCTGGAGTGTGGGAAACAAGAGCATGCATTGGGTGAAAAGACTAGGCGTGAGTAATAAATATAGGTTGGTGTATGTCGCGTGCGGACCAAAACTTGCAACATCTTTTCAAAGTGTTTCCATAAAACGAGATATATATTTTAATTACTTTTACAACTTATTTGCATGGTTAAAAGTTAAAACCATCTCCTGTGTGGCGACAAAAAAAAAAAAAAAAAAAAAACCCCACCTCCTGTGTATCAGTATCACTAATGGCTATGGATCTTTTAACTTTTTAAACAAAATAAAATTAGTGAATTAAATACGTATCAACTACCCTGACACTGATGACTCTTCACTCTTGACTGAGACAGAGTGGTGGGGGTAATAGATTGAATTCTGTACTTTGTACTTTCCTTCCGTTTAGAGTGTCATGAATTGACGACGGTTCCCTACTTTGTATATCAATATGGTCGAGTTGCTAGATTCTATGAAATCCTAAAAGATGGCTCGTTCGTTATTATTGTTCAATGAAAAATTCGTTTATTTAAATACAGAAACGTATGTAAAACAATGCACACAAAGTTCATCCAAATCCAAATGCCAAATAAATAAAAAGGGAACTTCACACAGCCTCTCTCACCAGAAAGAAAACCAAACCCCATACTTAGTTTACCAAAATCACTTGACTGTAGGAGTGAAGAAGAAGATATCATCAAGCCTGTCATTGCTCGGCGAGTTCCCACCATAAACCAATAGGCCTTCCTTACCATCCCGTGATCCAGCTGCAAACGCGCACCATCCTCTAGGTCCCGGATGCTCCTCTGTCTCTGATCCAACTCCATCATCCCATTTCCTCCATTCCAACGTCTCCGTATCAAGCCCGTAAGCGTCAGCAGTGAAACACCCTGCTCCCATATGCCCCAAGTCGCTCGGATCGATCTCCCCTCCAGATATCAGTATCTGTTTCCCAACGACCGCAGTTGAAAACACACTTCTTGGTGACGGTTTTTCGCCTTTTGTCTCAACTTCTTTCCACTCTCCTTTGGCTATGTCGAAACAGTGAACATCATCCGCTTCTTCTCCTGCGAATCCGTATACCACCCAGATCTTTCCTTGAACCACAGCCAGCCCTGGACCGCCTCTTCCTCTACAGGCTTCTCCTGGAGACGGGAACTTGATCCATTTCTGATCAACAACGTTGTAAGCCCAAAGATCGTTGAGACGTCCTTCGACTCCGCACCCACCAAACACATACACGTTCTGAGAATCCGCAGTAATCGAGTGGTAGCTTCTGTTTTGCGGACCGGTTTCCCCTGAAGAGAGTAGTTTCCACTGGTTGGTGGACGTGTTGAAACAGTAGAGTTGGTTAAGCTCCTGGTGAGTTGCGTCCCGGCCACCAAAGAAATAGATGATGGGCCCAACTGCAGCCATGGCTACGCCTACTCTAGGAGGAGGAGCGTCCCCAGTAGCTTCCTGGATCGACCATGTCTCAGTCTCGAGGTCGAAAGCGTAGAGATGGTTGTCAACGGGAACACGCGGTTGGAACTCACCACCAAAGGCATACACTTTGTTTCCCACAAGTGCAATGGCATGAGAGCTTCTTGCTCCTGGTCCGGTTCCTTTCTGATTAAGCTGAGCACATAGAAAACAGAGAAGAAGACAACAACAACACAAAGATGAATTCTTTCAGTACTCGAAGCTACTAAACAGGATCATATTAAGCTTGAAATAGATGAGAAACAAAGAACAACTAACTATAGGATGGAGTTAAGGCAGCACCACAAACACTTAATTCCACAATAGTCTTCTAATAGTACTTGATCAAAGAGCACAAAGTTAATTGGTTCAATACTTAAATCTTATAGTCAGCTAACACAAATAGTTAAAATAGCTGAAATCAATTAGAAACAGACAAGGAGTTGAGTCAGCAGCATGCAAATACTCAATTGAATAGTGACAAAACTCATCATCCACTAACAATAATAGTCTATTAATATGATCAGAAGAAAAAACATAAACTAGGATAATAATTGTAGTAGAACCAAAGTGATTATATGAACCTAAAGTAATTTATCAAATCAACAATTTACCTACTGAGAGAACGAACTTGGGACAAAACATGAGAGAATTAGTCAGATTCTAAATGAAATTAAAGTTTGAAAAGCCGCTAGACTCGGCTAAGATTCAAAAAGATGGAACAATCTGGGTTTTGATCGGATGATTGATTAATAAAAAAAATATCCGAGGAATCTACTACCCAGATTCGTCTCTAAGAGAAGCAAAATAAGGAAAGAAATCTCAGGGAATAACGAGAAGAGAACAGATGAATGAACCTGAACCCATTTGCCTTGCGTAGGAGTCGTTGCCATCGTTGCTCTCTGTTGCAATAACCACTGAAGTGACTCGTTAGGACCAATTAGTTTTCGTGTTTGTGTGTGTGTGTGAGGTTTTTCTTTCGGTTTGTGTCTGTCTCTATTTAAGGCCCAAAGAGAGGGAAAAAGGAATCTTTTTTTCTTTGGCTTTTAATTATAGATTATTTATAGATTCTTTTAATCAAAAAGCATTTGTCTTTCTTTTATAACATACACAGATGCATTAAGGTTAACTTTAATAAAACGGCATGGAATGAAAATGAAACAAACACAAAAAGCGGCATGGAATTTGCAGAGTATCAATCAAATACGTTCGTGGTAGGTAGGTTAGGCGTGAACAAAAAAACTGAAAAAAATAAAGGTTTACTTATTAACTTTAGTAGTAGTAGTAGTAGGGATGTCTCTAACACTCACATACATAAGATTTAAGGATAATCTAATGTTAAAAATTTTGGTTTATCTAATAATCAATAGTGGGCTTCGTACTATCCTTTTGGTCCACGGGCTTCTGGGTACCACACACATTATTTACACATATTGTACTATTGTAGCCATACGATGATGTAACGGCGAGTTTAGTACTGTAGTAGTAAGTAAGTAATAAGATTACAGTATTACAACATTAACACTAGTTTTTATTATACAAGTTTAAGAAAGCAAAATAGAGAGAGAGAGAGAGAGAGGAGTTTACCAAAAAAAAAGAGAGAGAGAGGAAGCAAGCATAGTCCAACAAAATATATGATTTCAATCTAAATAATTCTGGACAATTTTCCATAGAGAATGGACACCGATTCTAAGCTAAGCTAGGGTTTCTTCCTTCCCCCAAATCTCTCAAAAACCTTCAATACTCTTCAGTCACCGCATCGTAAGTTTCATCCTCTCAAGCAATTCCTGCTCACCTGTCTCTTCTTAACTTGAAATTTGGGTTGTTTTATTATTGCCTTTTCTCTCTCTAGTTCTTGTGACGAATTCGTGGATTTGATTTTGTTTAACTGACGCAAACCATAGATTCAATCTGTAACCAAGCTAATTCTTTTATCACTGAATTAGGTCTCTCTCTCTCTGTCTGTCTCACAGTCTTTCGAAAGAAGATGGTAAACAAGAAACGTCCTTGTTCTGGAGATGGTTTCAGCGAAACCTATACATGTGACTTAGAATTCCGACTCAACAACTCTAACGGCTTCCTTCCACCCTCTCCTCCTGACTCCCCTGTCCTCAATTCCCCCGAGAATTTGGACTCCAGCAACGCCACCTTGTTGAAGACTAGGAAGAAGCGTAAGGCTACTCTCCCTTCATATGCTCCTGATTCCAAGAGACTCTGGACTAAAGCTGATGAGCTTATCATTCTCAAGGTTTCTTCTTCTTCTTTTTTTTGGGGTCATAGTGCTTTCAGCTAACCTGGTTTGTGTCTTCTTCCGTTGAATTTTGCAATTTTCTGTAAAGGCTTATTCTTTCACTTAACTCTTTGTGAAAAAAGGGCATTGTTGACTACCGGAAGGAGACGGGAGTGGACTACCTTTCAGATTCAGCTGCATTTTTTGAGTATATCAAAGATGACATTGATACTAAATTCTCAAAGGATCAGCTCGTGAATAAGATCAAAAAGTTGAAGTTTAAATTCCGAGATAATTTGGTTAAAAAGCCTAGCTTTGCTAACTCCCAAGATTCTGAAACTTTTGACTTGTCCATGGCAATTTGGGGCAAAGATAAAGCTGGCTGTGTTGATGGGAACACGGCCAAACCAAAGCGGACCAGGAGCAAGGTATGTCACGATTTCACCATCTCCTTATTTACTCATTGTTGTATTAGAGTTGTCTCATCAATCCTCCGATAGACACGTTGAATAAGTTTGTTTGCTCAACTTGCTTGATGACTCAAAAGGTAATCTGAGTTCTAATATGTATGTAATACCATTTTCTCTAAGGTTCAGGCTTTCGTGGAACACGAGGTGGTGACCAACGGTGAACCTGAGAATGATGATGGATTAGCAGAAGGAGGTGACTCTTTTGACAAATTACCGTCTGAAAATCCTGACAAAATTATGGAGAATGAGAATGGTGGGAAAGAGATTGAGGAAGATGGAGCAGTGACAAACAATATGGGGAATGAGACTGGTGGAAAGGAGGGTGAGGAAGATGGAGCAGTGACAAAAGATAAACCTGAAAACAAATTCCTCTCTGTAAATGTCGACGACAACCGTATGGAGAAGGAGACCGGTGAGAAGGGGAGTGAGGAAGATGGTGCTGCTGATGAGCTGTGTGCATTACAGGACGCGCTTGAGACGACAGTGTTTCAGCATTTAGGAAGCTATGCACAGAAGCAGATGCTTGAGAAGTTGAAGACCCTTAGAGCTAAGGAAAGGAAGGAGTTGAGCGGTGAATGGAAGTCATTACTTGTTGAAGAGGCGCTATTCAAGAGCAAGAAATATTCCTTTACAGCCAAACTCGCCAATGCAGCATTTCATAATTAGGTAGAAGAAACTAGAGTGAGGAGTAACGACTTCCAATAGTAGTTGAGGTGGCTAAAACTTCGTTTTCTGGAACTGCCTATGATCCGATCTAAAATTTTGTTAATATGCAGTTTCGTTTTGTAATGAACCCATGGTTTTGTTTCCTTATACACTACAAAAATAACCTTCAGTTTAATTGATGAGTAGCAATAGTAGTAGTTGGGTGCCAAATTTAAAAAATAAGCCGAACACTCTGTGTCAAACTGTCCACACAAAAAACGTGAGAAGGAGAAGCTGGACACGCACCTTGCATAACTCCTATTAGTATTTTTCTTAATTTTGGCACTTAAAGTTTCAAAGATTCCTTTCCATGTCCGATCAAAATCCTATTTACGCACAACAAATTACAATAAAAAGTACGAATTTAATTTGGCAGGAAGGTGGAAATAATCGGTGGAACAACACACGTCTCATAGGACAACACCATACGCAACTTAGTCCTTCTCTGTCTCTTCCGTCGTCTCTGTTCCAAGAAAATCTTCTACTTAATAGCTGATTTTACAGATTCCTTTACCGAAAATTTCTGGGTCTGGGTTGATTTCTCTCTCACCACTCAACCCGATTCAGGACTCACATAAAGGTTCCCCTTTTCTGATTTCTTACGTCTGTTTTTCTTTTTTTTTTGTTATTCTTGGGTGTTGCTGGTTGGATTCAGATAAAATTTGGGTTTTGATCTTTGTACAGTGTATTGAGTTCCCCTTGCTTCTGTATAAGTAACATGGTATCATGTGTTATTGTTCTCTGATTGTTTATATTTTGTTCATGCTCTGGCAATCACAATGATTCTCTTATCAATTCATAATATTTAGGAGTCGTCGAGTTCGATAGCTTCTAAGTGGTTTTATGTATGTATTGGAGTTCTGTTGCCATAGCTTTTGTATTGTTATGCATTTTATAGTTCAGAACTTCAGATTATACAAATGATGTTTGTTGCATTATTGTCTCTTATGAAATTCAATTTTATGAATCCAGCTGATTCTTTTATTGAATTTTGTTGTTTGTCTTTGTCTATTCAATAGGTTTCTTGTAATTTAGGTGGAAATGGCGGCGTTATTAGCTTCTCAGAGCTGCTGCTATGGCAGTGAGACCGCAAGAACCACCAAAGCTATTGGTTTCAGTAGCTCTCTGGAGAATCCTTTCACTGGGGAGGCCACTCAGTGTTATGGCAGCAAGTCGAAGAGATTTCGTATTGAGATGAGACAATCGGAATTGCCTTCAAAGGTTGGAATTAATGGACGTTCAGTCAAAATGGTTCCCGCAAGTGAGGTGGTGAAAAGGAAAGATGGTTTGAATAATGTAAAGAAAATGAATGGATCAGCCGAGAAAGTTGTTAATGGAGCGAGTTTGGTTAGTAGTAGAAACATTAATGGTGCATCATCAAATTTGGTTAAGGCACCAAAGAAAAAACCAGAATCTTACCTTCCTCCACCGGTTGAAGGAGTTAGGGTTCTTCCTTCTGATGAAGGTTTTAGCTGGGCTGATGAGAATTATAGCTCACTTCAACGTAGTATTGATGTTTGGTCCTTTGTTTTATCCCTGAGGATTCGTGTCTTGTTCGACAATGCAAAGTGGGCGTACATTGGAGGGTTCACAGAAGAAAAACAGGTAAAACCTTTTCTTAGTTTAATCTCATTGATTAATTGGTTCTTCATATTTGCCTACTTTTAGATACCAGTACTTCTCACAACTGTTGTTGTATAATCAGAAAAGCCGAAGAAGAGAAACAGCTTCATGGTTGAGAGAGAGTGTTTTGCAACTTGGTCCAACGTTTATCAAACTGGGGCAGTTGTCTTCAACTAGGTCGGATTTGTTTCCACGTGAATTTGTGGATGAGCTTTCCAAGTTGCAGGTACATTGCTATATTGTTGTTGAAGCTTTTTGAGTTTCCTTTAATTAAATTTCTCTTTGGGTTTTCTTACTGTTCTTTTAAACTGGTTTTTCAGGATAGAGTACCAGCTTTCTCTCCAGAAAAAGCAAAGCGCTTCATCGAGGCTGAACTTGGGGCTCCTATTAGTGTGATGTTTAAAGAATTTGAAGAGCAACCCATAGCTGCAGCTAGCCTTGGTCAGGTATTTGACACCTAGCCACTCCCTCAAGCATGCCTTATCTTTTGTTTTTTTTTGCATTTCATCTACATATTGCTGTTTCTATCATAATTTTTCAAAGTGTATCCCTTTAGGTACATAGAGCTGTATTGCACAACGGCGAGAAAGTGGTAGTGAAAGTACAAAGACCTGGACTAAAGAAACTCTTTGATATTGATTTACGTATGTAATAACAACGTCTGAGTTATGAAGTAGAGTACTTGCTTGGGTGCTTGATAATTTCTGACAATGACTTTACTTCCCTATCAGGAAATTTGAAGCTGATTGCTGAGTATTTCCAAAAAAGTGAATCATTCGGCACAAACGATTGGGTTGGTATTTACGAGGAATGTGCCTTGTAAGTCTTTTTTACTCAAGAAGTAATATTATAACTTAAATACCTAGCAATTTTGGGTCATGTAGGCTGATATCTCCTTTGGTTTCAGAATATTGTATCAAGAGATTGACTACATAAACGAAGCTAAGAATGCCGACAGATTCCGGAGGGACTTCCGGAATATAAACTGGGTCCGCGTACCTGTAAGTTTCATTTGCTAAACCAAAACCTAGGATATCAAATTCTTATAGTTGTGTGGTATATGAAACACATTCTGTTATATCTTATTTTCATCCGTAGTTGGTCTATTGGGATTACTCTGCCATGAAGGTCTTGACTTTGGAATATGTTCCAGGTTCGTGTTGAAACTACTTGAAACTACCGAATACATTGCTTCGTTTGATAAACAATGTAGTGTAACTAACTCTCTTATTGATTGGCGCAATTAGGTATCAAGATCAACAAGTTAGACGCCTTAGCCGCACAGGGTTTTAACCGTTCTAGAATTGCATCACGAGCCATTGAAGCTTATCTTATCCAGGTCAGTAACAATATAGCAAAACATTTATCGAAGTCAAGTCGTTGGTTCAAACATTTTTATGTTTTGACTGTTGTAGATACTCAGAACCGGCTTCTTTCATGCGGATCCACACCCGGGAAATCTTGCAATTGATGTAGATGAATCGATCATATACTATGACTTTGGCATGATGGGAGAGATTAAAACATTCACTCGGAAGAGATTACTTGATCTCTTCTATTCTGTTTATGAAAAAGATGCAAAAAAGGTATATGCTCTTTCAAGGGTTTAATCTCAAAATGATAAATAGTAAAACTAACCAAATGTTGTTACAGGTCATGCAAAACCTAATAGATCTTGAAGCACTTCAACCCACTGGAGATCTTTCATCGGTAACATTACAGCCTCACTCTTTCTCTATGCGAGAAGTTTATATATGTAATCTCATTTCAACTTTGTACGTGTTTGTGTTAGGTAAGGAGATCTGTTCAGTTTTTCTTGGACAACCTATTAAGCCAATCACCAGATCAGCAACAGACTTTGGCAGCTATTGGAGAGGTACCGATCAAAACTGTGCCTGAGAAGAAAGCTGAGCTCTTTTTCGAGCTATTTAGGATAGTTACCATGTGGTTCTTAAATTCAAAAACTCCTTATTTCTATGGCAGGATCTGTTTGCAATTTCCCAGGATCAGCCATTCCGTTTCCCATCAACTTTCACCTTTGTCATCCGAGCATTTTCCACACTTGAGGGTGCCTATTCAATCTGTTTCTTAACCTTCGTTTTGTTCAATTCTTCTACAAGTCTCATCATTTATTCTTTTGATTTTACAGGTATTGGTTACATCCTTGATCCAGATTTTTCCTTTGTAAAGGTTGCGGCTCCTTATGCACAGGTTCACACCTCTTTTCTCTGCTCAATACCCTATTATTTAGCCATCATCTCTCTACCCTTTTCGATCAGTGTGTCAATGCTCATGAATATCGACAAAAACAGGAACTCCTGGATTTAAAACAAAGGCAGCAGTCGGGAACTCAGCTTGTCCAACAAATAAGGAAGCAGGCTGACGATGTAATGCGTTTGCTAATATTGTACTTCATTTCTTTGTTCTTTCTTCTTTTAATTCTATTTTTACTAAATTCAACTTTAAAACCTGTACAGGCCAGGTCTTCTACTCTGTCTATGCCATCCCGAGTTCAGCGAATAGAAGAGTTTGTGAAAGAACTCGATTCAGGCGATCTAAAACTACGTGTTCGGGTTCTTGAGGTAAAGCAGCTTTGTCATGGTTTAGTCACCCGGACATACTTGGTATTAGAATAGCAGCTTTGTCACGGTTTTGTAATAGCAAGAGATAACCATTGTGGAATTTGTTTGTTCATATTTGTTCAGTCGGAAAGAGCAGCCCGTAAAGCAACAATACTGCAGATGGCGACAATGTATACAGTTCTTGGAGGAACCCTACTTAATATTGGGGTTACATTTAGCAACCAAGGAAGTCAGCTTGTTGCTAATGGATCCTTCATTGGAGCAGGTATGACAGCCGTTGTACACATGTGCATATAGATGTATATGCAGGTATATTTGTTCTTTGCCAAGGGTAAATAAGCTTGATAAAAATCTTTTGTGCAGGTATATTCATGGCATTGGTACTGAGATCTATGCAAAGGGTAAATAAGCTTGATAAGTTTGAGAAGATGATATGATGGATGGTTATTCTTTCAAAGCTCCAAATATCAGATACAGAATTGTTATGTATAGGTATAGCATGTTCATAAGATTTATAAATTGCTGTATAAAAACTGTTTCTAAAGTATAAAGGGAAAGTCAAAGATATATGACAAAGTTTCACTAAAAGTACACAACTTTTATCCTCCAACTATAAATTGTGTACAACTATATACTCAGTGTATTTCTGATAAATCTGCACCAAAGCCTCCAATGGAACTACATATCAATCTTCAAATTACAAACAAGTCTGCACCAAAGCCTAGCAGAAAAACTTATAAAAAAATACAGTGCTCAAGGTTTTTGACCAAGAAGCCATGGCTGGAAGAAGAGATGGATGTGAGCAATCTCGATGAGTTCACGTGGGTCATTCATTGTCTCATCTCTCAGCGCCTCACACGAAAAATCTCTAAAAACATCATCAAAGTGCTCAAGGTTTCTGACCAAGAAGCCATGGCTGGAAGAAGAGATGGCTGTGAGCAATCTCGATGAGTTCACGTGGGTCATTCATTGTCTCATCTCTCAGCGCCTCAAGAATCGCCTCACACGAAAACTCTCTAGAAACATCATCAAAGTGTAAATCATGATTACAAACGATGTCCAATTTGACAAGTTATTACAAGTTAAGGAGATGAGGATACCTTGTTATGAGAATTCTGTAGAGCATCTTTAAGATGGGACAGAGTTCAGCTGGAGTTACAGGTTTGCCCTCTTCAGGGTGTTGAAGACTTAAGGAGGATTGGTTCAACAACTCGTAAAATGCTTTCACCGCAGAAACCCCCTATGAACATTACATCAAATCACTTCATCATAATCTTCTACATAAACCAATCTATGACAAATTATTTGCAATCTTCAGACTAATCAGTTGATGCTAATCTACAGAAATAAAACTTATAAAAAAAAATATATGGTATAAAGATTCAGTATTTACTCAGTGGCATTCAGATTCTATCTCCAAAGTTCTTAACTTTCTTTGAAATGTGCAATACCCTTAACTAGATTTTGTGAAACTGAATTTACGGTATAAGGAAGGAAGTTATATGAGTTGTCCATATTCTTGCTAATACCCTGTTTGGACAGTTGCTCTCTGGACTCAAACGGAAGTTACTATTTGACAACTTCTCAGTACTAAATGTACATAACTTGCCAGGAAAACTTATGGCTAATTTGACAATTGAAAAAAACACTTTGATGGGTGCTTTCGCTAGAATATGCAATAATGAAATCACTCTTTCTACAATTCCGACTCAATCATTAGGATCTATGGCATACCTGGATCATCCCCTTGCCTTTGATGCTGTCACCCATTTCAAGGCTAAGTTCTCCTTTTGCAAGCTTCTGACCATACCACGCATTACGACCTTTTAGTAACGTTACATAGGTATCCGCAAGCAAAGGCCCAGCAAGTTTCTCTGGCTCCTTGGCCAATAGATGTGTAATAAAAATCATCTCTGAAGTGCAATGGGCAAAGTATACTGACTTGCTGGTAGCACTTTCCTTAGTAAGTGTAGCCACCATTCCTATAAAACATAAAAACGGCAAAACAAACACTGGCTCGTGAACTTTGACCTATGATCACGAGTTCCAATATTTATTTCGAATCACTACTATTCAGATAAACATATTAGCCACCTGATCTTACCTGCACCGATGGCATACACATTTTTCAATCCACCCATTACTTCATGCGTAATGAGGTCACTATTATCCCACACTATGAAATGAGACTGCCTTAGAAACTTTCCCAGAGGCTTCCTCCATATTTCAGACCCGCAAATCCGTGCATTGGCATACTCTTTGTTATATACCTCGGAAGCAATATTAGGTCCCCCAAGGTAGAGAATGTTTTCAAGAGGAATACCAGCTGTAAAGAGAATATGACAAGCAAACTGTTAAAGCTCAATAACAACATCCACTGATCATACACTTCAACACCAACACAGCCAAAACTAGCCACCAAGCTACTTAATGACATGATATACAATCAAGCAATCTGTCGAGTAACAACAACCAATACACAATATCACCTCAATAGAAAAATAGAATCGTTAGCTGCATCAACGAAAATACTAAGGAAGAAGATATAAAATATTCATCTAGGAAGCAGATAAAATGACAAAGGGAAGTGAATTTACTTGCTCTATAGATCATTTGAGTAGGAGTTACTATCCGAGGATGAGGTTCGAACTCTGCTTCCACACCTTTAGCCAAAGAGATAATAACAGGAGCAGTAACCCTCTCTTTCCAGTACTTGCTAATCTCATTGAACACCTGAAAAGTCTCAGTTGATGGTAAACCATTGATGACAATATCAGCATCCCAAACAGCTTCTTGCAGATTAGTCACAACTTTCAAAGGACACAAAGGAGTCTCAATCATATTCAAACAAAACCCATCTTTCAAAATCTCATCTGCGTATAAGACCCTATCCCCTAATCTAGCTTCCACATACTTGAGATAAGCACACCGTCTAATCAACCTCCTCAACAACTCTTCCCTCGAATTGATCACTTCGAACAAATGTTCAGCTGTGCTTTTATCGATTGCTCTGCCTCCTCTTCTCCAGATTCTCACACTAACTTTTTCCCGAAATTTGCCGTAAGATTCCTGCAACATTGCAATGAAAACACTTCCCCACGCACCAGCTCCTACTCCTACGATCCTTAACGGATCGTCATCGGCTTTGCCCATGACTCTACGAATCTCATCAAGCCTTTCTTCCACCAATCTGCTCGGAGCAGAGTTGTTCGTCTCCACGGGTTCCACTAAATGATCCATCATCAACAAAGCCTTATGATTTCTCTTCAGCGGTTCACCCACTAACGACGACACAGCGAGCTATTGAACACAAATCGGAGTTCTTGTCGGATTTACCGATGCTTAAACTTGAACAACCAAAAGACTCTTTTTTTGGAAAGTTTGTGTTTTTTTAATTTCAGGTAACTTGTACGAACAAGAAAGCTGGCTTTGTCTACTCTGGGCCCATTCAACTCATGGCCATTTTTACGACTTTCTCTATACGACTATACGAGTTCGAACCCAGTTAATGGGGGATTGAGTACTTTTTGAGTTTTTGTGAAGTCTTTGCTCAAATCCATTTTGTTTTAGGAGAAAGTTGTTTAAGTTCAATCACCGTTCATCATGGTTTGGTATGCTGTGAGAGCTGAGTTATCAATAAAATCGTTATCCGTCGTGATCAATTAGTTTCAATCAAAATCACTAATTTTGTACTCATTGAGAGAGAGAGAGAGAAAAAAGACTGATTAAATTATAAGCACGAGTGGATAATTTCTTGAACATGGGAAAAAAGCAAATCTTCCAATGAACTACCATCTGTCTGTAAGAGCTTTATAAGTAAGATTCCTTGGTACATCTTAAGGTAAAATAAGTCCAAAATGATGGATGATAAACTCATACTTTTTAGACACGTGACATGCCGAGTTTGCGTTCAAACAAGCGACGCAGAAGATAAACTTGGAGAAGACTTGCCGCAATCAGTGCCAGCGACTCAACCAAAGCTTTGTGTACTGCTCTTCTGCCCATGTTCTCGTTCACTGCACAAGGAAAAACCATATATCAGACTACATCTCAATTTCACTTGCAGAAGCGAAAACGACAAATGGTTTCTTCAGGGAAAAACATGTTACCAATAGCTTGACGATCGGTCTGAGCCTCTAACCAATGTTGTTCAAATTGGATGTTGTAAAGAGCCTCCTCTAACTTTGATATCTGCTCCATCAAGGGAGTGAAATGCTCTGCACACACACATTAACAGAAGACCAAACAAAAACCCATCTTCAGCTAAACAACTCAATACCAAAACGGAACTGGTAACAAAACCAAACAGATCAATACTCACCGTCCTTTGCGTGTTGATCGTAGTATGCAAAGTGACCAAGCTGTACATCGAAGTCAATGGTTTCGTGATAGGGAGACTTGTTTGTGAAACAAAAACGGTAAACCCCTTTCTTTTGGACAACAAAGTCGTGCTTTGCGCTTATCTGCTCCCTGAAGTCATGAATTTGCTCGCCTGTTGGGCCATGTATCTATTCAAGATCCAAATATATCATCACCAACGGTTATCTCATTCAACAGTCTAAAGAAATTTGAAAGATATGCCATAATAATCTAGAAATTGAAAGAATTGTAACAACAACAACCAGATAAACCAAAGGGTACAAGATAACAAACTTCAACGAGAAATCACATTATTGATCAATACATGCTACCATTACCAACAACACTACACTAAGCATTGTCTACTATTACCAATTCTATCGATTTTGCATGATAGAAACGCAGAAAAAGGTTCGATTTAGAAAAGAGAAAAAAAAGTCATACCACAAGATCTACACCATCCTCGTTAAAATGCCATTGAGAATCAGACTTGATGACGACGAAAGACACATGAAGTGTATCACCTTCATATTCAGCCTTGTGGGAGAAACATTCTTCTCGGTCGATCACGAATCTAATACCTAACGTTGCCTGGAAGCTCCATAAGAGCCCTAATATCAGGATCGTAGCCTTCAAGCTCATCTGCCAGAATAATTTCGAATTACATCAAGCGAATAACGCAATTCAATCGTATAGAAGAATCCTCAATTACAGATTCCAAACCAAACCAAATTGAATTGTATCAATTTCGATTCCTACGAGGTGATTAGGCTCGAGATACAGAGTGAGAGGAATTTACCTTCCAAATCACGGAATTGAGGGATAAAATTCAGAAGATTGATAGAAACTCGATCTGGTCGAAGAGTGTTAAGAAATTCAGAGATTGATCGGAGAAGCAGACGGGGGATAGAGATTTGGGAAGAGGAGCGAGTTCGTTCAGAATCAGACACGAAGGAGCCTGTTTTGACTGAAGGGCAGTTTCGTGACCCGACAAGATCATCAAACTACAAACGACGTCGCTTGCTCCTTCTTTTGGGTATTTGGTCAGCGGGCTTACGTGGCGTTATCTGATTGGAGATGAATCACCTTTAAACCATTTAGATATTGCCACATCAGTTAATGTCAAAAAGGGCAAAACTCCAATACTCAAATTCGTTTTATTACGCTCTTAAAATAATTTCGGCAAAAGTTAAAAATTGGGAGATACTAGTATACTACTGTACACATAAGGTAGTACAGATTAAGTTGTAGTCAAATATATTCTCAATTAAGTACCTTTGGTTTTATATAATTTTTTTTTTTTCCATTCTCAGTTAGGGATTCGAATTTTGGATATGAAAAAGGTGAATCATTTAAGTCATATGAAAATATGATTGGGTTTACAAATCGATTATTTTAGTTCGATCTGGATCAATACACAAAATATATCTTTCTATTTTAGGCTTCTGGCCTTTTCCCTCATGCGTTTCGCCCTTTCTCTAATCAATCAATTTGGACACTTGCAGCTTGTAATAAGTTTTAGAAATGATCACTTACATATGGCTGCTAGTCGCTAGACCAACATAATATTTTACGAGTGAGAAATATTTTGTATTGGACTATGGACAACGAATAAATGTACACTTCGTCCCAGAGATTGTACAAAACAGGTATACTAGTAATATATCAAACTGCCATTTTTTTTTTTATTTTTTTTTTGTAGTATACTTATAGATCCCACCATGCCTACACAACATTCATATTTTTGGTAGAAAAATTACATTTTTGGTTTGAAGAACAACGAAGCCTACCCTTGACGCATCTTTAAGCTGTTGACGTTTCCTCATTCAACACTCACTTGAAGAAGTTCCTAAGTCCACTGAAGAGCCGTAGAGCCTTCAGCTCACCGCTTCTTATATCTCTCAGTCTCCTCCTAAGAATCTGAACCGAGAGCAAAAAAAAAGCACAGATTCCACAATGTCATGTTTAGATCCACAAATTCTCATCTATCATACTGGCTAGAAAATGATTCCTTACATATTGAGCACGGTACAGTATCCTACGCTCGCTTGTGGACAAGTCTACAGCTAGCTGTTTCAGAAACGCTTTTCGGTTTAACTGTTTTGGAGATGTAATGTCCAAATCCATTGATCCACTTTCCTACAATTAGAAAAGATAACAAACAAACCAAATGAGGTACAATTTTTCCCACATATAGAGAAGGATGAACTATTTTTGTTATATTTACCTTTAAAAATCGACTGTACTTTGATATGCTTGTTTCACATGAGTCGAGAATGTACTGCAATGCTTCTTCCTCGATTTCAGGATATTTCAGATCATTCTTTGTTGATGTCTTATTTGAAGCAGCTTTCGCCATCTGAAAATGGATATAAAGTTTAGCAAGGCTGTATTATGAATTAGGGAAGAATTGGATAGAGTAAACCAAAAAGGGTCATGATGGAGTTGCCAAACCTCTTCAAAGCTGTTTCTCATATCTGGAGGGCTCACCACTAGATAAGCATATGCCATTAGCTCCATTGGCCAACCCGTTATCCTTACGGGGAAGCATTGAGGCCTGCCAGTGAATTAGTTAACAGAATCATCAAAAGAAAACTCAAGTTGATGAAAAGAAATCTACAACAAGACTTGAAAGCAAAATTTGGATGGTGGGAAAATTGATTACGTCGATAGTCCATGTTTCTTTAAAGCATCCAGCTTTTCCTTGTAACACTCATCAGTTTTCCTAAGTGACAGTGCTAGCTCTACTGAATCACTAGGATTGGTTCCTTCTCTGGGAACAAACCCATAAGATAACAATAGCTCTCCGTTAGATTTATTTCCATACGATATGAAAACCTGCATAAGGTCATTTGAAATACATCAGAGACTTCAGAGTACATTGGTCCCACTCTGAATTGGCTTGCTGGGGCGCTAAAAGTCCAATAGTGTGAAAAGTAAAAAAGTGTAAATGGGACTTGTTTGTGTTATACCCCGACTTACTTAACTTGAACTCTCTCGGTTATCTGAATTTCGACCAAACTGAGAATTTGAAGTGATACAGAAATGCACTTCATATTTTGTTCTAGGGAATGAATCTATAGGTCATATTTACCTGCTCACCTGGTTGATATGGTCGATCTGTTGTAAAGACAACTCCTTTTGAAGACTTATCATAATCGAGGAACGTCTCAACCTTTCCAAGCAGAATTTGAAATATTTACTACCATAAGTTAACTATGCTTTCTGATTAGGAGCTATCATTAAAATAAACAGAAGTACCTCACAATTATGATTAAGCATATCTGCCCATGGAACTAAGGCAAATCTTCCATCCATAGACGGCAAGCGTACCTGTGTTAGAGAAGCTTAATCTGAGTGGACAGAGACAATCAATGCAGCACACTGGATAACGGTAAGGAAAGGGAAATGACATAATGAAACTTTTGGTTGTGAGTGCTCATTGTTCACACTCTAAGCTATATTGTGCAAAAAATCATATTAAGATTAAACCACAAGTCTCCTGTTTCACTAATTAGACATGTAGAATATGTAAATCAATTATCGAGATCAGCAAATGATTGCTTCTGATAGAGTAGTTCTTACCAACCGTGAGAATAAGATTCCAAAAGACCACTTAAACGTCTCATCATTGAAAACCTGCAACCAATAAATAGTATACTCATATTCATGTAGACAAAACAAATTTAAGATGTCAATTCACAGTATCTCAGATAATATAATGGAACCAACACTAGTTGTAAATACGGAAGTGCACATTGCAAGTGACAAAAGACCTCCAACAGAGCAAAGAAAGGATCTGACCATTATATGAAGGTTCAATTCGATTCTGAAAATGTTTCTTCTTTTCATTATTAGAAGAAGAAAGCAGACGTTCAAGCAGAAAATAACAGGCTGTGTACTTTTGTCTCTGATTCAACTATAGCAAAATAGGCATAGCAGTTACCTCTTTAGGGAAAAGGTGAGGATGTTTGGAAAATATTCTGCTTCTTAGATCTTCATAACTGGGGAATATAAAATGGAAAAAGACATGCGCAGTGTTTAAAGCAAGATATAATCATCAAACCCCTAGCCTACAATATCTTCAGGAGTTGAGAGAAAGAAAGTACAATATCTCACGTTCCAACAACATTGGTGATTCTTTCAATAGCTCGTTCTCGAATCTGCGAAGCTTCCAAGTACATATCAAGTTCGGTCCGAGTCCTGAAATAGTACAGAAAGGGTGTAGGGGGTAAAAATAAATTGAGACAAACGTGATCACAATGTGCAAGTTCAGCTCCAAAAAAGAAGTAGAAAAATTACCAGTATAAAAGTGAGTAAGGTTGTCGGGGAAGAGCTGAGATATAGTTAAACCATCTTGAATTTTTCTGAAGACTTGCTTCACTAATAAGATAAGTAGCGAGCAAAGGCCAGTCTGGAACGTCGTAACGTTTCATCACTTCACCAGCTTCTGGGTTGGTCCATTCCTGAAACACAATCTCCAACATAAGATATTCACATTCACGAAAGCCAGATACTTTAACCTTGCATATTGCTTTAACAAGTGAGATCAAAATTTTCCCGGAATATAAAGATTATATATATTTTTAAAAAAAATTCCGAGTGAACATACGGAATCAGCACTGATGACCAAAGAAGGAGGAACGAAGAGAAGCTTCTCTCCTTTTCTGAGGTTCTGTGAAGCGACGAGGCCTCTCTCACCGATGTCGACTCTATCAATGGACATTTTCTGGGGAGGGAGACCTGAATCGGAGAGCCAGTTCTGGAGAGAAGTAGCGTTCTCAAGTGAATCAATCTCGCAGCCCCATGATATGTCGGGAGCTTCCTCCACGGACCGTCTCGTGGTCTCACCGGCCGAAACTGAGCAGTGGATTCCAGGACGGCATCGAGACACCGGAAGCGGTGGGAAAGAGAGAGTGAAGCTTTGATTACGGAGCTTGTAGAGCGGAGAGTAAGCTGGGAGGAGAGTTGACTGCAAGACGCTGGAAGCTTTCGCCATTGGAGAGGAGAAAGCGAAGAAGACGGACGAGTGGCTGAGGATGATGAGGCTACGATGTGCACGAACCAAAATTAGCTTTGTGAATTACGGTCTGGTTCGAAAACTATTCGGTTCGTTTTGGTTTGAGTTTTTTTTTTTTTTTTTTTTTTTGAGTTTAATTTGATTGCCAAGGAAGATATTAATTTCATTTCATATTGTCCTATTACTATCTATATCGAGTAGTGCATCACTTGGATAATTGGATTGGATGTGTGTAGATAAAGATATAGAAAATTCAATGATGAATTCCAAAAAGATTGTTATACACTAATGATATATGTCTGGGATAGGCCTAATGATAATGAGATAACTGAAATCTTGTTTTTCCATATTATTATTTTTATATATTTCAGTTAGTAGTTTACAAATATGATGATTTCTGTATTTTTCTATATTATAAGTAAAATTAGTTATAAATTATTTTGAGGGTTTATTAGAATTTGTAAGCGTAAGGAAAATACCCAAAACTCATAGGAATAAGAGAGTGAATTTGGTACAAAATTAAATATTGATGATTTTTATTAAAGTAAATGGCAATTTCTTGAGGTGACATTAAAATAATGGTATTGGTAATTATTTTAAACAAAATATAACGTGTAATTTATTTTTGAAATGTACTTCTAACATATTATTTATTTAGAAATCTAGTAAAAAGATTTACCAAATATTATCTTTGAGTTATTTTCTCAAATATTATGTTTTTATCTTTCTGAAAGTATCCCTACTTGTAAGGAAATTTTCTCAAATAATTGTGACATCATATATTTTGGTTATCATTCTTTGCCAAAGATTCAGATTCAAATAATAATAATAACCAATAATTAAAAGCTAGAAAAGGAGTACGTATTTGAAAAAAACTCAAAAAATTAAAAAGCCCTAAGCTTCTTACAAAATCACAGTGTGTAATTTTTAATTTTGCTC